CTCACCAAAAGCAAACGTCTTAATTGTGCACCATTAGCCAAAGTCAAGCAGGAGGATTTGTACAAACACAAGTGGAGATTTTAGCAGCACACCTGCTCCAGGACTGAGTCAGCTTGAGGCTGAACTACACACTTAACAGAGATGGTTCCTCAAGGGTTCTCTAGTAAAGGGAAGCGTTTCTGTTTAGGACTGTGAGTCCTACATAGAGCCATTTCATGCTTGAGTGGTTCTTTGCATGGTGAAACCGTGATGTAGAGTGTGTTGTATATGGCTCTATATAGCACCAAAAAGGGTTCTTCTGTTGTTAGAAGCTTGTCATTACAAGAGCAAAACCCTTTTTGGTGCTAGATGGGATCATATATAAGTGGATATAAGTGGATTGTCTTATATCTTAGAGATACTCCTGAAAAATGAAGAACTTATGCTTGATGGACGTTTTTGTCTGGAATGCAGCTCCGTAGCTAGACCTTTTGGATTTATGGAGGCAGAGAGAACAGTTCTAAATGGAGGAAAGAGAGGGAGAACATTCCATTCTGACGCTGCAGGGGGGTCGAGGTGTGTAGAGGACAGACAGTGCTGAGGGGGTGATTGAAAAACTGCTGAAGTGCTGAAGTACGTCAGATAGAACTGACTTAGATGGATAGAATTAAGTTGATTGACTGCCTTATTTACTCTATCTACCTCTATAATAATAATAATAATAATAATAATAATAATAGTACTTAAATGGAAACTCAGATTATTTAAATTAATACTTTTGTTTTTATTCACCTCAATTTAAATATAATACACACACACACTCACACATTATCTAAGCCGCTTATCCTTCTGGGTTATGTAGTACAGAAAGAGTAAAATAGTAATAGTAATATACTTAAATACCTACTGTATTCTCTCTGTACCCTGTTATTAATTGATTTACTCTGTTGTTTATTTTCTGTGTTGCTTTATCTCATTAATTTTCATATGTTAACATATTTAACATATGTTTAATGTTAAATTCAGTGCCTTTTGGTCCACATGTTTGAGCAAAAAACTTCAATTTATCACGTTAAATCTAGTTGTTTGTTAAAATCTAAATTGGACGGTAAATAAAAGTTCCGTTAATAACATGTAGACAAAAATTTCGAAGACTGTGTCATCGATGATGAGTACCTCCATTAAAAACAAAGGTTTCAGACTTTTGGTTGCAGTGCGACGCAGCGCATCCGGTGTGCAGTGGCCTTAACTGGCTAGTGCTCGCCATTGTCACGTTGGACCTGAAGGGTTATTTGTTGTTAGCCCCTCCCCTTTTTCCAGCTTGAATTTGCATACAGAGTGCTGATTGGCTCCAGAGATGTTCGGTGGATCTGACTGTACAGTGTGCATGTAGTCTCCAGTGCAATAAGCAAGTTTTGGAAATGATAGGAAAATAACAGACATGTCGTAATACTGCAGTTCACGTGTGCGTATTGAACCGTAGAGGGCGTAACGAACGGTTCATCAGTACGCCATATACCGTCCCTGATAGTAAATTTTATTACTTTAAACCAATCAGAACGAGCTCTGTGGCATTTTTCCTGATCGTGCTTAATTTATTATTATTATTTGTATTATTATTGTACTCAAATGGAAGCTTGAGTGGTTTGAATCAGTGTTTTTGTTTTTATCCACTTCTTGTGTTCAGTTTTATTCTATTTTAGTAGTAGGTAATATCCCCTAATATTTCTCTACGATTCCCCTGAGATTCTCAGCCTCATCTGACTTTTCTCTGATATTCAGTTCATCTCGAATCCAGAAACACAGTGAACCCCTGTGTCGTGTAAAGCTGAGTCTGGTCTGTTAGCCTTGTGTTGTCTGATGTCACCCAGCCAGAGGCTTTAAGAAGAGCTGCTGAGCTTTCAGACTTTATTTTTATTCCTCCCAGAAAGCGACGCAGGCCCGCTGCCCACTGGGGACGCCGTCTCCCTGGACAACCAAACTGGCCGGCTGCTAACTACCCCCACTATCCCACTCCTGCCCCCCTTCCTTAGGTCAGACCAACAATAGGCTATTTATTTTCAAACAACACGGCTGCTCTTTTTTACACTGGGGACTTTTTGCCTTTGGCACGGAGAGCAGCGAGAGGGTGGGTGTATAGTGGGGGGCAAAGTTCCGGTAGGGAAATACAGACTCGGCTATTAGCATGTGTATTAGGGATATGTGTCTGAAAGATCCATCCTGCACTGCACCCAATAAATCCTCTGGGAAAGTGTCTACTTGTCTGTTGGTCAAATGAAATAAGTACACACACTGTCCAGAATGGGCCGCATTTAACTGTGTGATTAATTGAGTATTTATACTGGAGAAGTATATCAGAGTAGCAGTAAAAACTGGCTTCTGAGCATTAACAGATGTTTATAATGGTCAATCTTACGACTGTGGTTGGAGGATCATAGTTTCTGCCTGGTGGTGACTCAGGGTCAGCAGCTTTAACGCACAAATGATAAAAAAAAAGCTTTTCCTTCATTACAGCTGATGTGTGAAATGTGTCAGGCTGTGCTGATGACTCAGGGCCAGGGTGGGTGTGACCAGTCCACCCATGACGCTTTGAGTGACCATTTGTGCTATTTGTGATGTGTATATATAAGTATAATTATAAGGTGCAGTATGACTAAATATGTTTGGGCTATACTTAGTTTTATGACTAACTAAAGTTATCCTTATAGTACGAAAACTGTGCAAAGTGTATCTTTATACTTCATAAATTGGGTAAAATCATGTTTACAGTACAAAAAGTATGCAGTTGTTATTTTTTCATTACAAAAAGATGCAGAAGTTGTTTTTTAGAACAAAAGCAAAAACATTTTGCTGCATTTTGCTGAACAATATAGCAAAAATAGTGTAACAATTATTATTGCAGGACCAAAAATTGTGCAAGCTTATCTTTACAGTACAAAATATGTAAAATGTATGCTTAGAGTATAAAATATTGTGCAAACGTTATGCTTATAGTACAGAAATTGCGCAAAAGTTACCTTTACGGTACAAAAAAGTGTGCAAAAGTTGCCTTTGCAGCACAAAATGTGTGCAAAAGTTATGCTTACAGTATAAAAACTGTACAAAAGCAATCCTTGCATTACAAAAAAGTGCAAAAGTTGCTTTCAGAACAACAATTTATAGCAAAACGAATGTGCAAACTTTATCTATGCAGCACAAAAAGTGAACAATAAGTATTCCTACACTTAAAAAAATACGCAAAAGCTACACTTACAGGCAAAAAAAATTGTGCAGAGTTGTCCTTACAGTACAAAACATGCGCACAAGTTACCTTTACAGTACAAAATGTGTGCAAATTATCTTTACAGGATAAAAAAAATCCTGTAAAGTTACTGTAAAATACATAAAGTAGGCAGAATTTATCTTTACAGCACCCTGTCCTCTGGGGTTTATTGCTGTCCAATAAAAAAGAATGTCTGTTTTAGTTTTAATTTTATTTTTGTACATCATTTGAGCAGAAGTCATGTACATTGTGTGACAGTTTCATGGTGAATGGATCAAAAGAATCGTCCAAAACCACGTTGAAAACCAGATTTTTTTTCTTTAACCTGTGAAGTTACTAATTTTGGAGGTGATTGATTTTTTTGGACAGTGCAGGTACACTAATGTAAAACCACTTTAGACCAGTTCAGTCCTCAGGAACTGTCATCCAGTCCACATTTTCACTCTGGTCCAGCTCTAGACTCCGACTGCGTGGCTGTTGGGAGCTAGAGATTGTCGAGTTCTGGTTACCTGAACTCAAATGTGTTGGAAAGAGTGAACTCCAACAATGTGGCCTGGCTGCAGACCAGGGGATCTGTTTACACTGTGGAGGAACACAGACAATAAAAACAATAGCCTGCCTGGATTTTTAGGTTTAAAAATAACCTGGAGAATTGATTTTGGCCCAAAACTACCTTACAGAAAAACGTAGTTTAAAGAACAAAGCACATACTTTGTAGAATAATATTAAAATCAATTGGAATTGATGATAATGTTCCAAAATGGATAGAGTTGAATTAAATATTACCTTTAGGTCAGGGGTCGCTACCCAAATGTTGAGAAGAGCCATTTTCTCCTTTCAACAAAAATCAAAACATTTTGGGAGCCACAACATTTTATGTCCATTTTACCATCGTGGTTGTAAATATGTCTCAGTATGTCCTGATGTACTAATATAGGCTAAAAATATAATATAAAAGAAAACACAGACTTACTTTGCTCTGCTTTAATTCAGCTCAGCTAAAGCCGCTTTTCTCACATCTCCAGCAGGAAACATTTCCTCAAAAGTAGAACAGTTTTTTGTCAAATGTCTCTCAATGTTTGACTTTTTATGAGGCTGAAGTCGCTTCTCATTCTCCAGCTTCTTGTTTGAATTTTCCCGTTCCACCTTAAATGGTGCCAGAATGTAACTGCTGCACCATTTAAGGTGGAACGGGAAAATTTGAATGAGAAGCTGGAGAATGAGAAACTGACTTCAGCCTTGCAACTTTTTAGTGTTTGTCAGTTTCTCGTTGCAGATTAAACGTATCAGGAAACCAGCTGGAGTGATTATAAACACTAATAAGTCCATTCGTCTCCAAATTATTGATGTTCATCTTAAATCTCTCTCTCTGCCGTTTCGTTAGCTACTAGCTAGGCGAGACTGTTGTCTGTGCTGCTATGGTGACCAGCAGTCTGCGCTGATCTTCAGGGTTAAAGGGTGAATCAGCAGTTCTACATTAACTCCAGAGTTTAAGACCATTTATTGTTAAACTGTGTTGAATGATCAGCAGAGCTTTATTTTACTGTAAAGGAGGATTATTTTATTTTTACCTACAAATCTGATTCAGCTGTGGAGCCACAACAGGACAGTAAAAGAGCTGCATGCAACTCTGGAGCCTCGTGTTGCCAAACCCTGGTTAAGACTGACGAATCTTGATGGATTTTTCTTTCCTAATCCTGACTGTACTCTCTCTCTCTCTCTTGTTCTGTCCCTGTTCTGTCTCTTGTCCCTCTCCCAGCCGCAGGACAGGCCACTATAATGTCCAGCGGGCTCGTCCTGGTGAGAAGCCGCCATATCAGCGCTGCAACTCGCAGGACTCTCTGGATGAACTGGCTCTGGATGATTACTGGAAGGAGGTGGAGATAATCCAGCACGCCGGAGATGCAGAGCCGCAGGAGGAGGTCCAGCTCAAAGTAGCTGATGGTCAGTGGTCGCTGGATAATCTGTCATACACAGTCATGCATAGACACTAGCACTAAAACGTTTAGAGTATTTTCAGTATATATACGGATGATTCTACTGAGCTGGTTTAAAGTCAGAGCTGAAACACATTTGGGACTTTCAACTAAAATCCTTCTGCTTTGAGTGACTCTATACCTCAATTATGTTTTTTTTATTAAAAAAAAAGACTAAACATTTCATTTTGTCACTATAACTCAGACAGTACATGACCAGCAAACACAGCTTTGAAGAGCTGTTCACACATAAAATCATCAAAAAATCACTGAATCACAGAAAATATGTGACAATCCTTAATCTTCCACACTGATTGACAACAATAGGATCTAAATACTCTCTAAAATACATGGGCGTGGCTAAAATTAGGCTCCACCCACACACTAAAACTATGTTTTGGTAATGACATGAAAATGTGGCAGTAAACTCATGATAAATATAAATTTTTCAGCTTCACTTTAAAAGAAATCAAAAGATCTTTAAAAAAAAATTAAGTTTTATTTTCAGCAGTGTAAATTTAGGGGTTTGGGACAGAAACCTTCCAATAGAAAGTAGCCTATTAATGATGCTTCCTTATATATTTAGCTTATTGCTGTTTCTGTTAGTGCCTTGGGTTTAAATAGAACATAGTCAGAATATAATGCTGGTAAATATCTAAGGTCTGATGTCTCAGACATGGCAAACGGTGCACAGATGCCATATTTACATTGTGTTCCTTTATTTTCACTCCTAAAATTAACAAAACGTGTAATATAACCAAACATTTTGCGTCCTATTGTGACTTTTCTTGTAGGATAAGATTTTTTTAGATTTGCACTATACAGACAGACATTTTGACCCAACACAACATTGTGAACAGGCAACTTGGCTGAACAGAGAGAATCTTTCGAGGAGCTGAATCAGTTCAGTTCATTCACGCAACAGACGCTTCAGCAGTTCAGAGCTGCTAGACAGCAGGAAGAAACAGCGTCCATTTGTCGTGTACTGTCAGCCTTATCTCGCTCTCAGGTCGCATCCATGTGCCAACCTGCCCTGTTTATATCGTCCCATTTGCGGCTGATCAACTTACAAAAGCTGTGAAGGTTCAGACTCGCTCAGGTATCCTGAAGCGTGACACGGTTCCTGTTTCTTTGCACAAAAAGGGGAATTCTCACACCCAGACACCAGCAGCTGACCTTTCCGTACTTTTATGTGTCCTGTAGGCTTTATACAGGGTGGGAAAATGATCCCAAGGTCAATTAGTTGTGTTAGAACAGGAAAAAAACAACCCACTAAAACTGCAGTGACTGTCCAAGAATGTGAAACTCTGGTCTTTTACTGTGAAAAAGATTGAAGAAACAGTTTGTAAGGATTTTTGGTGTTTGTTTCTACACTCACTGTCCATTTTATCAGCTCCACTTACTATATAGGGGCACTTTGTAGTTCTACAGTTACAGACTGTAGTCCATCTGTTTCTCTGATACTTTGTTACCCTGTTCTTCAGTGGTCAGGACCCCCAAAGGACCACCACAGAGCAGGTAATGTTTAGGTGGTGGATCATTCTCAGCACTGCAGTAACGCTGATGTGGTGGTGGTGTGTTAGTGTGTGTTGTGCTGGTACGAGTGGATCAGACACAGCAGTGCTGCTGGAGTTTTTAAACACCGTGTCCACTCACTGTCCACTCTATTAGACACTCCTACCTTGTCAGTCCACCTTGTAGATGTAAAGTCAGAGACGATAGCTCATCTGCTGCTGCACAGTTTGTGTTGGTCATCCTCTAGGCCTTCATCAGTGGTCACAAGACGCTGCCCACAGGACGCTGTTGACTGGTTTTCAGTCCAGCAGTGACACTGAGGTGTTTAGAAACTCCAGCAGCACTGCTGTGTCTGATCCACTCAGACCAGCGCAACACACTCTAACACACCACCACCACGTCAGTGTTACTGCAGTGCTGAGAATGATCCACCACCCAAATAGTACCTGGCAAAATAGTCCCCAAATAAACCTTCTTAATAGCAGATAAAATGTCTATATTTGTGTTGTAGACATGGCGACCCCTGGTTCCTGTCACCATCACTGCAAAGCAGTCAGTGAGTTTTTCTATTAGGAACCATTTTAAAACACTCAAGAACTAGTGCTGTCCAATTCTCTGGTCATTCTAGAACTAGCATAGTCTGACTGTCTGGGAATTCTAGAATTAGCCCAGTCCAACTGTCTGGGTATTCTAGAACCAGCACTGTTCTGTTGTCTTGCCATTCTAGAACTAGCACAGTCTTACTGTGTGGGAATTCTAGATCTAACATAGCCCAGCTGTCTGGCCATTCTAGAACAGCACTGTTCTGTAGGACTGTATAAGAATTCTAGAACTAGTAAAGTAGAACTGTACAGCCATACTTGCCCAACTACAGCCTTACTGACTGGCCGTTCTAGAACTAGCCCACTCTGACTATGTGGGAATTCTAGAGCTAGCACAGTCCAGCTATCTGGCATTTCTAGAACTACCACAGTCCGACTGTCTATGACTTCTAGAACTAGCACCATCCAACTCTCTGGCCATTCTAGAACCAGCACAGTCTGACTGTCTGGGATTTCTAGAATTAGCCCAGACCAACTGTCTGGGCATTCTAGAACTAGCACTGTTTTGTTGTCTTGCCATTCTAGAACTAGCACAGTCTTACTGTATGGGAATTCTATATCTAAAACAGCCCAACTGTCTGGCCATTCTAGAATAGCACAGTCTGACTGTATAAGAATTCTAGAACTAGTAAAGTAGAACTGTATAGCCATTCTAGCCCAACTACAGCCTAACTGACTAGCCATCCTAGAACTAGCCCAGCCTGACTGTGTGGGAATTCTAGAGCTAGCACAGTCCAGCTATCTGGCATTTCTAGAACTACCACCGTCTGACTGTCTAGGAATTCTAGAACTAGCACCATCTAACTCTCTGGCCATTCTAAAACCAGCACAGTCTGACTGTCTGGGAATTCTAGAATTAGCCCAGACCAACTGTCTGGGTATTCTAGAACTAGCACTGTTTTGTTATCTTGCCATTCTAGAATTAGCACAGTCTAACATAGCCCAGCTGTCTGGACTGTCTAGAACAGCACAGTCTGACTGTATAAGAATTCTAGAACCAGTAAAGTAGAAATATATAGCCATTCAAGCCTAACTACAGGCTTACTGACTGGCCATTCTAGAACTAGCCTAGCCTGACTGCGTGGGGATTCTAGAACTACCACAGTCCAGCTGTCTGGCCATTCTAGAATAACTAGAGTTGTACCGGCCATGATATGCTGAGAAAAGCTTGTTGAAATGTAACTGGTCACAATAACAGTACCTCCATCTTGCCTGGCCCCAGCTTTAACACACTATTGTTCTGTTCACAGCCCTGTTTTAATCGACTACGATCTCAGGTGTTATTTGATTATTTACTTTAACCTGGTGACCCTTTTACAGAGTGGGTTTCCTCCTTTTCAGCTGACAGAAATGAGCATCAGATATTGTAAATAAAGCACTTTTGTTTTTCTCATTAGATGTAAAAGTCATTGTTGAATCGTTTTCTTGCCAGACTAAAAATACTGACTGTAAAGAGCAGGAAGTGGCAATAACGAGCCCCGCCGGACAGGACATAAACGCACATTGTTTATCTCCACAGGAAATGGAAGCTGTGACTTCCTCAGTCATACCGAGCATCTAATTCTAGACAGAAGCCGGAAAAGCACCTCACCTCACCTCAAAAATGTCTCGCCTCACACTCACAGAGAAATTTCCCTCTGGGCCAAAGTGGACCAATCTGTGTCCATCTCAGTCCGCGGGTTTATATCATAATACCCACATTTACCCACTTGAGAAACTGTAGAACAGACTCAGTTTATATCACAATACCTACATTTAGAGTCGGTTATTCATTCAGCCTAATGAGAAACTGTAGAACAGACTCGGTTTATATCACAATACCTACATTTAGAGTCGGTTATTCATTCAGCCTAATGAGAAACTGTAGAACAGACTCAGTTTATATCACAATACCTACATTTAGTGACCAAATGTGTCTTGGCTGGTCGACTGTATTTGCTGTAAGGGGTGGCAATTGTGTAGATTAGATTTACCACCGAACTGTCACTCACTATTCTCCTATTCTTGCAGAGGGTGAGCAGGAAGAGGCGTGGCTGACAGAGGCGGGGCTTGCGACGCTGTTCGATGAGTCGGCAGTGGATGGGGAGGACAGCATGGTGCTGCTGTCCACTCTGACCCGCACGCAGGCCGCCGCCGTAGAGAAGCGCGTGGAGACGCTCAAACAGACGCTGAGAAAGCGTAACAAATCCTACAGCGTCCCCGACGTCAGGGACATCTTCAAACCTCCACCCTCCCTGGACACAAAGGTCAGTAAGGTCACGACAAGAGGCTAAAGGTCAGCATACCGACGTTTGGGCTGATTCAGCTGAGGCAGGTGGTTCGTTGCTGCTTGTTTTGATTGCCCCCCTTTCGAGTTTACATTCCCAGCAATGACAGCGTCAGTCAGCTCTGACCGGTAAGATGAGGAGTGTCCACTGCGCGTAGAGGGTGAAGTGCACATTAGGGACGTTCACAGGTTCTCGAGTACTGCGTCAGTTTTCAAACACTGAATCACGGCTGTGTTTACATGCAAAGATTGTTGATTGAATTCATTCTGATTACAGATTAAGACTGAGGCGGTTTTATGCGCTGATATAAATATTATATCACAATAACACAAGACATTTTCACAACATACAATATTCTATATGATATTTAGTTCTTTTCTGAGGTTTAATTAGTTGGACAAGAAAAAATAGAACCTGCGGTGCCGCATTTAATATAACAATAACAATAATAGAAGTAAAATTACAATGTTTTACAAACTTTACTGCACTAAACTCACTCAAACAGGACTAATTGGGTCGTTCTCCGTTTGGAGTGGGAATTCAGGCGAATACATTTTTAAAAATTTCTTTCATCCTAAAACTAAATAATCTTAATATATCCATTAACATGGGGCGGCATGGGGCGCAGTGGGTAGCGCTGTCATCTCACAGCAAGAATGGCCTGGGTTCGATTCCTGGCCGGGTGACCAGGGTCATTTCTGTGTGGAGTTTGCCTGTTCTCCCTGTGTCTGCGTGGGTTTCCTCCGGGTACTCCGGTTTCCTCCCACAGTCCAAAAACATGCAGTCAGGCTGATTGGACATGCTGAATTGCCCCTAGGTGTGAGTGTGTGACTGTGTATGTCTGTCTGTCTGCCCTGCGATGGACTGGCGACCTGTCCAGGGTGTATCCTGCCTTCCGCCCAATGACAGCTCGGATAGGCTCCAGCACCCCACCGCGATCCAGAAGGATAAGCGGTTTAGATGATGTATGTATGTATCCATTAACATCTCCTATTATCATAAATGCAGAAAGGAGAGCTGAATTCAAACATAGTTTACAGTCACTGTTGTTGAATATGGTGTAACACCAGTGACTCTGACTCCAGTGACATTCTGGTTAAAACTGAGGATTCTGTAAATCGGCTGACTCGTTGGCTGATCAGGTGACCTTGTGCAACTATTTAAAATAAGTAATAAAACGATATTCGGCATAATTTTGACAAAATTTGAATAACCCTGCCATGAAAGCACATAACACCAGTGACACATAGAAGTTCTGAGCTGCCTGATAAACAAAATGATTAATAAATTAATGAAATATAGTGAGCGAGTGTGACTCGCCTTCTCATGCCTTGAGACGCTTCCCTCTCTGACAAGCCTCGACCCCAAGAAGCAGTTTAATAGAGCTGAGAATACTGTGTTAAATGTAGAATAAGAGTCCTGATAACACTAGCGACCAAAATCTTTTAAATATAGTATAAAATATAGTATAATATAGTATATAGTGTAACGTTAATGATATAAAAAATAAACATGAATGTGTTTTATACAAATTCCTAAGTTAAACTTCTTAAAATAAAGTTGGTTTTGTGAGGAGCTGTTTTACAGATGCAGTGCGACTGTAAAACAGGATAAAAAAAGAAAAATCAGAGAAATCATAAGGGAAAAGTGTTATGTAATCTTAGGTCGACTGTGTAAATGTACATACCAACTTTTGGAGCTGTGTCTAATATTTTAAGCATCTTTTTAAGCCCTGAAACCTCTGTGACATGCTGTCTCACTCCAAATGGAGAACGACCCAGATATATTCTCTTTGTAATGCAGATGGTCAGTGTTCAGGTACTGATGCAGGACGCTCAGAGAGGTGTATTGTGGCAAACATCATCATATTGCCCACCCCATTGTTTACCACTGGAATAATGGACCTCATTCACTAATATCTAAGTTTGTTCTTAAGTGTGTTCTTGAGAAAAGTTCTAAGAAAAAGTCTACGTCAGATTCATGTCGTGTTCTTAAAGCGCAGAACTGTTCTCACCTTTGTGCTCTTGAGTGTGTGTAGATTCTGTTCTTACCTAAGAACAAATCCCACGTGAGAAAACACTGATGAATGTCAGAGTCTTGGTAAAAACTGCGTAAGTGGGTAGGACGGTTGGTGAACGAGGCCCAGTGCTCAAACTCTCAGAATCAGATGTGAGAAAACAGTTCATAATATGTCGTAATGCAGCCACAGTATGTGGACACAGTCCCTGTTATTGTTTAACAAACTCTGATTTCCCAACTGGAGTAAAATTAACACTAATGTAGAGTGTTTTACTAACACCACTGTCTGTTCATCATTGAGCTTTCATTTTCTGTTTTGTCACATGTTCCATTATTTCACTGCTCCTCTTCCTGCACCTCAAGGGCGAGGAGTCAGTAGGTTGTGCAGTTTGCACGATGAGCTGCTGTCTTAGGAAATCAGTTGTTAAGTTTAGGCGTATTATGAGCGCCGCGCCTTACGGTCGTCTGGCCATCAGTTTGCTTGTTCTTATTAGCCATTAAAATCTAGAATCATTAGAACGCAAGAAGCAAATATTTGAAATCTTTCAAGGCAGACATTATGTAGTATGGCAGAGCGGGTGCAACCTAACACATTTTGGTTTTCGTTGAATAATTTGAAAAATATTTAAGCTGGAATTATTATATGTTCATACAAGCAACATAAACATCTCTGCTACAAATGAACACTTGAACTTTGTTTCCAGCTCCTACTGTTCATGTACAATTTCAGCCAAAATGAGGGAAGTGCAGTGTTCCAGTTTAGCCGATGGGTGGGTTCACTGGAACAGACAGAGGGTCAGTTTAACACCTGCTAGAAAAGTCTGATCAATCAGTGCGAACAGAGTTAATTCAATATAATTCTGTGTTGTAAGAAATATATGTTCCAGCCAAACTGCTTTATATATTATCATCTATAAGACAGACAGACAGACAGATCAACCTGATCAAATTATATATGAACCCTGACTGAGTCTGTGTGTCAAACAGTGACAGATTTATTGTTTGTCCAGTGAAGGACAGCAATAAAAACATCACACATTACTAAAATATGCAGCTTTACCAACCAATAATGTCAATTTCATTAATATACTTATTTAAAACCAAAATACTGACGTCTGAAAGATCCTAATAAAGCAGATTTAAATCGCTGTTTTCAGATGTTTCTCTTTTTCATCTTATAATCTTATTATTAGTCTTTGTTCTCTAAAGGTGTCTGAGCTGTAGCGCTGTGTAAGAACTAACCCTGCAGTACGGAGGCTGTGAGCTTGTCAGCTGTTTCTGAACGGTGCTGCGTTGTAGGAAACAAGATGGTGATTAAACAGCTCAGTAACTGAAACAAATGACTTGCCCTGAAAACTCCCTTTGGCTCAGATCTCTTTAAAACCCTGATGAATCTCTCTGAATTTTGGTGGGAGACTGTGGCTGGGAAATGTGGTAATGTGGCCAGAAGCTCACGCTGCTTGACCTTCTATAACAATGTAAAGTCTGTGTTAAATTTTGCTCGCTTTAGGTTGTTTCCTGCGCTCCCATACTGGGAATAATAGTACTAAATAATAATGTACTTTTGTAAGTGTAGTAATTTAACAGTAATAATGTTTTTAACAGAAGATTGACCGTCCATTCTTATAACTCAGAGCTTCTATAAAAATCTAATCATATTTTACAAATGCTTTAAAAATGATTTTTCTTCCTCTTCTTCACACTAAACACTGTGTTCCTCTTTTGTAGCTGAGCGCTCAGCAGACTGGAAGCTGGGTTGGTTTCTAGGCCGAGTGCTTTTATGACGTACCTGAGGCTGTTAACAGTGTCACTAATTACACTGTGATTTTCAGTGATACATAAATGTGGAGTAATGAGTAACCAGAGCTGGAAGAAAGCAGCTGAGCGTGCTCAGAACAACTGTTATCAGGCAGATTAGCCTGGAGGTGTCCAGCCACGCTCCTGGAGCACCACTGCCCTGCAGAGTCCAGACTTTTCCTGCTCTAACACACCTGGTAAAGCTCTAAAAAGGGCTGAAAGGGCGATGTCAGAGAGCTCCAGTCAGAAAGCAGCTCAGTCACTGTGGAAATGCTTATTGTTGATCTGTTTCAGCAAAGTGACAATAAAATCAAGTGAGGTCTGAATATTAGGGGTTGCACAACTCCAGCTGACAGTTATGTGATGAAAGTCAACACCGACTTATCGCTGGAGAAAGGAAATCTTTAGAACAAACGACTTTAAGCATTCCGACTTTTTAAAATCCGTGCCAAAGCCAAGCTCTGGGTCAGTAGAGGGTTGCTTGCCCTTTCCAACGAGCTCTGGATGGCATTGCTAGACGTCAGGGAGCCGGAGATATGCTCCCCGGAATCTCACAAACTTGTGTCTGACTTAGGCGCACCCTAGGCGGCCTTGCCGAGACGGAGAGATCCAGAGAGCCAGAGGAATTTAGAGCACCGTAACTTTGGCGAAAATAAGAGTAACCGACTACAAGCTTTACGGGATTATAGGGCGTTACGCTCCCTCTCCAACTACACATGACTTTTATCGTAGTCTTCAGGAAACCGGGGATAACGATGTTCAGTATCTGATCTGTGAGGCACTGTGGATCAATAGGGATGTGTTAGAACGAAGTGACAGGTCAGTAGAACGAGATGCGCCTTTCCAGCGAGCCCTGGCTCCTCAACTGTTGCCCTCTACGAAGCGTTCATGTTATCAAGCTTCAAGCAAATAAAGTCAACTAGTCGATTAAGGCCTGTGGCACCATCCTATTCAGCCTGCAATATTACTTTAATTTTCTGTTAGTATTAACTCGTTTCACCATGAGCTGCACTACAACCCCCAGCATGCACTGCAACATAATATGACTCCAATAGGCAGTTTTATAAACCTCCTTCCTGGGGACATTTAGAGAGGTTTAACAGTTATTTGTAGCCAACGTAGCCTGTTGTTTTTTATAGAACAGTTTGTTTCAGTTCACACCTCAACACAAAGACGGAGATTAAACAGAGCTTTCTTCATATCAGACAATCTGCACATCTGACACAATAAAAGTCCTTTTTATAATTAAAAAAAGGTGTATAAATGTTGATGTGCTCACCTACGAAGGCAAGAGTCCAGTTTTTGTAAATCAAAACTCCAGAATTTCCATATGAATAAATAAATACTCCGTCAACCTTCTCAAACAAACGCATAGTTCAGCCGAGGGCCGTCTTTTTATGGCTGCTGCAAAATAAGAGTCTCCAGGAACAGCCACAGTTCTTGCGCTAAACGGGGGGCACCTCATCCAAATTATGGCTGGCCTGGTGGGTCGGGCTTGGACATTTATTGGCTGTTTGTAGAAGTGAACAGGAAAGCAACAAATTAGCTGCAAGTGTGCTGCACAGAAACTCACGTTACTGGTTATCACAGGCTGCAAAACACATGACGCTATAGAACCCACAGTAAATCTGGTTCCTTTCCAAAAAAATTCTTTTAACCTGTGTTGGTTAATATAATCCGGCTGACTCGTACACTCTTAGCAAAAAGGGTTCTGTGGGGTACCAAAAAAGGGTTCTTTGGCTTGTAACAATAGTGGAACCCTTTTTTGTGCTCTGTAGAACCATGTCCAGCACATTCTCTATCAATCTGAGGAACTACTTCATGATGCTTAGAACACTTTAATCATGCGAAGGGTTCTTGGAGTGTTCATGGTTCTATACAGGATCATTTTCTTTACTAACGAATCCTTGAAGAACCATCTTTTTTAAGAGTGCAGACGTTCTGCAGTGTAATTAGCTAATAATGTAATTCTGACACAGAATAAAATAACAGTAGAAGCTGCTTTGCTTTGTTTTTTTAACGTGGCTGTGTGTGAAGTTGTCTGTCAGCGGTGATGTGGCGCTCACTGAATAGACTTCAGAACCGTTGGCCAACTGTGTTTTGCGCACAGAGCAATTAGACCTCCACATTTAACCCATCCGTGCAGTGAAACACCCACACACATGCACACTAGTGAACACACACACTAGGGGACGGTGAGCACACCTGCCCGGAGCAGTGGGCAGCCCTATCCACAGCACCCAGGGAGCAGTTGGGGGTTAGGTGTCTTGCTCAAGGGCACTTCAGTCGTGTACTGTCGGCTCAGGGGATCGAACTGGCGACCTTCTGGTCACAAGGCTGGTTCCCTAACCTCCAGCCCAGAACTTCTACTTTAGAAGACTGTAAGGTTCATGTTTGCGGCTGGGCGTGTGGAGGTGTGACGGGTCTGGAGGCTGTTCCGCTGTGTCACGGGGTTTGCGCGGACACATCCTACACCAGCGGAGCAGATTACAGCAAATGAAGACGGGAATGGACGATGACCACAGACACAGCCCAAAGCATAGACAGTGCTAGGTTTAGCGGGCAGGAGTAGACCAGGACAACACTGGATTTCTCGGGCGCAGGCGGATGTGATTAGTGGTTGAATCGGGCGAGTGTGGCATTAATAATCAGGCCTGTGCAGACCTCTAAAGCCCCCCAGCATCGGGCTGTGGAGCAGAGGAACTGTGTTCTCTGGACTGATGGAGCTCCATCCAATACCTTTGGGATGAGTTGGAGTGACCAGAACTGACCGTCCAACATCAGGGAGGCTGTTACTGCAGCACAAATTCAGTATTAATACCCTTCGTTTCAGAAGAAACGCTGGATGTCGACTCTGTAGTGAATGTTGGAAGCAGCATCAGCGAATACTGTCCTTCACTGCGCTGCTCAAAGCACTGAAGAATGATTGGCGGCTCTGTACGGCCAAAAAGTCTAGAAAAGCACATTTTCTTGCTGAATCACACTGTGTGCGTGTTTGGAGTGACTCTTCTCTTTTATTCTTTCCTTTGTTCATCAGGATAGCGAGTCCTCGTCCACAGAAGGAAGTGAACACAGAAAAACGGAAGCTACTTCATCTGGTATGTTAGCAAGCTCAAAGATGACTGCTACTTTTAGCTCTCTCTCTCTCTTTACACACACACTTACATATATATATACACATGTGTGTGTGTGTGTGTGTGTGTGTGTGTGTATATATATATATATATATCATCACAGTCCAAAAAAAAACGTCTCTATTTTTTACCATTTTTATTTTTTATGACATTTGAACATGGCAGTCCTCCTTCACAATAGAAATGCTATTACAATAAAATCTCTTTACATTAACTTACGTTAAGCGTTAAGGCCGTTTTTGCCCTCTCCTGTACAGTTATCATTTTGGAGACACTTGTTTTCTTTGGACAGCGATGGTCTACATATCACTGATGTTGGAACAAAACCTCATATCTCCATTTTCAGTTTTTGACATAATTTGAAAATGCCTGTTGTTCTTTACATTGTGTGTAAATTTCATGATGAATGGACCAAAAGAAATGACCGAAAATGACTTGGAAAAAATTCTGGTTCCATTGACTTCCATTAAAAGTAAAGTAGGTTTTTTCCTTCTCCTGTAAAGTTACCATTTTGGAGATGAGGTTTTGTTCCAACAGCAGTGATATAAAGATCATCACATTTTATGTTAGTTAATGTGAAGAGATTTTGTTCTAATTAATTTTGGGGCATATATATATATATATATAAGACAAAAAGACACATCACCACAGTTACATGTACATTTATAGTGACCACACTCGGTCTGTGTAACAGCTTCCAGTTGCATTTGTATCGTCAACTTGTGTTTTATTCCATTAAACCATATATAAACAGATGCTGTTCTCCTATAATGCTCTGTTTGTGTTCTTTGGAGCCAGTTTTACAGAGAGAAACATACTGTAGTGTAAAAAAAGCTATTCAGGAAGTGTGGACACATCTGCTACCACCAGCTCTGCTGACCTTTACACACACACACACACACACACACACACACACACACACATAAACACAGCTCAGTGTTATATCGCATTATAAAAGTAGCTTTAATAATGTAGTTATGAAAAGTCCACCAACCAAAAATATCCAGCCTGCTTCCTGTGTCCACTGATGAAGGACTAGAGGATGACAAGGTGGACCAACGAGATAGGAGTGTCTAATAAAGTGGACAGTGAGTGGACACAGTGTTTAAGAACTCCAGCAGCACTGCTGTGTCTGATCCACTCAGACCAGCACAACACACACTTACACACCACCACCACGTCAGTGTTACTGCAGTGCTGAGAATGACCCACCACCCAAATAGTACCTGCTCTGTGAGGGTCCATGGGGGTCCTGACCACAGTCTGTAAGTGTAGAACTACAGAGTGAGATTATATGGTCAGTGGAGCTGTAGGAGCTGTGTGTATATATATGTATATGTATGTATACTGTACTGTATTAATACGACAGGTTTGGTTCCTGATTTTTCACCGTTGCTCTTTATGGTGTGATATTACAGAACGACTCTAATCACCTGCGTTTATGACCTCTCTGTGTGCTTTTACAGGCGAGCACTCAGGCGTAGGTAACCGGGCGGAGCCTGGCGGGGGCGGGGCCGAAACAGAGACGGACATTAACCTGGAGGTGTCGTTCTCCGAGCAGGCTCTGAGCTACAGGGAGGGGTCAAAGGTCACGCAGCCCGTTAACGAGGCTGACGACAAGCTGCCGGTGAGTGTGGGGCGTATCAAACATTAACACCTGCACTGATTTAGCGAGAGCGCGTACGCGAGAGCAAAGTTTACCCAGTGCAATAGTAAACGCGGCGGCTCGCTCTGATTGGACGGTTCGGGATAAAGGAATGCCTGTGTTTACGTGTCAGGGTTGTTATGGAGATCTTTGCCCTTGGCTAATGAGGTTATTAAATAAACATTTTGTGCTGGAGTTGGTCAAATAAAAAGCGCAGCGACAGCGTTTCTGCACGTGTGACGCTGGATTTGGTCTGCTGAGCGAAAACTCTTTCACTTTAAATCTCTTATAGAAGCTCTTTTAAACTGTCCTGAGCGATTTAGAAGAGAAAAAGGGAAAAACGTCCCAGAAAGAAAGAGTGTAATGAAGACAGAGAGAGCAGGATTACAGTTTAAACTGCTGGTTTAGCTCCGCACTGAATGCTGAGTGGCTACAGGTGACACCTGCTGGTCAGTCCGTGCAACTGCATCCAATACGGCAATAAAAGACTGTTTTTCATGATATTCTTTCTCTCTCTTTCTCTCTCTTTTGCCTTTCCTTTTCTCTTCTTACCCATTTCTTTTATCTCTTTCTACATTCTCATTCTTCCCTCCCTCCCTCTCCTCTCTTTTTCTCCATGTCCTCACTCTCTCCTTTGTTCTTTCGCTTTTCTCTCCCTTTCTTTCTCCCTCTTTCTCTCCTTTTTTTCTTAATTTTCTCTTCTCCTCTCTCTTTTTTTATTCTCTCTCTCTCCCCCTCTCTCTTCTCTCTTTGTTTCTCTCTCTGTCTTCTCTCGCTTCCTCTCTTTTCTCTCTTTTTGTCTCTTCTTGACTCTCCCCCCTCCCTTTTCTCTCTCTATTTTTCTCCCCCCCTTCTCTCTCTTTTCTCTCTTTGTCTCTCCCCCTCTCTTTCTCTCTCTCCTCTATCTCCTTCCCTCTCTTTTCTCTCCCCCTTCTCTCTCTTCCTTTTCTCTCTCCTTGTCTCTCTTTATTTCTCTGTCTCTCACTCTTTTCTTGCTCCCTCTCTCTCTTTTCTCTCTTTGTCTCACGCTCTTCTCTCTCTCTCCCCCTCTCTTTTCTCTTTATCCTCTCTCTCTCCTTTTCTCTCTTTTCTCTCTCCCCTTCTCTCTCTTCCTTTTCTCTCTCTTTGTCTCCGTCTCTTCTACTCTCTCTTTTCTCTCTTATTGTCTCTCCCCCTCTTTTTTCTCTCTCTCCTGCTCTCTCTCTCTCTCTCTCTCTCTCTCCCTCTCTCCCTCTCTCTCTCTCTCTCTCTCTCTCTCTCTCAGGATTTTAAGGTAGTGAGGGATAAGACAGGGATGACCAAAGTGGGCGACCTCTCCGCTGCTGATATGAAGAAGGTGCGGCGGTTGGTGCTGATAGAGATGACCGCTCTGTTCGACACGGCCGGCATTGACCTCAAAACACACAAACCCCTCAAGATAAGGGTCAAAGGTCAGTGACAGAAGTGACCAGTCCACTGTGATACGTTGATCTGAAGGCAGTGATTCAGCCTGAATGTATGAATGTTGATGTAATCTCGTGCTGTGTTGCAGAATCAGGGTTGTTTGGGGTTCCTCTGTCCACTGTGCTGGAGCAGGACCAGAAGAGGGTTCCTGGAACACGGGTTCCTCTCATAATGCAGCGGGTCAGTCTGCCGTCTCCTGACCACTGGGGTCAAACGACCTCTTCACCTAAACACGCTCTGCTTTATTTACAACAGCACATCCTAAAAAGACTTTAGAGTCCGCACTGAAGCGAGTACTGATTCCTGCACTTCACACTTCAAAGGGGAATTACATAGAATTTTCAGAATTTCTGAACAGTGCAATCATTGAGATGTAAACAAAGTCATTCAGAGGGTTTTGATCTCTAAAGCTTCATCCCAGAGAAGCTTACCGACTGATTTCTTTACAGTGGTGGTGACGGGAACCTGGGGTCGCCATGACTACAACACAAATTTCATATACTATCCAAACCGCCAGTGAACCTACACGAGTCTTCTGAGTTTATATGGAATGTTGATGATGGAAAATAGTGGAAAATCTGAAATAGTAAGTTTTCTTTGGGGGCTATTTTGTCTCACAGCGCCCTGTATATTATGTATCCCTCCACCATGAATGGAGTTTAAGACTGAAATCTTCTCAAAACTATCCTAAAACAGTGTCTCAGTCATCAGGCAGTGAATTCATAACCATTTCATGTAGTAACTTTCTGTGAGGGAGCTTTTAGAGTTGGACGTCTGGTTCCTATCACCACCACTGTGAACAACTCTGACTCGGTAAGCTTTCTCTAGAATGGATTTCACACCAAACCACTCTGAACGACTCTGTTTACATCTCAGCCACTGAATGCATAAATTTTGAAAAATCGGTGGAATTCCCCTTCATGCATTCTCCTTTGTGCCCTGCGTTTTAGCCGAAATGTTTTGTAGTTTAACCAGATGAATAGGACGTCTAAACTGTATCTGATGAGTTCTGTTTTATTCCTGAGCTTCAGTGCTGCCAGGACCAGAGGAAAAGGAGATACGCTTTCAAATGTTATTTATCACAGGGTTTCTCAATCACTTGGCCATGGACCACCTGTGGGCCAGCACCCTCTGGTGGTTCTTGTTCCATTACTGAGAGGAGAGCCAGTGGTCCTTAGTGGGCCGGTGATGGCACTTTATAATCATAAAAATTGGTGAAAAAATCAATGACATAATAATAAGAAAGAAATATAACGTTTTCATACAGTAAACAACAATAATACAAGCCATGCAAGAACAGCACACAAAGCAGCTGTTGCTCGAAGTTTCAGTCATTCACTCGTGAGTCAAGCATTTCACTTAATTTGCCACCATTCAGCCTGATGTCAGGTACAAACCAAGGTATTGTTAGTCTAATATGTTGGTAATTTATGTTCAGTAATACACATCACATATTGTGGTGCCAAAGCTTTGCTGTGTTGAAAATGTCCCAAATATTTTTCTGCACAACTTTTTACATTAAAAAGCCAGACTATGCTTTATTTACATTTTATTGACCTCTTTCTGTCAAATACAGGCCATCAAACAGTGCCATACCATGCATATTATTACAATAAATTCACATACTGTTTTTCATTGCAAGGGCTCATTTGTAAATAAACATATACAAATCTTTATGTTTAAACAGCCCAGCACCCGACAGTCTGTCGGACTCTGTGCCCCAATTTTGCATTTTACATAGATAGATAGATAGACGGATATTAATGACGGGAAATTGCAGTGTTACAGTCCACATTTTGTGTGTTGTGTGTTTGTTTTTGCTTTAATATCTGACATAATTGTGATTTTATTCTCTCTGATTACAGCTGATTTCCCACATAGAGGACGAGGGGCTGCACACAGAAGGGCTTCTGCGCGTCCCTGGAGCGTCCACTAGAGTGAAGGTGAGAGAGACGGTGTTTGGACCGTTTCAGTGGTTTTCTGCGCATAAATGAACTCAGACCCTCTCAACGGCCTCAAAAACGTACTGGACCGTGACCGCCTCTCAAGCATGTTTCAGATCGGTTCATTTGTAGTTCTTTTTGTGGCCCAATTATTTTGTGCATTGTCAAAACAAAACGGCCCCCTATCCGCTTGTGCTTTAGCCACAGTCTTCAGCACTTAGCGAGCAAAACAGACCACCGAGGGTCATTTATAAGGTACTCAGGATAAAGCCTGCCTGTATTCTCATGACAAGACAGCAGCGCTGACATATTAAAGCAATACGATGCGAGTGATCGTGATTTTACCGTGTTAAAAGCTCAAAAAATTTAGCTGCTTTCACACTGAACGCTGAATGAATGAAAATTCACCGCTGATGGGGATTTTCGCCGAGTGGAGCTCAGTAATGAGCACAGCCCAAAACGGAGCCCACCAGGGTCATTTTTCCAGTTTTGCGTGTTGCGCTTTGCCCAATTGTTTCAGCGCGGCCAATAGAAGAGCATCAGGCATGTCTGGTGGCTCGTCTCGCCACCTGAAAGGTCAGATTTATCACAGAACGCTGCCAGCTTTGCGAGCGCTGTGCCCCCGTGAGTGGTGTGAAAGGAGTTTAAGTTCTAATGGAGTTGTGGTCCGAACAAGAAGTGGTCTGAGATCTCATCGGTGCTCAAAAGGAGCCTTCTGAGATCAGAACTGAGATCATGTGCAGTTGGTTCCCATTCAGATTCACTTTAACAGACCTCAGTTCGGTTCATTTGAAAAGAACTGTATGTGAAAACACCCTTAGAGGGGTCTGAGTTCATCTGGGATGTTCACATATGCAAAAGAAACCATGACTCAGCGGTCTGAGTCCACTTCAGACGCTGAAAAGGCCCAAGTGTGAAAACGCCCAATAAGAACTCAGACCACTCACGGTGGGCACAGCGCTCGCAAAGTGGGCAGCGTTCTCTGATAAAACTGACCTTTCGGGTGGCGAGAGGAACTACAGACATGCAAAAAAGTGGACAGAAATCTGGAAAAAATGTAAAAGACATTTTTTTCCTGCAAAACAAAACTGCACACACAATAATAACTTTGACTCAATGGATCGAATGTGGTATTCTCTGAGCTGTGAGTCAGAAATAACTCATATAAAATGACAGAATGATCATCTTTAACAATAACTGTGACGACTGAGCATCAAATATCATTTAATTATGTAATTGTATTGAGTATCGGATCTGTTCATGGTTTATGCCACTGTAAGTGAAACTAAGAGTGTCCCTGAGGAAGAGCACATAGTCAGGAGAGGGAGATGTAAATGAAGAGCGAGGTCTCTGTGTGAGGGTGTGAGGATGAGCTGCGCATGTTTATGGTGAGCTGGATTTGGTTATTATGAGTAGTAATGCAAATGGGGTGTGTGTGTGTGTGTGTGTGTGTGTGTGTGTGTGTGTGTGTGTGTGTGTGTGCGTCCTGTAGACGGTGTGTCACGAGCTGGAGCTGAAGTTCTACGATGGCTTGTTTCCGTGGGAAGCTCTTAAACAGCATGACGCCGCCAGTCTGCTCAAACTCTTCATCAGAGAGCTTCCTCATCCTCTCCTCACTGTGGAGTACTTCAGCGCTTTCATCTCCGTGCTTAGTGAGTTCACACAAACCTTGTCCCATATGTGTTATACGCCTTGAAGTACCTACATGTAACAATAATGTATCATATGTTATATATCTTTAAATACCTTTATGTGATTATAGTGAGTCTCATATGTATTACCTATGTATGTAAGTGCATTATTTATATATATATATACACATATATATATATATATATATATAGAGAGAGAGAGAGAGAGAGAGAGAGAGTAAGGGAGAGAGAGGGGGAGCGCTTATATATTATAAAAATGTCCCATATGTAGAGCTGGGCAATGTGACAGTATCATTTTCATGATAAATTACATCACAAGATGTCACAATATGCTTGTCCGAGCGTGTTGTGGATATCATCAATACTTAAAAAACACTTTCTGACTGCATGTTTGATGTTTGATAGAGAGCATAATTAGTCCTATTTAACTGGATTCGGTGTAGCACAGTGTGTAAAATGTTGAATACAAATAATTTAATTAATATTTTTTCGTAGTATTTAAAATGTGGGCTCACTTTGTCTGTTCTAACTTATCAGACGTCAAAAAAAAAAATATTGTGACATACCGTGTATAGTAAAAAACATATTGAAGTATCGTGATATGATTACCCACCTGTATAAATACCCATATGTATTATATATATATATGTTATATATGTAATAATAATATTTCCCATTGGGGCATTGTTACAATATTTTGGAATGGATATATATATATATATATATATATATATATATATATATATATATATATACATATAAAATAACATGGATAATAATAAATCTAACCGTAACCATGAGTTTGCTCTTTGAGTTTAACCTCTTACGTGCAATAAAAGTTTTATGACATGCTTCTATAACCTAAAAATAGCTCAGCCAGTTTGCACTGAAGTCCCTTTAGTTACTGAATAATCAGCCTTAGTATGTAAAAAGCCTGAGATTATAAAGGGTTAATAATAATGAAACGTGGAATTTTTGTTGAAAAAGCACTTCACCAGGTCAGAATCATTTTGTTGGCCCTGTTGGTTAGCCGAGTATTACATTTCCATACACTTAGTGACAGACTTATTATAGAATGCAGCTTTAACACACTTTAATGGTGTTTCTCTGCAGAATTCCCCACAAAAAAGCAACAGCTTCAGGCTCTCAATCTGCTCGTGCTTCTCCTACCAGAGTCCAGCCGAGACACACTGAAGGTAATCTACATTCACTCCACTTACACTCTTTATGGTTTACATTCTCAGTAATTCACATTCACCTCACTTACACTTTTTACTATTCACATACACCATAATCCACTTTCACCTCATACCCTTTACTATTCAGATTCACCATAATCCGCATTCACCTAATACCCTTTACTATTCAGATTCACCATAATCCACATTCACCTCATACCCTTTACTATTCAGATTCACCATAATCCGCATTCACCTAATACCCTTTACTGTTCACATACACCATAATCCACATTCACCTCATACCCTTTACTATTCAGATTCACCATAATCCGCATTCACCTAATACCCTTTACTGTTCACATACACCATAATCCACTTTCACCTCATACCCTTTACTATTCACATTCACCATAATCCACATTCACTTCATACCCTTTACTATTCAGATTCACCATAATCCGCATTCACCTAATACCCTTTACTGTTCACATACACCATAATCCACATTCACCTCATGCCCTTTACTGTTCACACACACCATAATCCACATTCACCTCATGCCCTTTACTATTCACATTCACCATAATCCACATTCACCTTATGCCCTTTACTATTCACATTCACCATAATCCACATTCACTTCATACCCTTTACTATTCAGATTCACCATAATCCACATTCACCTCATACCCTTTACTGTTCAGATTCACCATAATCCGCATTCACCTCATACCCTTTACTGTTCACATACACCATAATCCACATTCACCTCATACCCTTTACTATTCACATTCACCATAATCCACATTCACCTTATGCCCTTTACTATTCACATTCACCATAATCCACATTCACCTAATACCCTTTACTGTTCACATTCACCATAATCCACATTCACCTCATGCCCTTTACTGTTCACACACACCATAATCCACATTCACCTTATGCCCTTTACTATTCACATTCACCATAATCCACATTCACCTTATGCCCTTTACTATTCACATTCACCATAATCCACATTCACTTCATACCCTTTACTATTCACATTCACCATAATCCACATTCACCTCATACCCTTTACTGTTCACATTCACCATAATCCGCATTCACCTCATACCCTTTACTGTTCACATTCACCATAATCCACATTCACCTCATACCCTTTACTGTCCACGTTCACCATAATCCACATTCACCTCACACCCTTTACTATTCACATTCACCATAATCCACTTTCTCTTTTACTCTTTAATGTTCACACTTAGAGTAATCCACATTTATTTCATTTATGATCTTACTGTTCTCTTTGAAAATAACCCATATTCATTTCTTTACTTTTCCCATTTGCAATAATCCATGTTCACATCATTTATACTCTTACTGTTCAAAATCACAATTATATATTCTCTTTATTTATACTTTTACTGTTCAAAATCACAATAAACAATATTTATGTTTTACTATTTTCAACACACATTATCTTTTTTAACTCCTTACACATAATAATCCACATTCAATTCACTTCTTTACTGCTTACACTTAAAATAATCCACATTCAATTCACTTCTTTACTGCTCACACTCAAACTAATAATCCACATTCAATTCACTTCTTTACTGCTCACACTCAAACTAATAATCCACATTCACTTCACTTCTTTACTGCTCACACTCAAACTAATAATCCACATTCAGTTCACTTCTTTACTGCTCACATTCAAACTAATAATCCACATTCAATTCACTTCTTTACTGCTCACATTCAAACTAATAATCCAATTGTTTTTTCCCTCAGGCGCTGCTGGAGTTCCTCCAGAGGGTCATCGACCACAAAGAACAGAACAAGATGACGCTGAATAACGTCGCCGTGGTGATGGCACCCAACATCTTCATGTTTAAAGGCTTCCGGAGCAAGATCACCGAGCAGCAGGAGTTCGCCATGGCAACGGGGATGGCCAACATCGTCAGACTGCTCATCCGATACCAGAACCTGCTCTGGACCGTACGGATGAGTTTCTATATTAAAGCCTTACTCCAGATGTAGTCCATCAGCCGAGTCGTGTTTGGTGTCTGAAGTTTGGAAGTAATGGAAGCTTATGCCCAACCAGTTAGCATGGTGCTAACTGCATGCCTAAATCATCAGCCTTAAACTGTGTGGAGTTGTTCAGTATCTCTAATAGACTGAACGTGTGGTTTCTGACACTGTGTTGTCTATAAACATGGACAAAAGTACATTAGCATAGCTAAAAACAGTAGCAGCAGCTCTGAGAGTGAGCAAGCCTGAGTGTTATCCATTCTTTTGTCCATTATGAAATGGTATAGAGCAGCGTTCGGCAATATTTGGCTCTGGAGCTGCATGCGGCTCTTTTACTGTCCTGTTGTGGCTCCACAGCAGAATCAGATCTGTAGGTAAAAATAAAATAATCCTCCTTTACAGTAAAATAAAGCTCTGCTGATCGTTCAACACAGTTTAACAATAAATGGTCTTAAACTCTGGAGTTAATGTAGAACTGCTGATTCACCCTTTAACCCTGAAGATCAGCGCAGACTGCTGGTCACCATAGCAACACAGACAACAGTCTCGCCTAGCTAGTAGCTAACGAAACGGCAGAGAGAGAGATTTAAGACGAACATCGATAATTTGGAGATTAGTGGACTTATTAGTGTTTATAATCACTCCAGCTGGTTTCCTGATACGTTTAATCTGCAACGAGAAACTGAAACATTAAAAAGTCGTGTAGCTGAAGTTGCTTCTCATTCGCCAGCTTCTTGTTTGAATTCTTCCGTTCCACCTTAAATGGTGCCGCTGTTGCATTCTGGCGCCTCAGTCATCATTTAAGGTGGAACGAGAAAATGCAAACAAGAAGCTGGAGAATGAGAAGCGACTTCAGCCTCATAAATAAAGAAACTGTTCTACTTTTGTGGAAAAGTTTCCTGCTGGAGATGCGAGAAAAGCAGCTATAGCTGAGCTAAAGCTTAAAGCAGAGTGAAGTAAGTCTGTGTTTTCATTTATACTATATTTTTTAGTCTATACCAGCACATCAGCACATACTGAGACATATTTACAGCCAAGATGGTAAAATGGTAGTACAAAAGTACAAAATGGCTCTTCTTAACATTTGGGTTGCCGACCCCTGGTCTAGGTCAGCGAGGCCCAAACAGAAACATGCTGTGGTGTTTTTATCATTCTTTTAAATGATGTTTGTCCTTGTTTCTCGTCTAGATCCCAAAGTTCGTGATGAATCAAGTGAGGAAACAGAACACGGAGAACCAGAGGAAGATGAACCGCGACCGCGCCGTCAAAAAACTGCTGAAGAAAATGGCCTACGACCGCGAGAAGAGCAACGACAAAGTGGATAAGAGCTCTGAGGTGAGACAGAACAGACATATGGAACAGAAAGCAACTCACATTACTGCATAGAATCTACCAGATATGTTACGACAGAATAATTTACGATTGAAAAACCACAACTTTCACTAAATCGTCACCGATGGAGATACAAAGAAAGAGCCGAAGAGAGAAAAGAAGAGAAACTGAGCAGTTTGAGGAGGAAAAAAGAGTTGAATGGTTTGAAAAAAGGAAGATGGAAAGAGAAAAACAACAGGAAAGCTCGTCAGTGGCGTTGTGTAAGAGAGGCCTGTGCTGTGGTGGTGAATCAGAGCTGTAGAATGTGAATGACTCAACGTGAACGCAGCCTCAGCTTTACTGCGGCCTGCTGCGACCTCTAGTGGACATGCAGGGGTAGTGCATCTTTCAGCACTCGCTTAATCTGACTCAGAATCACTTGAATTCACCAGGAATATTCCACGTATGAGGAATTTGTGAGTGCACAAATCACAGGGTCCACTTATGATTGTGGTTCATTTCCACATGACCATTTTCCAGCCTCGCTTCATCCGTTACAATAAACAGGCTAATATATGTAAATGAGCTCTGCTCTGATTGGCCTTCTAGGCTGAAACACTCCCTATACCTTCAGTGTAATGATAGCGAATGTGCTGTGGGCTGAATTAACTGATGTATGAATATGCATTCATTTTCACGACGTCACAAAAACAATAGATTCCAAAACAAGCTGTTTTTGTAGCTAAGTTTCCATATATAAACTGAACCGTAAATTCTGAAACGTTCACAGTGTTTACACGCTTAGTTTATGATCCAAAACACGATCTTAGATCTGCAGATACTGGCCTGCTGCAAATCAGTTATCGTAAATTACAGACCATGTGGAGAGGCCAGTTATTATCACCTGTCTGTAAAGCACTTTATGCTGCCATCGGCATGAAAAGAGCTGAATAAATAAATTATTATTATTATGATTATTATTATTATTATACTACATTAAACTCGGGCGGCGCAGTGGTGCAGTGGGTAGCGCTGTCGCCTCACAGCAAGAATGGCCTGGGTTCGATTCCCGGCCGGGTGACCAGGGTCATTTCTGTGTGGAGTTTGCCTGTTCTCCCCGTGTCTGCGTGGGTTTCCTCCGGGTTCTCCGGTTTCCTCCCACAGTCCAAAGACATGCAGTCAGGCTGATTGGACATGCTGAATTGCCCCTAGGTGTGAGTGACTGTGTGACTGTGTATGTCTGTCTGTCTGCCCTGCGATGGACTGGCGACCTGTCCAGGGTGTGTCCTGCCTTCCGCCCAATGACAGCTGGGATAGGCTCCAGCACCCCACCACGACCCTGGAGGATAAGCGGTTTAGATGATGTATGTATGTACATTAAACTTTTAAAAAAGTAAGGAACCAAATATATAAATATTTAACCAAATATTAAACAAAAATAAGACATTTGAGAAAGGGACAATTCAAAACAATTCAATTCAAAACAATTCAAGAACTCATTTGTGACCACAGCCTCTCGCTCTCAAACCACCGCATTACATCTTGTTTCGAGGACTGTCGATTTCCGATTTGCTGCTGTTTTTGTTTGTCTGCTGTGGGCTGATTTATCCATAGCTCTCATAAGAGCACTGTCCAGCATAGTCAGCTGAAGCTGTTGTCTGGTGCTAATGTTACTGATATTACTGATATTGACGACATCAGCAGTAAATGATTGTCAATGATGCCTCAGACTTGATGCGGTTCAGTGATAAACAAATTCACAGAAATAATTAAGCTGAAAAAAAGGTTGCTTTGAATTTACTTGTTTCAAATGTGTGCTTTGGTTTCACACAATTGAAATATGCAAAAGTTTAAACATGACATGATTGTTGATTTTCTGAGTGAAAATACTGGCATTTTTCTGCTAAATTTAGTGCACAGTTTCTATGTATTTTAACATATTGGAAAACAAAAATTAATTTTACTATTTTATCATTACAATTATTGTTTTCTGTTTTGTTCTTACCCTACTCAGTTGTTTTATTTATTAATTCTCATTACTAATCCTCTTGAATGTTTTTGATTTGTTAATATTAAAGTTTTGTTTGTCTCATGTGCTGTTTTAATAATAATTTTTGGTCTTGTTTCATTTTCTTTGCTACACTTTTACCCTCACAAATTTATCTTTACTCTTATCAACCCCCTAATTTTTGTATGGTGCTTAGATACATTGCTGGTAAGGGTCATTCTCAATCTACCCTGAGTTCAAATAAAGATGAAATCTAAAATGTGCTATAACTTTTGCACAGGCAACATTTTATTAGTTTTATTTTGTCTCCCAATATGTTACATTTAGTAAATAGACAGTAATTGTGTATTAAAATATGCAGAAGTGTGTTCTCTGTAGAGGATGTGTTCACTTATTCACACTCAGAAAACCAGGTGAATCAGGTGAACACAAAGCCATTCAGTTCTTGTGATTCATGTGATTCACTTGATTCAAGCACTTTTTCAGTGTTTTATCTGCAGAGCTGTCAAAGGAAGCTGCCAATTAAAAGCTGTATTTGAATGAGATTTGTGGAGTCGTAGCCTGGAGGCTTTAGCCTGGAACTACGGATGGCTTGAAGGGTCAAACTAATAAAAAAAATGAGTGGCGTTCATCATTTATCACACTGACCCCTTAACTTTGACAGCACTAGTTAAAACATGCAGTTGTGTGTGTGTGTTTCAGGCTGAAGGGGGCATCATCAGGGTCCAGGCGCCTCAGTTTACAAAGGTTTCCATGGCGGTGCAGCTCACAGAGGAGCTGCAGGCTTCTGATATCCTCGCACGCTTTCTCAGCCAGGACAGGTACACACACATACACACACAGCCGGCACCAGGGGGTAAATCTCAGAGTACCGCTTTATTAGCACAGCACACTTTAGATGGTCTGTAGATACTTTCCTCTGTTAAAGATCTATTAAATTCATTTTCCTTAAACCTAACATTAACCATGAAAGTCTATAAAGCTCTGTCCGAGTGAGACCAACCTCTGACCTCAACAACAACAGTTGGATTAAATTGCATTTCTTTAGGAAACAATACAGGGCATCATAGAATATTACAGTACTGTACAAAAGTCTGAAACTGCCCTTCATTTAATTAATTCCTGTTAAAACGACCATTGAGTACAAGCTGTACAAGAGTTTTGGACTTAAAGATTAAAAGCTACAGAGAAAATGAGACTCCTAACAACCACCTGGAAGAGCTGGTAGACACCAAAACTGCCCCCATCCTCATTGGTAAATACAATAATTGTGGGGTGACGGCGGAAAGCGAGAGACGAGGACGGGCAGGAGCAGATAAACTGCTAAATTTAGATACTCACCTCGTCGACTCTTACACCCTGAGACAGTGTGAGTCTGTCGTAAGGTTAGGAAAACATTTAAGAACTTAATATCTTCAAGAATAACACTTGTTTTTAGAATTATTCTTAAGAAAATAATTAAGAAAAGAAAATAAGAGAATTCTTAAGAGGTTTTTTTGAAGAATGACAATTTATCGTAACTATTTTTCTGAAGAATGAAGTTTAGGAAAAACACACATTTCTTAAGACACTTCCGTGAATCCGGCCCCTGCTTCTGCACCCTGCATGGTTACTGTAGTCAGTCTATAATGTTGCCTTAAAGGTGAAGTTAACCCTCTGTCTGCTGTTTCAGCTCCGTGTCAGTGAAGAGAGAAGAATTGTGTCTGTTTGAAATCGGAGGAAACATCAGTGAGTACCGCACACTCTCTATCACAGATCTACATCCACCATATACAGCACTGGGTAAACGGCACCTGAGCACATTGCTCAAAAGCGTGGATTTATTCAGTTTTATCAGCACACCTGACTTAATTTAATTAAGACTTGATTAATCAGGCCAGGTATTGGACAATAACTACAAATATTACTGGGTGTCCATAAATATGCATTTGTAATGCATTCATAATGCATTACAGATGCATTTATAGGGCATTACATGGCATGCAGAACACCTTATAATACTGGGCATAAACTTGTATAATGTAGTTATAATGACATGCATAACACTTTATAAATCAAAAGTGTGTGACATCATAAATCAGGTTCTGTAATGCATTATAACATCTGTTCATAAGAACATTGTAGATACTAATGCTGTAGCACACTGTTACACTAAGGCTGCGTTCACATTGCCAGGCTAAGTGGTGCAAATCCGATTTTTTGCCCTAATGTGACTCAGATCTGATGTTTTTAGAGCCGTGTGAACACATAAATCTGATCTTTTCAAATCCAACCTGGCTACGTTTACATTTAAGCCTCATTGCTCAAATCTGATTTTTAGCTGTGATCTGATCTCTCGCACATTACCAGGTTGAAGTGGCAAAAATCTGATTTTTTGCCCGAATGTGGCTCAGATCTGATGTTTTCAGAGCTGTGTGGACACAAAAATCTGATCTTTTTAAAGTCACTTTCATGCGTGGTCCTAGATCGGATACGTGTCTGATGCGCGACCTTAATTTGACGCTCAGATGGGAATTCATGTGCTTTTTCTCCACTGCGCGTGCGCCATCATTCAGCGTTACCATGGCAGCAGCGCCGAACAGAAGTCAAAGCCTGTAAACGGTGGAAAAGCAGCTCATCTCACCTTTTTCTCCTTCGTCTCGCTCTAATAATGAAGCTGAGAGCTGATCAGAGTTAATGATCTTCTCAGCGAAGCTCGTTCTGCTCGTTAGTTTGTGCTGATGATGAACGTGATTCATTCACGTGACGTTACTGAGTAGGATGAGCTCATGAGGGTCATTTCAGGACGCCGGTTCATCACATTAATGTCAGATTTGAATCACGTAAACGAGTGTGAACAATCCTGTCAGAGAGATCGGATCTGAGCGAAAAATCGGATTTAAGCAATGAGGCTTGTAATGTGAATGTAGCCTATATATTCAGCTCACCCCCTGTGTGTACTGTGTTTGTAGAAGAGCGCTGTCTGGATGAGGAAACGTATATGAAAGCCCTCCTGGAGCTAAACCCCGCCGCAGAGTGGGTCATCAAGTCCGTCCAGCGCTAACGTCATCTCCACAACCTGCCAATCAAGCACGCTCTCAACCAATCACACTACAGCTCCCAAGGGAGAGGACTGAGACCAGCTTTAAAGGGAAAGTTCCACTTCAGTTTTTATTGTTGTTTTTAAATACCTGAAGGCCTGTGTAGACTCAACCTGCCTTTTATTACATACTGGACACTTTGCTGCTGTTTTTTTTTTAAAGTTATGTTTTTTTTAGAAAAAAAAAATCCTTCCAGTTGCTGTTTTCTGGATCTAGAAAGGATTTGAGCTTCATCATCTAGTAGACGTCATTCAACAAACACCAGCATGACTTTGCAGCAGTGAAGGAGCAAATGGGAGATGCATTCAGATAACTGTACAAATCATCGCTGTTCATTTTTTGCAATTTATGACTGAATTTTTCATTTTTTTTATTGACATGGATGTGAGGATGCATATATTTGCTCCTCTGCAGATGTTTAGTTCTGTATACTCCCAAAGCAACAGATCCAACACGTATATATATATATATATATATATATATATATATATATATATATATACATATATATATATTGTATTTTGCAAAGGCTTCTCAGCCAATCAGAACCCCGAACTACCTGTTTCATAACATATTTTGGGTTAAGAAAAGAGGTTCCCCCATCCAGAGCAGAGTTCTTCAAGAGTTCTATGTAAAGGCAATAGTCCTGTTTAGAACCATGAGTTCTAAATAGATCCTTAAATGCTTCTTTGCATGATGAAATGCTTCTTCAGATTGATGGAGAATGTGTTGTATATGGTTCTATATAGAATCTTTTTGAAAAAGGTTCTATATAGGACCAATAAGGGTTCTTCTGTTGTGATGTCAAGCTTGTAACAATAGCAGAACTTTTTTAGTGCTATATAGACACCTTTTCAAAAAGATTCTGTGTAGAACCGTACACAACACATTCTCCATCAATCAGAAGAGCTGTTTCGCTATGCAAAGAACCACTTGGTTCTATATAGAATTCATGGTTCTAAGTAGAACCATTGCCTTCAACAAGGTACCCTTGAATAACCATCTTTTTTACGTGTTTATAGAACTTAAAAAAGCAAAAAAACACTCCCTTTTTAGCACAAATGCAAATATAATACAAGCACAAATGACCCCCTTCTTTAGTGTTAATGAAAGAAATACAGCACTTCTAAATCAGCAGATCCTACTGACCACTATCACAGTGAGGACCTGAACTGTCTTCTGAAATCTAGATAGGACAGATATTATTTTTATAGTTCTTTTTGGACCTTTTTCATATTTCTTTCAGATCATAAGGGTCTCTTCCTTGGTTCCAGAGAGATCTTTTTTCAGGTCAGATGGGAATTTAAAGATATTAATGGCAACTTTTGCTCTTGTTTGTAAGAACTGCCCTACTGGGCCAATTAACTGGGAGTTAAAGCTTAGAAAGCATATTAATGCAGTTAATTTACTCTTTTTTTGTTCTTTTGACAAATATGAAGCATATTTTGTATCAAACGATCAAACATTTCAGTCACAAATCACAGCCGTCCACACATTTCAGTTGTGCGCTTTGCATCCTAAATTCAGATTCGCCTTTCCATGTGATTCGGTGCCTTGGAGCCTCAGTTGTAAAGAGAGTAAAAAAAGTCATTTTTGTCTGAAATCTGTCGAAAAAACACAATATGGTCTCCTTTCAAGCCGCCCACTGCCAACAGCACTTTTAATTGCAAGCAAAGCAGAAAAGCATCCCTATAATAAAAGCTTAAATGAGGGAAGTGGAGCTTGGAACGTGTTCATGGATGTTTTAAGGTGTTTCCTATGAATTCAAACGTGGGTGAACATGATGTAGTCTGCTCTGAAGCCCTGCTGAGTAGTCACCCCCAGTGTGCGCTCCCTGGTTCCTACCATTATTACATCCTCAAGCCACTAGATTTTGTGTGCAGACTTTGAACTGGCCTTCGTAGCTCCTAACATTGCTTTTGTAGCTTACACCTGTGGTCATTACATACTGTCCTGTGGCTAATGCCTTCAAACTGGCCTCTACAGTTCAAGAACCAACTTCAATAGAGTACAAAATGGCTTCTTTACCTTACAAAATGGCCTACACTGGCCTGTAGCTGATGAAACAGCCCATGTAGCCTTTGAACTGGTCTCTGCAGCTGTAGAAATCTTGTGTGCTGTTCACGAGACAGTCTATAGATTGGCTTCTGTAGCTTACAGAGTAGTCATGCAGGCTACAGGCTAGCCCTAAGCTACTGAAATGGCCTGTGTGGCCTTCAAAATGGCATCTGCAGCTTCTGGAGTCTGCAGTTCACAAACCAGCTTTTGTAGCTTCCAAAGTGGCCAATGCAGCAGGTTCCAAACTGGCCTTTAGCTAAAGAAAGGCTTGTGTTGCTTTGTAGCTTAAACCATGTGTCTGCAGTCCACAAACCAGCTTCTGAATGGCTTCCTTAGCCATTCCTCAGGTTACAATCTGGCCTGTAGCTAATGAAACAGCCTACATAGCCCTTGGATTGGCTTTGGCATCTTAAAAACCATGTCTGCAGTTAGTCTGTAGCTAATGAATAAGCCTGTGTAGTGTCTGAATTGCCTAAAAATGGCTTCTGCAGTGCACAAACCAGCTTCTCCAGTTTACAAAGTGGCTTTTTCAACTAAGAAAATGGTCTCTTCAGCTGATACGCTGGCCTGAAGCCAATGGCTTTCAGTTTGGCTTGAAAAGTCATGTCTGCATCCACAAACCACCCTCTTTAGCTAACGAAATGGCTTTTGTAGCTGAGAAAATGATCTCTACAGGCGAAATGCTAGTCTGTAGTCAATGAGAAAGCATTGAATTGTTTAAAAATGGTGTCTGCAGTGACTAAACCAGCTTCTGTAGCTTTCCAAAGTGGTCACTGTAAGTTCAGACTGGCCCTTAGCTAATAAACCAGCCTGCGTAGCCTTCGCACTGGCTGCTACAGCTCAAAAACACTGCAGTTCACAAAACACTTTCAGTAGCTTATGAAACAGCCTTGGAAGGTTACAAAATGGTCTCTTGCCTGTAGCGAATAAACAGTCTGTGTAGCCTTTGAATTGCTTAAAAATGGTGTGTGCAGTGACCACTGTGGAAGCTAGAGAAGCTGGTCCTGTAGGTCACAAACTGGCATGTAGCTCATAAAAGACGTGTGCAGCCTTCTAAAGCATAAGAATTGGTGTCTGCAGTTCACAACCCACTGGCTTTTCCAGCTTACCGAATGTTCTTAACAGGTTAAGAGCTAGCCTGCAGCTAATTAAATGGCCTATGTAGCCCTCAGCCACTTCCTGTTGCTTATGAAATGTCCTCTACAGCTTACAGAGTGGTCTCTACAGGCTGAACTGCCTGTGTAGCCTTGCAGTGCACAAAACAGCTTCTACAGCTTAGAAAGTAGCTTCAGCTCTCAAAATGGTCTCTTCAGGTTATACGCTGGCCTGAAGCTAAAGCAACAGCCTGCATGGCTTTCAGTTTGGCTTGTAAAGTCATGTCTGCGTCCACAAACCACCCTCTTTATCTAACGAAATGGCTTTTTGTAGCCAACAACATTGTCTCTACGGGCTAAGAAGTGGTCTGTAGTTAATGAAAAAGCATTGAATTGTTTAAAAATGGTGTCTGCAGTGCAAAAACCAGCTTATGTAGCTTCCAAGGTGGTCACTGGGTTACAGACTGGCCTGTAGCTAATGAAACAGCCTGCGTAGCCTTCGCGCTGGCTGCTACAGCTTCAACTGCAGTTTCGCATGCCACATTCAGTAGCGTACGAAGGCTGACAAAAAGGTCTCTTGCCTGTAGCTAATGAATGGTGTCTGCAGTTCACAACCCAGAGGCTTTTCCAGCTTATAGAATGTTCTTAACAGGTTAAGAGCTAGCCTGCAGCTAATTAAATGGCCTATGTAGCCCTCAGCCTAGCTGCTACAGCTTTAAAACTTCACCTCCACTTCCTGTTGCTTATGAAAAGTCCTTTGGAGCTTACAAAATGGTCTCTGCAGGCCAAGAACTTGCCTGTAGCTAATGGAACTGCCTGTGTAGCCTTTGAATTGCGTAAAAATGGTGTATGCAATGCACAAGCCAGCTTATGCTGCCTCCAAAGTGGTCACTGCAGGTCGCAATCTGGCCTGTAGCTCATATAAGACCTGTGCAGCATTTGCTTAGTTTCTAAAGCTTAAGAATTGGTGTCTGCAGTTCACAAACCAGTGGCTTTTCCAGCTTACAGAATGTGCTTAACAGGTTAAGAGCTAGCCTGCAGCTAATGGTCTATGTAATCCTCAACCTGCAGCTTCAAACCTTCGAACCAGCTGTTCACGACCACTTCCTGTTGCTTATAAAATGGCCTTTGGAGCTTACAAAGCGCCCTCTACAGGGCTAAGTAGCTAATGGTGTCTGCAGTTCACAAATTAGCCTAAGAAAATGGCGTTTGTAACTAATGAACTGGCACTTATCGCTTACGACGTGGTTATGAACTAGCCTGAAGCTAATGATGAGCTAATAATGTCTCTGTAGCTTTCAAACTGGCTTCAAAGCCAACTTCTGTAGCTTATAAAATGGCTTTCACAGCTCAGAATGCCCTGGGTGATCTGCCCAAGGTCCAGCACGAAATAAACACGGGAGGAAAGCTGCAGCAAACACTTCCAGTCCAGCACACACAGCTGTGTAACGGTACTTTGAAAGGAGGGGACATGTCAACACACCTGCATACAACATATCAAGTCGTAATGAAATTTCCAATCGTAGATGGTTGCTGTCGTTATCATTTCTAATAATGTAGCCGTCATTTCAAATGAATAGTTCAATTCAGGTGATTTTTTTATGATGACTGTCTTTATTGTATGTTTTATACTGTGAATATGACAACAAAGTGACTGTACTGTGCTGTAACACGTCATAAATAACCACTAAACATTTTTTGTAAATAAATACATAATTAAACGCTTCTGTGTGAGTCCGCATTTGATGTGCTGGTGAACAGTGAATGTGTCTTTAATGCAGTTGAGAGAAGTGTGAGTGAGGGATGTTGAGAGTTTCATGTTATATCTGAAGCCTGTAACAGACATTATCATATATCTGAGCTCATATGTATCAGTTTTACAGTGACTCTGTAAGGTGTCCTGCATAGAGCTGCCGCCACTGTTTTCCATTTCTAACAACTAACTGGAACCTGCTTAGGCTCATATTCACCGTCAGTGATGTATCTAGAACTTCCACAAGGACTAGAGTGATGTTTTTTCTCCCAAAACTGGTCCCACTGTAAATTAGAGCATGATTAGTTGATTCCTCTGTCATTTCCTAGTTATGTTGGTAGTTAGTCTAAGGTGTAAGGGCTTCTGTCCAGCTCCTGAAGTCCTAACCAATCGCTTGGTTGTATCTACTTAGATACCACAGAGAAGGTAATCCTGATTGGATAGTTTCCTATTTAACCCTCTTAATAAGAGTATTGCTGCAATAATTACAGAGTACAGCAAAGTGAAGCAAGCGTGATGGTACTATAAAAATGAACTAAAATTACAGATATTACAGTATTTTTATTTCACAGAAATTATTAGGTCTTCTCTAAATGCCCTGATGGTTCCCCACTGATTAATACACAGTCCTCACATATATATGTGTGTAATACATATGGGCACTTACATATATAATATTGCTGTTGGGGCAAAACCTTGTATCTCCATTTTTGACATGCAAAAACTTCATTGGTACTTTTGCTGGAAGGTCCTCTGTAATGATGTGGTAATAGCTCTGTAAATACACAACATAGTGGTAAATTCCCTGTAATATGATGGAAACAGGACTGTAACTTTGTCCACAGTGATTAAAAAGTAAAGTATCTCTTGTCCTCCCACATTACCCCCTCCCTGTGATTAGTGTTGGTGTTAGTGCTGGGTATTTCTTGCTATCTGTTGAAGTGCCTGTTCAAAGTAAAAGAGCTTTTGCCCCCATGCATAAGATTTTCCCTGTCTTCTTCTATGCTAACACTACAATCGCAGCAGTATCCCCCGAACTCACAGCAACATCTGAAGTCTTACCAACACACAGTGGCGTCTCTGGCACAGAAAGGCTGTGGGCAGTTAGTGTAAGAGGACAATATGAGTACTAATGATTTCTTGTATAACTAAGTTTTATCACCTGTCTGTAAAGCACTTTGAGCTGCCACCGGCATGAAAAGTGCAATAGAAATAAAATTATTATTATTATTATTATTATTATTATTATTATTATTACTTCTGGTGAGTTTCAGATGGTTTTGGTTTCAGTAGGTTCTGCAGGTTTGCATCCAAAATGCCTTTGTATATTTCTGAGTTTGTGAACCATCAGGGAACACAAGCTCACCAACGCTACTGAAGGAAAACATCCCCAGACTTCGAGGCTTCCTCCTCTGTGCTTTACAGAACCCTCAGTGCTGGTTGGAGGTCTTCTCCAGGCCTTCTCCACTCAGAGTCTACCATCAGTCTGATGTTGTTGTGTTGTGTAGTGTAGTGTTGTTTCATACTGTTGTTCCTGAGAACTTTAGGAAGCTCTTTCACCTTTACTGCTCCCTTCTCTGTGCTTTACAGTAACCTTCAGTGCAGTCTTCTTGGAGTTTTTCTCCAGGCTTTCTCCACTTGTGTGAAACCTCCCTAACTGAGGACCACGCTGTCTTACTAGATAGACTATAAAAACTTGTAGGGGTAAAAGGAATAGCTCTTTCCTGGTTCAGGTCTTACCTCACTGTCCACTATCAGCTTGTTAATGTAAACGGTGAATCATCTGTCATCGCAAAAGTAAAGTATGGTGTTCCACAAGGCTCTGTTTTAGGACCTGTATTATTCACAATATATATGCTACCACTGGGCACTTTTTTCAGTAAACACAGCATAAATTTCCACTGCTATGCCGATGACACACAGCTGTAAAATCACCAGCTACCCTTAATAAAAACATAAATAATATGAACAGTTTCCCAATTAACTTTCTTTTAAAATTAAGGATGTTTTTCTTCTCCTGTAAAGTGTAAAGTTACCTTTTTGGAGACACCAGGTTTTGTTCTGGCAGTGATGGTATAATAAATACGGGGCATATCGCTGCTGTCAGAAGAAAACCTCGTATCTCCATTTTTGACATTTTTTAGTTTTTGTCATAATTTGAAAATACCTGTTACCCTTTACGTTGTGTGTAAATTCCATGAAGAATGGACCAAAAGAAATGGCCCAAAATTGCTTGGGAAAAACTCTGGTTCCATTGACTTACATTAAAAGTAAAGTAGGTTTTTTCCTTCTCCTGTAAAGTTACCATTTTGGACATACGAGGTTTTCTTCCAACAACAGCGATATATTTATTACGTGTAGATGCTTATGTATCTAAAATAGATACAGGACATTATTATTACATATATGTACTTACATTTATATCACATACATGGGATATTAATATTAAATAATGGTATTTATACATATGTAGATAACACATAAGATGTATGTATAACCTGACGTCCTGACAGTGCATTAAAAGTGCTACATTATGAGGACGTGTTTGCGCTGGAGTGGCTGCAGTGTAGCGTGTAAAGCGTGTGTGTACTGGGGAAATGGTGTCCAAACACAGTTTGGAGGAGTGAGGTGACCCGACCTGACGAGTTCACACACTGCGTCCAGCATCGTCCGCAAACGAGCTTTATCTGGGTGGAGAAAAAAAACAATAGAAAAAATCATATCTGCATACAAAACAAACACTAGATTTACACTCATATACAGATATCAGACTTTACTGAGGACATGAAATAACCACTTATCACTTATATGACCACTTATTTAATAAATATAAATATTAAGTGATTTTTGCTCTTTAAAATGAAAGTGTAGATTGTAAACTTTCAACCTGTGTAACATTTGTTTGTAAGTAGAAAAGCAGATATTTTAGTATGATTTGAATTTGATAACTTATTGTTGCGTACAGTTTTGTTTTGCAGAAAAACATCTTTTACATTTTTGACATAATTTTTGTTATTTTTTGTCATTTTAACAAACAAAAAATTCCGAAGGGCAGATTCGAACCTGTCAATACAGAATGTAAATCAAACGTAAATGCAAATGTCATTGTTGAACAAATGTAAGTATGTAATCTGTGTAAAATGTGAGTATATTGAGTAAATTGGTGCATATTTTTTACATTTTTGCATCATATTTTTACACCATTACACCTTTCCAATAATGCAACTGTCTGCTAGTATCCCTATGGGATTCTAATAGTATGTTAGCACTATGCTAAAGGCAATTCACAGTTTCTAGACTTGTAAAATAAATCTAATTGATAGCAAAACAAAGATTGTCACTGACTTTATAAGGCTTAAAAACACTAACACACATTAAAGTAAGGTATACGTGTTCCAGTTAAAATCATTAGTAAAAATATACTAAAAAAAATAGGTAACACTACTGTAGGGTGTTGTTCATAAGGCTACATATATCCTACATAAGCTTGTCATGACAACTCGCACAACTCTACATAAATGTTTAGCTGCTTTAGCTAAGTGTGATCATAAATGGCAAAGGTAACCTATATGGTAAATGACACCTTGGAACAAGCTTTTCTGAACATTTATGTAGGGTTATGTCGGCTGTCATAACAAGCTTGTGTAGGTTTCATGAACAGCACCCTACAGTAAAGTGTTAGTGAACAATAAGCAGAAATCGTCACTGTTGACCCTGTTTTATTAGAGTGCTGCTGCTCACTCCTTCACACAGGGATTTGCATGTGTTTGTTTGTTTGTTTACTTATTTGTTTGTTTACCTTGCCTGTGGTTCCTTTTCCATTGGGTCATCCAGAAGCCTTGCAGCGTGATGTTTTTGAATATGAGGAATTTCTGTATGGCGAGAAACGAAAGTGTGAGTTTGCTGCGATGCGCACTTGTGTCAATACAGTACAGTCGTACTGTGCAAAAGTTTGAGCACCCCGGGTCTAATGACAAGTTTTCTGAGTTTTCTCTTATTTTACCCTGTTCTTCAGTGGTCAGGACACCCACTGACCCTCACAGAGCAGGTACTATTTGGGTGGTGGATCATTCTTAGCACTGCAGTAACACTGACGTGGTGGTGGTGTGTTAGTGTGTGTTGCGCTGGTCTGAGTGGATCACACACAGCAGTGCTGCTGGAGTTTTTAAACACTGTGTCCACTCACTGTCCACTCTATTAGACACTCCTACCTTGTCGGTCCACCTTGTAGATGTAAAGTCAGAGACGATAGCTCATCTGCTGCTGCACAGTTTGTGTTGGTCATCCTCTAGTCCTTCATCAGTGGTCACAGGACGCTGCCCACAGGACGCTGTTGGCTGGATATTTGATCCACTCAGACCAGCGCAACACACACTAACACACCACCACCACATCAGTGTTACTGCAGTGCTGAGAATGATCCACCACCCAAATAGTACCTGCTCTGTGAGGGTCCATGGGGGTCCTGACCACTGAAGAACAGGGTGAAAGGGGGCTAACAAAGTATCAGAGAAACAGATGGACTACAGTCTGTAACTGTAGAACTACAAAGTGCACCTATACAGTAAGTGGAGCTGATAAAATGGACAATGAGCATAGAAACAAGGAGGTGGTCAGAATGTTATGCCTGATCGGTGTATAGCCATGTTACCCTGTGCTGTCTGTGCTTCTGAAAGAGAAGAGGAAGTGTAACTGTACTCACTGCTGGAATGTGCAGAGGTTTTTTGGCCATGCCTCCATACGTCACCAGCGTGCCTCCATAGCTGAAGAGGGGAGAAGAACAGAGGTGGTTAAACTCTGCAGGAATGTTTGAACCTCAGACTTTTTTATTCATTATTTAATCATAGTAACGATGCTCTTACTCAGGTACGAGTTTATGCACAAAAGTTGACGTTATCAGTTTGTAAAGACAGACAGAAGGAAGCTTACTCTAAACTGGACAGCACGAGACCCCCGCTGACCCCTCCTACACAGTTCAGCCCCAGTTTGGGTTTAGGAGCCTCCTGCAGTGAGGAAAAGCTCAGACGTTAGATCATTCGTGACGTGTGGACTGCAAAAAGTTCTTTTCACAGTGCTGAGGAGCCATTTGAGATTCAAGCTGTGTCCCAATTGAGGGGCTGCGTCCTTCGGAGGCTGCCTTTGAAGGCCGATTGTGTCACAGCGGCGCAACTAGGCTGTCCCATTTCGAAGGCTCCTTTATATGCGGCTGAGAAATGTGTCCTTCTTTTCCATGGCAACCCGTTGGATCCTTTGCCGGCCAACATATCCTGAGGTTCACTGTGTGCCGGCGAGGATTTGAGGACGGCGGCTGAGGAGACACTTTAAATGTAAGTATTGGGTTTAAACTGAGGCGGATAGCGAACGATACAGATGTTAAAAGGCCAATCTCATCAGTCTAAGATACGTCACGCTCTGGCGCAGGCGCTGGCGGTGAAGCATCTCCAGCTCTAATAAACTAAAATATTAAAAAAACTAAAATCAAAGTTTCTCCATCTTTAAAGAACTTCAAAAGAACATGGCCGGAGCGGCGTTTCGTGAGGCAGCGGTGAGGGCGGGAACAGCGGTGCTGTGATCCAAACAGGAAATCCACCGTAGAGCAGACCGACTCATTTCAGTTCAGCCTATGTGGGTCTACACAGCCTTCATAGACTGTGTCCTTTAAAGGATGCAGCCCCTGAATTGGGACACGCTGTCAGACTTCAGTGAGATTCAGCACTTCCTGCCAGAAAGTATAAAAAGAGTGACATCATCAAACACCTGGAAGACATGTTGAAGGCCTGATGACATCACTTCCTCTTCTGTGAGGACATAATCAGCTCCCAGAGTCTGCAGCTCTTTCATCAGCTCAGCACGATCTGGCCTGAGGATCACAGAGATTTAGAGCTGTTAGAGGAGCATTGATTGTCTACCTATCTGATGATGTGGAGTGTTCTGATTGGATGACAGTGTACCTGTCTCTGATGATGTGGAGTGTTCTGATTGGATGACAGTGTACATGTCTCTGATGATGTGGAGTGTTCTGATTGGATGATAGTGTACCTGTCTCTGATGATGTGGAGTGTTCTGATTGGATGACAGTGTACATGTCTCTGATGATGTGGAGTGTTCTGATTGGATGACAGTGTACCTGTCTTTAATGATGTGGAGTGTTCTGATTGGATGATAGTGTACTTGTCTCTGATGATGTGGAGTGTTCTGATTGGACACTAGCGTACCTGTCTCTGATGATGTTGATGGTTCTGATTCCCATTGCTGCGGCTATCTGGATCACTGCCTGACCAACAGCACTGTTTGCTCCATTCTGGATCACTGTAGAGCCTGAGGGATTAACACAGTCATTTACACGAATGATGTAGGAATACATGATGGTATTGTACATAAATAGCATGAATAGCTGGTGCTTATAGAGAAATACTTGGCAGTTGCCATTGTAAAGTCTGTGCTCAGTGCCTTTTTGTGTCTTAAACATTACTGTAGCTGGATTAGTTGTACTTTGGGAGATCCTACAGTATTTCTGGCAATATCAGTAATTTTAGTTGAGTATGAATGTGTAGTTTTACAGTCTGACTGTAATAATTGTGGAGCGATTTTAATCCAGTATGAATCTGCAGTGTGTGTAGTTTTACAGTCTGACTGTAATAATTGTGGAGCGATTTTAATCCGGTATGAATCTGCAGTGTGTAGTTTTACAGTCTGACTGTAATAATTGTGGATGATTTTAATCCGGTATGAATCTGCAGTGTGTAGTTTTACAGTCTGACAGTAATAATTGTGGAGCGATTTTAATCCAGTATGAATCTGCAGTGTGTAGTTTTACAGTCTGACTGTAATAATTGTGGAGCGATTTTAATCCAGTATGAATCTGCAGTGTGTGTAGTTTTACAGTAATAATTGTAGAGCGATTTTAATCCAGTATGAATCTGCAGTGTGTGTAGTTTTACAGTAATAATTGTGGAGCGATTTTAATCCAGTATGAATCTGCAGTGTGTGTAGTTTTACAGTCTGACTGTAATAATTGTGGAGTGATTTTAATCCAGTATGAATCTGCAGTGTGTGTAGTTTTACAGTAATAATTGTGGAGCGATTTTAATCCAGTATGAATCTGCAGTGTGTGTAGTTTTACAGTAATAATTGTAGAGCGATTTTAATCCAGTATGAATCTGCAGTGTGTGTAGTTTTACAGTAATAATTGTAGAGCGATTTTAATCCGGTATGAATCTGAAGTGTGTAGTTTTACAGTAATAATTGTAGAGCGATTTTAATCCAGTATGAATCTGCAGTGTGTGTAGTTTTACAGTAATAATTGTAGAGCGATTTTAATCCGGTATGAATCTGAAGTGTGTAGTTTTACAGTAATAATTGTAGAGCGATTTTAATCCAGTATGAATCTGCAGTGTGTGTAGTTTTACAGTAATAATTGTGGAGCGATTTTAATCCAGTATGAATCTGCAGTGTGTGTAGTTTTACAGTAATAATTGTAGAGCGATTTTAATCCGGTATGAATCTGAAGTGTGTAGTTTTACAGTAATAATTGTGGAGCGATTTTAATCCAGTATGAATCTGCAGTGTGTGTAGTTTTACAGTCTGACAGTAATAATTGTGGAGTGATTTTAATCCAGTATGAATCTGCAGTGTGTGTAGTTTTACAGTCTGACAGTAATAATTGTGGATGATTTTAATCCGGTATGAATCTGCAGCTAATCCAGCTCCAGCAGTGCTTTAACGTGTATAGACTTGTATAAGACCTTGAACAGGAGCTCTTAGTTAGAGATGAGGTAGAGCGCCCCCACCTGGCGTAAGTGCCTGGAAGTCGTGCAGCATCCTGTAAGCAGTGCAGGGGTTTACTGCGATCGTGGCGGCTCCGAGCACAGAAATATCTTTCGGGACAGCGATCAGGTCATCCTCCTCACACACTGCCTCGGTTCTCCATGTGCCTTACAGACACACACATGACATTGTTTATGACATGACAGTGTTTTTCCAGAAGAGATTTGGGGCATACTACGCATTATAGATTCCCAAAATAGCCCCCAGTATACAAACAACACTTCACTTACTCTGATTGTTCAGCAAAAAAATGAATTAAAACAGTTTAATGTGAAACGTAGTTGATTATCCTGTATATGTAATGTCTGAATTTGCTTCTTTAGTTGAGCACAGAAAAAGAAGGCTAATTCCTTTCCAAACAGCAGTGTGTGAACTGTGTTCCTTAATCTTGGAGTTGTGGTCTCAAATATACTTGCTCATGTGGTTTCTCACACTTTATGACACAATCTACCAACCACAGCAGGTGGTGCAGCATAGTGGCTAATACTACTGCCCTCTACATGGCAGACTGGGGTTCCATTCCCCACCCGGGTAACCACACCAAGCACTTCCTTGGGCAAGACTCCTAACGTGACATTTATCTACATCTGCAACATGAACAAGCACACCGTTTAAGAAAGGCTACAATAGGTTGTTTACAGTCACATGATTCGGATGAGGTGCGAAATCGGTGGAGGGCAGGAGGTGAAAAGCAGAATGGACGGAGCTGAGCTCGTACTGTGCTAGTTTAGACGATATTACAGGAGAAAAATATTAACAGAAAATCACGGCATATGTTGGATGTGATCCTCACATCGTGAAGAGGAGCGATTTTTAAACTGAACTGAAAGACTCGAGGCAGCAGATGTGAGCAGCTACCTCGTCATCCAGACATCCTTCTACTCAAGAACACAATGAAAGCAGACAAAAGTGTGGAGGCACAACTCTACGAGGCTGAAGTTGGCTTCCTATTCGAATTTTCCCAATCCACCTTAAATGGTGCAGTTATTATTATAACGCCTGATGCCAGACTGTAACTGCTGCACCATTTAAGGTGGAACAGGGAAATTGGAATGAGAAGCTGACGTGTCAGGGTGAGTTATTTACGTCCGTCTGTCTTTTGTGTAGCTGTTAACCCTGATTTTAGTGTCAGTGCTGCTGCTTGTAGTTGTTTTAAATCTATCAGTAGTGCAGAATGCAGCACTCCTTTTCTCCTGACCGCAGACGAAGCCATTTCTGATGGTCAGTTTCTTGCATTTTTCCCCAGCTTTTGGTACTCGATAAAAGCTCATTGTGGTTTCTCTGTTAGATCGACTAGAGCAACTGTAAACGACACAAACCACAGGCACTTTGGGAGCTTGTGACAGTAATTCCTAGGTAGAAAATCACTTCCTGCCCTCCATCTGCACTTGGTGCCACAGCAACGCAGTGATGTGACGTCATTTGCAAAGAACCTATTACGGGTAAGGGTGTAGATATGCAATGGGCCCTTTTCACATTTCTGCATTTTTCCTGCTGGAAGTTCTCGTTTCAGGCTGACGCTGCTTCTGCTAAAGCAACGACAATGACAGCGATGCTGAGTGGAGCGCGTACAGCTCACTGTGTTCAAAAACAAACTCATCTCATCTCAGTCGTTTGTCAGCTGATCATGAACAGAGGAAAAAGGAGTTTGTGGAATTAACAAAGGAATAAACTTTACAAACTACAGATTAAAAGAACGTGTCAGCATCTCACCACTGCTGACCAGCGATAACGTGCAGTTTGTGCTTTAAAGTTGCTGCTGCAGCCGCTTTCAGAGGAACAGTTTTCATTTCCTCCCTCAAAAGCTGAGGGTATCTGGCTCCCGAGTGGCGCAACCGTCTAAGCGTTGGCCCTATCATCAGGAGATCGCGTGTTTGATCCCTGATGATGCCACAGCCGTCCGTAGCCGGGAGTCCGAGAGAGCACAATTGGCCTCGCTCTCTCTGGGTGGGTAGGATGGCCCCTCCTTCTCCCCCCATCACTCAGCGCGATGCTAGTCAGCGCAGGTGTCTGTTAGCTGACGCAGCAGATCTGGCAGTTGGCGCTTTCCTCCGAGCGCGTTCAGCTGTCCAGTGACGTTGCGTGAGCGGCAGCTTGAAAAGAAAGCGGTGGTGCTTCACAGGTCTCGGAGGAAGCCTGTGTTAGCCTTCACCCTCCTAGCGCTGATAGCGTCGTGTGATTGGGGGAGTCCTAACTAGCGGGTGGAATTGGAGACGACTAAATTGGGGAGAAAATCGGGTAAAAATTAGCTGTCGGTATCTGAGAGACTGAGTGCTCGGAGGAGAGCGGATGTTCGTTCACTGGAGCCGGTGTTTGTGGAAAACATCTACAGTGGCGTTTTGGTTATAGTTATTTTCACCTCGATTTATTGCTCTGTAGACGTTGCTCACATTACTGTGCTCTAATAGCTGTGAAGGAATTTTCCAGGAAGCATTTATATCCTTTATTTAGTTTGGACTCCCACATTGTTGTTTTTGGTTCTCCAACAGTTCTGGACACACCCTCAAATTCCAATCTTGCCAACTATGATAAAGATAAAGTGACACACCTTTCTGTGGTGGCTGAGGTGATACGAACGCCTGTATTTCTGAGCTTAGTAACTGTCTGCAAGGCTATAGCGGAACTTGTTTTACCCAGTGTTTACACACGTTTCTTGTGAAAAGGGCCTATTGATACTAACCTATGTGTTCTGGTTTAATCAAAGCTCATGCCATCAAACCTTCAAACGTAACCTGCTATGATGACTCAGGAAAATCTCACAGGTTGTCAAGGCTTATCAAAGGAGGTCAGTAACTTGTCCCATTAGTTTTTTGAAGTTATACTTTTATTCCTACGCAAGTATATTAGTGAAGAAAGTAATCAACTTTTTCTTCGGATTCTGTGCTGGATGGAAGTTGTTCCACTGCAGTTCTGAGTGAGTTCAGGCTACTCTGCACTGCTCTGTGTCCTACAATATTACAGTAATTATGTAATTATGTTACCCCGCCCCCATTTTCTCACCAAATCCTGCGTCCACAGGCACCACCCAGTCACCTGGTCTCACTGTGTGGACATCATCACCCACCTCCAGCACCTCTCCCACCCCCTCGTTCCCACCCACAGCAGGCAGGGGGCACAGGATGGGGTACGTTCCTGCACATCAACACAACAAAAGTGGTCAGTGAGAGGCAGTACAAGGTAGGTGTTTCTACTAAAGTGGCCAGTGAGTGGAAGCACAAGGTGGGTGTTTCTAATAAAGTGGCCAGTTAGTCGAAGTACCAGGTGGGTGTTTCTAATAAAGTGGCCAGTGAGTGGAAGCACAAGGTGGGTGTTTCTAATAAAGTGACCAGTGAGGGGAAGCACAAGGTAGGTGTTTCTAATAAAGTGGCCAGTTAGCAGAACCACAAGGGAGGTGTTTCTAAATAAGTGGCCAGTTAGTGGAAGCACAAAGTAGGTGTTTCTAATAAAGTGGCCATTGAGTGGAAGCACAAGGTGGGTGTTTCTAATAAAGTGACCAGTGAGGGGAAGCACAAGGTAGGTGTTTCTAATAAAGTGGCCAGTTAGCAGAACCACAAGGGAGGTGTTTCTAAATAAGTGGCCAGTTAGTGGAAGCACAAAGTAGGTGTTTCTAATAAAGTGGCCAGTGAGTGTAAGCACAAGGTAGGTGCTTCTAATAAAGTGTCCAGTGAGTGTAAGCACAAGGTGGGTGTTTCTAATAAAGTGACCAGTGAGGGGAAGCACAAGGTAGGTGTTTTTAATAAAGTGGCCAGTTAGTCGAAGTACCAGGTGGGTGTTTCTAATAAAGTGGCCAGTGAGTGTAAGCACAAAGTAGGGGTTTCTAATAAAGTGGCCAGTGAGTGGAAGCACAAAGTAGGTGTTTCTAATAAAGTGGCCAGTGAGTGGAAGCACAAGGTGGGTGTTTCTAATAAAGTGACCAGTGAGGGGAAGCACAAGGTAGGTGTTTCTAATAAAGCGGCCAGTTAGCAGAACCACAAGAGTGGTGTTTCTAATAAAGTGGCCAGTGAGTGGAAGCACAAGTGGAAGTAAACCAGTAAACTGTGCAGAAGTAGACCGTGTGTTTTGTTCTTTACCCTGGACCATGTTGAGGTCTGCAGGGTTGACCGGCGCTGCCAGCATCTTCACTCTGACGCTGCGTTTGCTCAGAACAGGCAGGGGCAGCTGCTCTATTCTAAACCAGAGAAAAACTGCAGATTAAGTAAAGCCACATATGGGTGTTGAACTACTCACACATTCAATGACACAATGCACAACAGCACCTACTAGTGGCCAACAAAGAAAATAAATACGCAAACAGGGGTTTCTGGACTTAAAACAAGAGCAACTTATATATAGAAATGAAGGCTGCACAAAAGTGTTGAAGCCCTGAATCAGCAGTTAAACTGAAGTACTCAATTTTGATGGTTAAAGCACATTATTGTGCACTGTGCTCTGAATACTCTGGGTGTGAAAGTATCTACTGCAACATTTAGTGTTACTTCATCTTATTGCGTAAAGCTGAAAGTAAATATCTCCTCTGTTCCTGAGCTGTTAATTAACACTAGTCAACTGTTAATCATTTACACGAGCAGACAAATCAATGTCATGGTACTGTTAGAGAATTTCACCTAATTTCCTCATGAGTGCATGATGTATCACTCTGATTAAGACGCTTAAGATGTTCACGCTGTCACACTGTTGTGTACCTGCATTCTGTGTAGGCCTCTGTAACGTACTGCTGTTATAGGTTTGGGGCCTGAAGAACGACATTTAGTTCCAGTGTATCTGAGATATTTATTATTAAATAAATATATTATATTGTGAACTGACAAAAAACTTGACTTACTCTTTTAAAAAAGGTATAAAGTTTAAGAGAAATAATAAGGTTTAGAAAATATGTGGATGTTGTATGAATAACAGTGAAATAAATAAATAAATAAATAAATAGATAAATCTGAAACTACACACAATGGCCCAGTCTCTTCTATATGTACATATTATATGACATAAGATCACAGTATTGTGCTTATATTGTGTCTAAGGGTCTTTAAAGGGCTTTACATTATTATGACGATGATGTCATAACGTCATTCCAGCTTTGTGTCGTGCCCACAAATGCTATTCTGTGTTAAAGAGGGTAAAATAAGAACAAAGCAAACTTTTTAGAAAGCGAATAATTCAGATTCTGAAATCTGAAGCCATGTTTGAAGTCACTGTAAAACACTTAGTAGGCTTACATGGCAGCACACATCAACTCAGCGCTGTATTAATGCAGGTTATTATGCGTTATACGTAAAGTTATAAGTCATTGCGTTGCTTGGCAACCATAGCCCACTGTGCTTGGTAGCAAACTTCCTATAGTACAACTACTGTAACACTCGGCCTACGGCCGATTCGTGCTTTAGTTTGGCACATTTGGGCTCCCTCATCTCACCTCACAGCGTTGATGTTGGCCGTGTGCTCCCTGTAGACGAGCGCTGAGCAGTGATGGATCATCCGCTGACCTCCGCACCCCCACCGTCCACTCACATTTTGCCCCAGGAGCCTCAGTCCCGCCTGGCTCAATCTGCCCACCACCAGCCGCCTCATCATTCTGCCTCCAGAGGGGGGTAGTGAGCGGTTCTGTTTACTCAGTGACGTGAGCTTAAAGACGAATTCCACCAGTTTTGCAAAATTTCTGCACAATTCAGTGTTTGAGATAAGAGTGATTCAGAGTGGTTTGGTGTGAAATGGTTCAGATGTCTTTACAGTGGTGGTGATAGGAACCAGGGGTCACCATGACTACAACACAGATATAGACATTTTATTTACTACCCAGAACCACCAGTGAACCTACACGAGTCTTCTGAGTTTATATGGAATGTTGATGATGGAAAATAGTGGAAAATCTGAGATAATACGTTTTCTTTTGGGACTATTTTGCCTCACAGCGTCCTGCATATTATGTATCCCTCCACCATGAATGGAGTTTAAGGCCGAAATCTTCTTAAATCTATCATAAAACAGTGTCTCAGTCATCAGGCAGTGAATTCATAACCGTTTCATGTAGTAACTTTCTGTGAGGGAGCTTTTAGAGGTGGACGTCTGGTTCCTATCACCACCACTGTGAACAGTTCTGACACCAAACCACTCTGAATGACTCTGTTTACATCTTGCTCACTTAATTATGTAGAAATGTTTGAATAAATGTAAAATAATTGCAGTTTACATGCATTTACAATGGATTTGTACTTTCAAATGATAAAACTTTTCCATTTAAGTACTGTTTTAGAATGTTTGCTAACAGCTCTGCTCTTTTTTACTGCATACAGTGCAAAAGTAATTATGTTTACATACTGAAATCATTATTATCCTCCACTCAAAGCTCAAAAATACTGACCGCTAGTCTTAGAAATGGGTGGTAACAAGTTCCATTTACCCAGTTCCATTAAATCCAGCACAATTTTGATGAATGGAGAATTTCCAAAGGACACTTTTACTTCTACTCAGGTACATTAGTGAGTAAAGGAATGTAACATTGCTCATTTCCATTTTAGTCATTAATATTAAGTTCCTAATTCCATTTTTGAGAGATTATTTTCATTCTGTTGTGTTGGTTCAGCTCCTTTCTACTTTATTGTCGCTCTCATATCTTACTTTGGAGATGTAGATTTTTATTTTAGACCAGAATCACCCAATAAAGAGAAGAACAGAGCTGTACAAAGCTTTTCTGTCTACTGGAGTCATTATTTCATATTTGACTGTAGTAATGAAACTGTACTCACGTTGGTCTGGCACTCGTGTAGCCGCTGCTTCCTCAGAGATTAAATGAGGGTCATACATGAGGACTGAACAAATAAAAACTCACTTCCTCAAACCCAACACTGTTGCAATTTAACACTCACAAGACTGCACGATGACGAAAGAGTGTGTTTTCCATCATTGTCAGATTTGGAAATCGCTGCATCAAATTTGTTCAATAATAATATTTTGCATCACAGTTCTGTCTGTCAGTTTACTTACTTTTGTCAGTAAATGTAGAGGAATTACACTTTTTTATACTTAATGACACAGTGGTGGTGATAGGAACCAGACGTCCACCTCTAAAAGCTCCCTCACAGAAAGTTACTACATGAAATGGTTATGAATTCACTGCCTGATGACTGAGACACTGTTTTAGGATAGTTTTTAGAAGTTTTTAGCCTTAAACTCCATTCATGGTGGAGGGATACATAATATGCAGGACGCTGTGAGGCAAAATAGTCCCAAAAGAAAACGTATTATCTCAGATTTTCCACTATTTTCCATCATCAACATTCCATATAAACTCAGAAGACTCGTGTAGGTTCACTGGTGGTTCTGGATAGTGAATAAAATGTCTATATTTGTGTTGTAGTCATGGCGACCCCTGGTTCCTATCACCACCACTGTAAAGACATCTGAACCATTTCACACCAAACCACTCTGAATCACTCTGTTTACATCTCACACACTGAGTTAGGCAGAAATTTTGAAAAATTGGTGGAATTGCCCTTTGTGGAAACCTCTTTTCACCACACAGTCCTGCCAACTGTGAGAGCTTTATTCCCATTGGTTAAGCTGAAAATGCATGAATAGGTTTAATTTTCCATCATAAATCCCTCAAAGTTTAGTTTCACTGCTTTCTACATGAAAACAAAACTTTATGATCTAAACTGAGCAAATATGCAGTTAATCTTGATCAGCAGCACAAAATAATTTAATTAATTGTAATTAACTATTTTAAAGGGCCGATATCAGGGAAAACTGAATATACTTCTCTCTCTCTCTCTTTGTTTTTAAATAAAATAGTTTGTAAATATTAAAGTTTCAAAATGTTACCAATACATATAATATAGATTATAGATATTTTACAGATTCTCTAAGCTGCCCAACCTTCTTTTGTGATGTCATTTACATACATCCACTTATTCAGCCTACAGCAGTTTAGCTCCACCCACTCAAGCTGAAGTTATAAGGAGTTTCAGCCTGGACTGCTAGTTGAATGAGCTAGCCAATCAGAACAGAGCTGATTTGTATGCATCAGTCTTAATGACACAGCCTGACTAACTCTAAGGGATGAAAAGAGGTTTGTGTAAAAATAAATTATGAACATTTTTGGCACATAAAATGCTCCAAATGATAGAAGTTGACGTCAAAATACAAGAAAAAAATAAAACACAAGAAAAACTTTGAGCCCTTTGACTGTTCGACAGCACTAGTTTGTTTTTTTTTTAAAGGCGGTTTTACCGTCTTTTAAAGTATTAGCATAATTAACAGTTAAAAGCATTAAGAGTTCTAGCATGTTCTCGACCACTGGGCTGACCCACTGGTGGTCCTCGGGCTTATACAGAGGGGAGCAGTGGGCCTTAGAGGGCCGCTGATGGCACTAAAGGGAAATCTTTTAGCCACAATTCATTTAAATGGGGGGCAGTCGTCATCTTCTACATGAGGTCATTTATTTGGCACTTTGTCGTTAAAATCAGTGAAAAATAATTGACGTAATAATAAGAAGTATAAGAGTATCCAGTTAATGAATAGTATAGAATGCAGCATTGAATTAAGATAAGGTTGCTGGATCAATTTTTTCAATTGTAATGTATTAGTATTATTATCCCCCCGTGGGTTTTCATGCTTTCTTACGATACATACACCGATCAGGCATAACGTTATGACCACCTCCTTGTTTCAACATTCATTGTCCATTTTATCAGCTCCACTTACTATATAGGTGCACTTTGTAGTTCTACAGTTACAGACTGTAGTCCATCTGTTTCTCTGATACTTTGTTACCCTGTTCTTCAGTGGTCAGGACCCCCATGGACCCTCACAGAGCAGGTACTATTTGGGTGGTGGGTCATTCTCAGCACTGCAGTAACACTGACGTGGTGGTGGTGTGTTAGTGTGTGTTGCGCTGGTGCGAGTGGATCAGACACAGCAGTGCTGCTGGAGTTTTTAAACACTGTGTCCACTCACTGTCCACTCTATTAGACACTCCTACCTTGTCGGTCCACCTTGTAGATGTAAAGTCAGAGACGATAGCTCATCTGCTGCTGCACAGTTTGTGTTGATCATCCTCTAGTCCTTCATCAGTGGTCACAGGACGCTGCCCACAGGACGCTGTTGGTTGGATATTTTGTTTGGTGGACTATTCTCAGTCCAGCAGTGACACTGAGGTGTTTAAAAACTCCAGCAGCATTGCTGTGTCTGATCCACTCAGACCAGCGCAACACACACTAATACAACACCACCACGTCAGTGTTGCTGCAGTGCTGAGAATGATCCACCACCCAAATAGTACCTGTTCTGTGAGGGTCCATGGGGGTCCTGACCACTGAAGAACAGGGTAAAAGGGGGCTAACAAAGTATCAGAGAAACAGATGGACTACAGTCTGTAACTGTAGAACTACAAAGTGCACCTATATAGTAAGTGGAGCTGATAAAATGGACAATGAGTGTAGAAACAAGGAGGTGGTCAGAATGTTATGCCTGAGCGATGTGTGTAGGCCTTGAGGTGGGAAAGGTTGAGAACCTATGTTCCAAATGGATGTTGTGAAATGAAGTGGGAGCTTTTGGTTTGACAGACTATGGTTTTCAAAATGAAACTTCAGTTTGAGTGACGTCAAACATTGTATAAACATTTGTGGCTTTAAGACCCCAAAATGATGCAATAAACACTTTGGGCTAAAAGTACAAACTGTGGCAGTTTCACATCAGATCAGAAACTTTCACAGATTGCATGATGGTCATGCGTTTGTGGGAGGACTGCAGAGAAAAATGGGTGGAGATACTGAATGTTTGGCTGATTGCATGTCCCACTGAAATTGCTGTTTGGAAAAATAGTGGTGGCCAGTGTAGGTTCACTGGTGGTTCTGGATAGTAAATAAAATGTCTATATTTGTGTTGTAGTCATGGTTCCTATCACCACCACTGTAAAGACATCTGAACCATTTCACACCAAACCACTCTGGATGCCTCTCTGAATCTCAGCCACAAAATTATGCAGGACTATTTCAAGAAATTGGGGATTCCCCTTTACAATCTGATAATTCAGAGGATGCAATGACATTAGGAGGAAAAATATGCACTTGCATTTGAGAAACGTGCTTGAAACCAGCAAAATTATGTACCAATATAGTGAGATAATTCTACTTAATAAAATTACCTAAAACAAGTAAATAATATCTAGAAATAAGGGTAACACTTTCTATGAATGTCACCTTTGTAAGCATCTATAAACACATTCATAACATGTTATAATGCATTCATAAGGCATCATAAACATGGTTATAAATATTTATAAAAATGCATTACACATTATAGCCATGCTTATTATGCATTATAAGTACTGATCATAACTAATTATAAGAGCTCATAAGTCGTATTTGTCCGCTCTAAGTAAAGTGAAGCGTACTGTACTAAAGCCTCCTCCAGTGTTCAGAGTGAGGCTTCAAGTTGAAGTATTTACTGAAGGATTTACTGAAACACTAAAACATACACAGTAAAGCACATTACAGGCTTCAAATATCAGAGTTTAAACTAGAGCTGCCATCAGTGTTTTACCCAATGTGGGAAAGGTAATGTTCACCACCGTTAGCTTGGTATTTGTCTTTACTTTACACTCTCCAAGCTGGGACTGACTTCTTTGGCACTGACAGTATAACATGTTATTAACACTACTTATAATGCATTATATTAACAATTCATAATGTATAATAAAAAAAACATGGCTATAAAGTGTAATTCATTTTTATAAATGTTTATAATCATGTTTATAATGCCATATGAATGCATTATAACGTGTTATAAATGTGTTTATAGATGCTTACAAACGTGACCTTTGTAGAAAGTGTTACTGAAATAAGCTAGATGATCTTATAATCAGTGCACAACCTACTCAAATTGGGAAATATAGTCGATATATGTATATATACATATGTACATATATATATATATATATATATATATATATATATATATATATCTTGACTAGATTTCAGATCATTTCATTTGACAAGATACCATTTTTTGCAGTGTAAGTATCAACTCCTCGTGTAGACTTTATGACCACCTTATGCCAGTTTGTCATACTTTCTGGTAACACCAGTACAGTTCATAAGGCTACATGACACCTACTGTACATAAGCTTGTCATGACAACTGATATAACCTTACATAAATGTTTACAAATGGTTATTCCAATGGGCATCATCTGTCATAAAGGCTACTTTGATCAAAATTGGCAAATGTGACATTTACTGTGACTAATGCCTATTGGAACAAACAGTAATAAACACTTATGTAGGCTTATATCAGTTATCGAGACAAGTTTATGTAGGGTGTCATGTAGCCTTATGAACTGTACCCTACAGTAGAGTGTTACCTACTTTCCTAATGTTTATCAAGTAATTTAAGGGGCCAGCTTTCTATATGTTCATTACTGCTGTATACAGTGGTTGGATACATCAGTGCCACTGACGCTACATGGTCCAAAACCCAAACAATATTTGGTCAACATGACTTGTGTGACCAGAAACTCGTCAGTGATGAATGAAGCAGGTGGACGTTTTAGATACAAGACAGGAGTGTCTAATAAACTGGCAACTTAGCGTATGTAAGTCTGATTGATTATTTATGTGTAAATGGTGTCAAAGATACAGTGATTGTCTTTTAGAGTCACAAACGAAGCTGATTTGTTAACCATTTATTGAAGGTTTAGATGGACAGGGATTTTATTTGAGGGATTCATGAATACCCACAGGACACACATCTCGACAAATGATGTCTCTTTGAAAATACATTTTGTGTTGAATTTGATCAAATGGCATTAATTTCAGTTGAGCCTGGAGTCTGAAGCAGGTAACGTAGAGCAGCACCAATAACCATAACATAAGTATCAAAAAGTCTCTTCAAAACTCAATTTGGCAACACATAACACTCAAGCTAAGACACGAGCCAGACTCCAGTCCTCGTTAAACACACCTGATTCAACACTCATTAGCAAGACCTTCCTGACTTGAATTAACAGAGAAAGAGGGAAAACGCTAAACTCTGTAGAGCTGTGACCCACCAGGAACTGAGTTTGACACATCTCTATGTGGTTTACATTCAGAGCCAGTTTAAGGGGAGCCTGGCCTCTTCCTATTTCCCTGATTTTATCCAAAACATGACTGCAAAACGCCAGAGGGCGCCCACGAGTGAGTCCTCAATGAATGGGGAGTAAATGGAGTTCAACGGCTAAAAACGAAAAGTTAAAATAGTTTCTAATCAGTCGCCCAGAACTTTCCTTTAATTTTAGAAAGTAGAAGGATGTATTTCAAGAAAACTCACTGTATGTTTCCTTTTTTCTACAGCAAACAGGTTTGGGGAGCAGGACGCTAACATTACTGCTTCTGAGTGCTGATTGGTTGGCGAGCGGAGCAGCTCATTGGCTGTTCGCGCTCACTGATGTCATGGACATACATGAGGTGCCGTTTTAAACTCCTATAACTCGAGTTTAAAAGCTCTTAAAAATATAACTGTTAAAATGTTTTATGCTGTTCTGTGTTCAGGAAATGAATGTATTCTTTTAAATTAAAAACATTTTGGCATCTATAAACTATGACTTTGCTTAAATGTTCCATCTTAACCCATTCGTTTTGGACTCGCTCGGGAGCGCCCTCTAGCGTTTGAGAAACCCATTACAGAGTGGCAATTCTCCTCACTACAAGTTCTCTGGTTAACTTCTTCAGCTGGTCAGCCTGCTGTACCAGCAGAGGAGGAAACCCAGACTATGTTTGTTTGCCATGGTGATCGAGGTCAATGTGGTCACTTTGGTGGTCTGTTTGATTTGGTTTCGGCTGGATTCTTTGAGAAAAAGTGCTCTTTACTGATATCCGCTGTGACCTCCTTCTCCAGACGACTCATTTTGGCTGGTTCTTTGGTTCCAGTTCTGCTGATTCTTCACTGAGTCACTGTGGATGATTCACTCCTTCAGGTGAAAAACTCTACACTGCTTTGGCTGATTTGTTTAGTGCAAAAATAAAACTTTGGTAGATCTGTAGGCCAATGGTCTCCAACCTTAGTCCAGGAGAGCTGCCTTCCTGAGTTTAGTTCCAACCTGCATCCAATAAGCTGCCCCGCCCCTTACTTAACTCTACACGACTTTTACCCCGATTTTAGCCCCGATTCTCAGTCTGGCTGAGTCAGATTTTTGGGTCAGTCGGAGTCGACAGTTGAAGAGAGAGTTGAGTCGTGTTTGAGGGGCGCAGACTCAGATATTTGGCCTCCCGGTCACATTTTAGACCAAGCGGAGTTTATCTGAGCGAAATCTAGTGTAAACTGGTCAACGACTCAGTCTGAATGGACTCCTGCAACAGCCAATGGAAACTGAGAGTGAGAAACAGGAAAATACAGCAAGTAAACAAAGAAAAATGGTGGAAAGTCTCTCACGTGTGGAGCGAAGCTTTTTAATGAGCCGAGTTTAAGAAACAATCAAGTTTATGTTCATTTAAAACTCTAAAAATACCAAACTGATCACGTTTTTAAATCCACGATCCACTTAAACATGTTGCCCTGCTGCTTCTTTACTGTGTCGGCACAAACGGCAGAGAAAACAGCAGCAGTAACGTCATGTTTGTTTATTTGCGTCTCCTAGTAACAGGAGAACGCAAGAGGTCAGCAACATCTGGAAAGCTGAGTACTGTGTGATCTCTAATCATTTAGCGTGTGATCCCAATATTTCAGTCGCCCAAAATATCAGCAGAAACCAGTGTGATGGTGTGAGACACCCAGTCTATGATCTGTTAGTCGTGTAGTGTATCTAAGGCTTAATACATCTGATTCAGCCAATCAGAGACTTGGGATAAGGGTTGATTAGCTGGAGCAGGTGTGGCTAACTGTGTTGGAACTAGGCTCTGTGGGAAGGCAGCTCTGCAGGACCAGGGTTGGAGAACGTTGCTCTATTCATTTGATTCTTTCTTCTTTGATTCAGGGTCAAGTGATCAGCTTGAAACCGTGGGACAAGTTGGAGGCTTTTAAGCTCCGGGACAGGTGAGGGGCTGCACTCCTTTGATCTCCAGCGCTTTGTTCAGCTGAACTTCCAGAACCTTCCCTGCTTTGGTCAGCTTCAGGTTCCTCATACAGCCTTTGAACGGAGTGCTGATGGTCAGACCAAACTGCTTCAGACCCTCTGGAAGGCACAAAACGCACGAGTACACAATCAGAGAGGTTCTCTTTTCTGACTTTTATTAAAGAACACATACAGTCGTATGCAAAAGTTTGGGCGCCCTGCTCAAATGACATGTATTGTTGATTTTTTAAGTGAATATTTTAGTGAAAAAGGTGAAAATCATCTACAGAGAACACAAATATGGAATTATCCTGCAATTTTTAGAGCATGATTTTGTTTATTTTCTCCAATATGTTAAAAAAATGCTTCTATATAGAACCATGAACACTCAAAAGAACCTTTGCATGACTAAGGAGTTCTTTGCATGGTGAAATGGTTCTTCAGACTGATAGGGAATGTGCTGTAGATGGTTCTACCTAGAACCTTTCTTAAAAGCTATATAACATCCAAAAGGTTTGTTCTATTGTTACAATGTTAAGCTTGTAACAATAGCAGAGGCCTTGTTGGTGCTATTTAGAACCATGAACATTCAAATAACCTTTTGGATGATTAAATGGTTCTTTGCATTATGAAAGAGTTACTAAGAACGTGCTGTAGACGGTTCTATATAGAACCTTTTTGAAAATGGTCCTATATAGCACCAAAAAGGATTCTTCTATTGTTACAATGTGAAGTCTGTAACAATAGACAAACTCTTCAAAAAGGTTCTATATAGAACCATCTACAACACATTCTCCATCAATCTGAAGAATCATTTCATGATGCAAAGAACCCTTTAAACATGCAAAGGTTTCTTTGAGTGTTCATGGTTCTATACATAACTGTTTTCTTTACTAAAGAACCCTTGAAGATTTTTTTTTCTTTAGTTGTATGACACACTTATCTATAAACATGGATTAAAGTGAACTCTTTAAAAAGAGGGTTCTTTAAGGGTTCTTCGGTAAAGAAAATGGTTCTCTATAAAACCATGAATACTCAAATAACCCTTTGCATTAATAAAGCGTTCTTTGCATGGTGAAATTGTTCTTTAGATTAATGGAGAATGTGCTATAGATGGTTCTATATAGAACCATTCTGAAAAGGGTTCTATACAGCATCCAAAAGGGTTCTCCTATTGTTACGATGTTGAGCTTGTAACAATAGCAGAGCCCTTTTTGGTGCTATGCAGAATGAAACACATCACATTCTCCATCAGTCTGAGGAACAATTTCACCATGGAAAGAACTCTTCAATTATGCAAAGAGTTCTTTGAGTGTTTGTGGTTCTATGTAGAACCATTTTCTTTACTAAAGAACCCTTGAAGAACCATAGTGTATGGACAGAATTCACACAGAGTTAAAGAGGTTCTTTGAGCACAAATCTGAAGAAACGTACCCGGGTATCCCCCAACGTAGACGGGGTCATTGGTGTCGGCGGACGCGGAGCGGGGGTCCGGACTCGCCGCCTCAGATTTAACGCCGTCTACAATCAGCTCCAGGCGGTGTTTCAGCTTGTGGGCGGAGACAGAATGCCACTGACCGTCACAGAGCCCCGCCCCCTGCGCAGGCTCGTACACAGCGGTGACCCGGCCCACCCCGTTATCAGCGTGGAACATGAGCTGAACACAGACGCAGTTCAGGATTCACACCTGATACAACTTCATGCTTTCAGGACTTTTATTCTGAAATTCAACTCTCACCTTCTTTACCCTTTTATCACTCTCTCTCTTTCTCTCGCTCTCTCTCTCTCTCGCTCTCCTTCCTTTTTCTCTTTCTCTCTCGTGCTTTTTTCTTTTTTTTCTCTCTCTCTCCATCTTTCCCCTTTGCTTCTTCTCTCTCATCCTTTCACTTCTCCTTCCTTTTTATCTTTTGACTTCTTTCCCTTTCTCTCTCTCTTCTCTCTCACCATTTAACTTGCCTTCTCTCTCTCTCCCTTTGTCTGCCTCTCTTGCTCTCTGTCTTCTTCATTGCCTCTTTCCTGCTTTCTGTTTCTTTTTCTTTCTCTCTTTTCTCTCTCACTCTAACTCTCTCTCTCTTTTCTGTCTGTCCTGTTCTCTCTCTCTCTTTTTTTTCTTTCTTTCTCTCTCTCCATCTTTACCCCCTTTGTGTCTTCTCTCTCTCTCTATCAACCTTTCACTTCTCCTTCCTTTCTATCTTTTTGCTTATTCCTCTCTTCTCTCTCACCATTTAACTTGTATTCTCTCTCTCTCTCTCTCTCTCTCTCTCCATTGCCTCTTTCTTACTTTCTGTCTTTCTGTTTCTTTCTCTTTCTCTCTTTTCTTTCTCACCCTAACTCTCTCTCTCACTCTCTCTCTCTCTCTCTCACCTTTCCATTCACCAGTTCTATTCCCAGCCCGTCCATCTTCTGGCTGCTGATGCCCAGTAGGACTCCGCTGCTGGTGCTGGTGCGGAACTCCACGTCCACAGACACGTCGTTACCCACGCGGTATGTGGACACTGTAAAAATATTCACACATACAAATTAAACATACACAAACACACATAAACAAACACGTACGAATACATAAACACACAAAAATACACACTATAAGTTACAGTAAAGTATATTGTACATTGTAGCTCTCTGCTGACCTCAGCTGGGCACTCAACCTTTGTGCTCCCGGCTGAATGACTGCCAACTATCAAAGAGTTCAATTTCATTCAACATCTTAAAGCTGTTATAAAGTCATGTAACACCTGAAATATCTGTTATGAACTCATGTGACTCCTGAAATCTCTGTTATGAAGTCACATCACAACTGAAATCTGTTATAAAGTCATGTAACTCCTGAAATCTCTGTTATGAAGTCACATCACAACTGAAATCTGTTATAAAGTCATGTAACTCCTGAAAGCTCTGTTATGAAGTCATGTAACTCCTGAAATCTCTGTTATGAAGTCACATCACAACTGAAATCTGTTATAAAGTCATGTAACTCCTGAAAGCTCTGTTATGAAGTCACATCACAACTGAAATCTGTTATAAAGTCATGTAACTCCTGAAAGCTCTGTTATGAAGTCACATCACAACTGAAATCTGTTATAAAGTCATGTAACTCCTGAAAGCTCTGTTATAAAGTCATGTAACTCCTGAAATCTCTGTTATGAAGTCACATCACTACTGAAATCTGTTATAAAGTCACGTAACTCCTGAAAGCTCTGTTATAAAGTCACGTAACTCCTGAAAGCTCTGTTATAAAGTCACGTAACATCTGAAAGCTCTATTATAAAGTCACGTAACTCCTGAAAGCTCTGTTATAAAGTCACGTAACATCTGAAAGCTCTGTTATAAAGTCACGTAACTCCTGAAAGCTCTGTTATAAAGTCACGTAACACCTGGAAGCTCTGTTATGAAGTCACGTAACACCTGGAAGCTGTTATAAACTCAAGTAATTCCTGAAAGCTCTGTTATAAACTCATGTAACTCCTGAAATCTGTTATGAAGCTCAGTTATAAAGTCAGGTAACTCCAAAAATCAGTTATGAAGTCACGTAACTCCTGAAAGCTCTGTTATAAAGTTATGTAACTCCTCGAAGCTCTGTTATGAAGTCACATAACCCCTGAAAGTCATGTCACAGCCAAATCCCCACCTGCTTTAGCGTATCCAGTGCCATCAAAGTAAGTCCCAGGCTGCGGGTTAGCGAAGCAGGAGCCCACCCTATAGCTGGAGGTGGGATTCTCCATGTCCACATTCAGCATCCGGAAGTTTCTGATGCAGCCATTGATGCTGTAGACCACCTAAAATGTAATGTTACATTTTATCTAACATTGTACTGTGTTAAGTACCATGGGTCACTGTGTGTGCGCGTGTGTGTGTGTGTGTGTGTGTAGTAATGCTGTGTGTGTTCGGTACCGGTCCAATGCGTTTGGTTGTGTAGTTCAGCGGAAGTCCTCCCACATACAGCATCCCGACCACATCCAGTATATCAGCCTTCTTCGGGCTGACTGTGTGTTTGGAATATCGATTATCTACAGTCAGGATTCCTCTCTGCTTGTCCCTCCGCACTCGGATCTGCACACAGAGCAAAGTGGTCTCAACACGCTGAGAGGAGGCCCAAAGTCTTATTACACACCACTATAACCTAAGAATAGCTCAGCCAGTTTGCACTGAAGTCCCTGTAGTTGCTGAATAGTACGACTTTAATAATAAGCCTTTAATAAGTGTGTAATAGGCTGAGCTAATGATTAAAGCTGGTAATAATTTATTAAATTAAACATGTATAGAATAATCTCTGCTAGTCGAGGTGTCTACCTTGTGCCAGTGTCCGTCGTTGATGATTCGGGGGACGCTGACAGATGTGTTTCCGCTGCCCAGGTCGTAGCTCAGGTGGGCCATGCCCTCCTTCACCTGGACGGTGGCGAAATCAGCGTGGTTTATCCTGGCCATGTAGAACACCAGCCCAGAGTCCGCCTCAGTCCGCAGCTCAAACTCAATGGCCAGACTGAGAGAAAAACACACACAGAAAGAAGCAGCGAGTTATTTCCTCACGTCATCCTTCTAGCGATCTATACAGGCTCCGCCCACACAGGCATTCTTTAGTAGCTACTGTTGCTAGACTGAACAAGGTAGAGCACACCTCAGTGTATATCACAATACCTACATTTAGAGTCGGTTATTCATTCAGCCTAATGAGAAACTGTAGAACAGACTCAGTTTATATCACAATACCTACATTTAGAGTCAGTTATTCATTCAGCCTAATGAGAAACTGTAGAACAGACTCAGTTTATATCACAATACCTACATTTAGAGTCAGTTATTCATTCAGCCTAATGAGAAACTGTAGAACAGACTCAGTTTATATCACAATGCCTACATTTAGAGTCAGTTATTCATTCAGCCTAATGAGAAACTGTAGAACAGACTCGGTTTATATCACAATACCTACATTTAGAGTCGGTTATTCATTCAGCCTAATGAGAAACTGTAGAACAGACTCGGTTTATATCACAATACCTACATTTAGAGTCAGTTATTCATTCAGCCTAATGAGAAACTGTAGAACAGACTCAGTTTATATCACAATGCCTACATTTAGAGTCGGTTATTCATTCAGCATAATGAGAAACTGTAGAACAGACTCGGTTTATATCACAATGCCTACATTTAGAGTCGGTTATTCATTCAGCATAATGAGAAACTGTAGAACAGACTCGGTTTATATCACAATACCCACATTTAGAGTCGGTTATTCATTCAGCCTAATGAGAAACTGTAGAACAGACTCGGTTTATATCACAATACCTACATTTAGAGTCAGTTATTCATTCAGACTAATGAGAAACTATAGAACAGACTCGGTTTATATCACAATACCTACATTTAGAGTCGGTTATTCATTCAGCCTAATGAGAAACTGTAGAACAGACTCAGTTTATATCACAATACCTACATTTAGAGTCGGTTATTCATTCAGCCTAATGAGAAACTGTAGAACAGACTCGGTTTATATCACAATACCTACATTTAGAGTCGGTTATTCATTCAGCCTAATGAGAAACTGTAGAACAGACTCAGTTTATATCACAATACCTACATTTAGAGTCGGTTATTCATTCAGCCTAATGAGAAACTGTAGATCAGACTCAGTTTATATCACAATACCTACATTTAGAGTCAGTTATTCATTCAGTCTAATGAGAAACTGTAGAACAGACTCAGTTTATATTACAATACCTACATTTAGAGTCGGTTATTCATTCAACCTGGTTGAACTCAGGTAAAAAAAAACAGGTAGATGTTTCTAATAAAATGGCCAGTTAGTCGAAGTACAAGGTAGGTGTTTCTAATAAAGTGGCCAGTGAGTGGAAGTACAAGGTAGATGTTTCTAATAAAGTGGCCAGTTAGTGGAAGCACAAGATGGGTGTTTCTAATAAAGTGGCCAATGAATGGAAGTACAAGGTAGTTGTTTCTATTAAAGTGGCCAGTTAGTGGTACGAAGAGGACGTTGACTGAATGACCTCCTGCTCACCTGTTCTTGACTTTCCTGTCGTCGAACTCGAAAGCCATGTGACTGTTTCTGGACAGGCCGAACTGTTTTGCTAACTCCAGGACAACAGGCTCCTTCTCTGCTGCACAGGAGACCTGCAGGATTTAATAAAGAGGATGTCAGTCAAAGGCTGGTCATTTAGTCCAGCAAGACCAGACAAGATGACCTTTTTAAGATCCCAGTTCTGGAGGCCCCTCTAGTAGAATACACTGTTTAATGTTCCCCTGAAATTAACTTGTGAAGGGCTTATGAGCTGCTGAGTCAAGTCAAGTGAGTTAAAACACCAAACTGTGGGTCACTGTGGCCTCTAGGTCTGGAGATTGACCCATGTGACTGAGGTCATTGTTTCTGCACTACGTTTAGTTACGATATCAGGCTATTATTTATATTAGGTCAGTGTTTCTCAGTCTCGCTATTATATATATTATTCTTTAGTAAAGAAAATGGTTCTATATAGAACCATGAACACTCAAAGGACCCTTTGCATGATTAAAGGGTTCTCTGCATCATGAAAGCGTTCTTCAGATTGACGGAGAATGTGCTGTAGCTGGATTAAAAAGGGTTCTTTATAGCAACATAAGGGGTTCTTCTATTGTTACTATGTCAAGGTTGTTAACAATAGAAGAACCTTTTTTGGTGCTATATATAACCATATATAACACCTTCTCCATCAATCTGAGGAAACTTTTAACCATACAAAGGGTTCTTTGAGCGTGCACTGAAAAAAAGTTTTTAATCATTTCTTATTTTAACCCAAACATGTAAAGAATTGTATCCTAAAGAGGTAATAAATCATCTGCCTTCATATCTGTATTGTCCATTTCTGATTTATTCACATGGCAAAGTACAACAGAACAATATTGCAATTGATGCTGTTTTAAAACCTGCCACTAGATGGTGCCATAGTACACCTTATGGCACTGCATTACACATTCTCTATCAGTGCACACCCATAAAAACAGTGCTGTTCTTTACAGGCTCTGTTTGTTCTTCTGTAACTCCTCTGATCAGCTCATGAAGGCGCATGAAGCTGCATCGTACTCCGTCTGCTGGAGCAGGGTAAATGCTACAAAGCGCAGCACTGGAGTGTCTACAGGTGTGTGTCTGTATTTACGTATGCGCAGGTGAGCAAGTATACGTTAGCACTTTGAAACAGCATGCAAAAGTTTGGACCCAGTCAAATGACATGTTCTGTTGATTTTTGTAGTAAAACATTCTGAATAAAATAATTTAATAACAAAATAAAATAAAATAAAAAATAACATAAAATGTGCCATAACTTTTGCACAGAACATACTGTATGTTTCATTTGTACCTATTTGTACCTGTGTGTCTATCTATCTGTCTATCTGTCTCTCTGTCTGTCTATCTACCTGTCTTTCTGTCTATCTATCTATCTGTCTGTTTGTCTGTCTGTCTATATATCTATCTATCCAAACGGGGGTGCGCAAACTTTTGCTTATGACTGTATGTGTCCCTGTGAGAGTCTCTGTGTGTGTATCTGTGTGAGTGTGTGTGTAACTGTGTGTGTGTGTATGTGCGTGTGTGTAACTGTGTGTGTGTGTAACTGTGTGTGTGTGTAACTGTGTGTGTGAGTGTGTGTGTGTAACTGTGTGTGTGTGTGTGTGTGTGTGGTGTCTGTGTGTGTGTGTGTGTGTGTAACTGTGTGTGTGTGTGTGTGTGTGTGTGTGTGTGTGTGTAACTGTGTGTGTGTGTGTGTGTGTGTGTGTGTGTGTGTGTAACTGTGTGTGTGTGTGTGTGTGAGTGTCTGTGTGTGTGAGTGTGTGTGTGTATTTGTTTGTGTGTGTGTGTGTGTCTGTGTGTGTGTGTGTGTGTGTGTGTGTGTGTGTGTGTAACTGTGTGTGTGTGTGTCTGTGTCTGTGTGTGTGTGTGTGTGTGTGTGTGTGTGTGTGTGTGTGTGTGTGCGTAAAGCAGTACCGCTGTTTCATCAACATGGACAGGCGGCTCAGGAATGATGACCTCAGCAGGGGGCGTGGCCTAAAGAGCAGCAGAGCGAAAGCAGAAGGGTGAAAGGTAATGAAGCATCATGCAGCAGCGCACAGCTGCCCTCGGTCAGTTATAACCACAGCATAAGACTCACCCATAACTCACATAGAGCACATAGAAAGAATTCATTTGTTTCATTTCCAGTCAAAAAGGCTGTTAAATCCATGTTATTCAAGTTTTTCTGCACAGAAAAAGAGCAGAAAACACACATTTAACTGAAAATGACGCTCAACTCAAGTGGTCAGTGAGTCTCTCTCACCTTTATTCCAGCTTCCATTCTGTCCAGGAGACTCACTTTCAGTTCCTCAAAGAATCTGCAGACACACCTCCAAAGTTCAGTCTTAGAAGCTGGTTGATCATTTTCTGAACTAATCAAACACATTCAGTGATGTTGAGGTCTGGACTCTGGGGTGGTCAGTCCATTGTTCAGCTTCTTTCTTTGATGTGTCCGTCTCCTTTTCTCAGTGAGGTTCTTCTTGATCAGCTACACATCCTTTCAGACCCACAGCGCTGAGTCGTCTTCTCACAGTGGAAGGATGGACAGAAACACCTGTGGATGTTTTCAGATCTGAAGCAGCTTGATTTTCTCCTCTCTCTCAGAGATGAGAGCTTTAAGTGCTGTTTATCTGATGGGGGCAGTTTTGGGGTCGACCAGCTCTTCCAGGTGGTTGTTAGGAGACACATTTTCTCTGTAGCTTTAAATCAGTTTTTGAATCTTCAGTTGTTTTACATCTAATCCGCTCAGAAACAGCTGAAAAATGAATAACTCGTACTGATGGCCATTTCTGACTGGAAATCAATAAATGAAAGTGGTCTATGAGTTTTGCACATTACTATAGATCAGTTTAATATAGCAGTACAAAAAGTTATTATATATAGTAATAAAGCTGATATATGACTCATTCTTATACGGGCTCGTTTTACAATGCATCGAAACCCTGTGTGTCCACAATGTTCACTTTAGGAGCCGAAAGCTGGAGTTTTGTAATGAAACAGTAAAAATGGAGTTATGATGTTTTGAAATGATGGTGAGAATTTACGCTGCGTGTCGTAACACAGAATTAGCACAGGTCATAAAGCCACAGAACGATCCAGAAGGACTGATGAGACCTCAGTGTCACTATGACAGTGATCCTCATCACCTGCCTGTCCTGGAGTGACGCTTTATGAATGATTAACACTCATAAATCCATAAACTACCTGATGAGCTTGAGTGTTACGCACGACTGAGAGTAACAGTGAGTGAAAACAGCAGAGCTGAACTGGAAACAAACCAGACACCATCAGCAGCAGAGCTGTCAGAGTCAGAGTCAGTCAGAGTCAGAGTAAGAGTAAGAGTCAGTAAGAGTCAGAGTAAGAGTCAGTAAGAGTCAGAGTAAGAGTCAGTCAGAGTCAGAGTAAGAGTAAGAGTCGAGTAAGAGTCAGTAAGAGTCAGTCAGAATCAGTCAGAGTCAAAGTCAGTGTCAGTGTCAGAGACAGTCAGAGTTAGTCAAAGTAGTCAGAGTCAGAGTCAGTCAGTCAGAGTCAGTCAGTCAGAGTAGGTCAAAGTCAGAGTCACTGGCACTGACACTGTCAGAGTCAAAGTCACTGACACTGTCAGAGTCAATGTCAGTGTCAGAGTCAATCAGAGTCAGTCAGTCAGAGTAGGTCAAAGTCAGAGTCACTGGCACTGACACTGTCAGAGTCACGACACTGTCAGAGTCAATGTCAGTGTCAGATTCAATCAGAGTCAGTCAGTCAGAGTCAGTCAGAGTCAGGGTCAATCAGTCAGAGTCAGTCAGAGTCAGAGTCAGAGTAGGTCAGAGTCAGAGTCAGTGTCAGAGTCAGAGTAGGTCAGAGTCAGAGTCAGTCAGAGTCAGTGTCAGAAGTCAGAGTCAGTCAGAGTCAGAGTCAGTCAGTCAGAGTAGATCAAGGTCAGAGTCAGTCAGAGTCAGTCAGTCAGAGTCAGTCAGAGTAGGTAAGAATCAGAGTCAGTGTCCGTGTCAGGTCAGAGTCACTCAGTCAGAGTTGGAGTCAGAGTCAGTCAGAGTAGGTCAGAGTCAGTCAGTCAGTGTCAGTGGCAGAGTCAGTCAGTGTCAGAGTCAGTCGGTCAGAGTGGATCAAAGTCAGAGTCAGTCAGAGTCAGTGTCAGGTCAGTCAGTCAGAGTCAGTCAGAGTAGGTAAGAGTCAGAGTCAGTGTCTGTGTCAGGTCAGAGTCACTCAGTCAGAGTCGGAGTCAGAGTCAGTTAGAGTAGGTCAGAGTCAGAGTCAGTGTCAGAGTCAGTGTCAGAGCTGAAGCATCAGTCAGAGAGAAAGCTACAGAGAGGCTAGCAGACGAGCTCTCTCCTCTCTCTCTCTCTCTCTCTCTGTGTCTCCCTCTCTCTCTCTCTGTCTCTCTCTCTCCTCTCTCTCTCTCTCTCTTTTCTGTTTCTTCTCTTCCTGTCACTCTTATGAGATTGTTGTAAGAATATTATGATTATTCATCTTATTTCTAGACATTCTTGCTAGTATTAAATCACGTTTCCAGTGAAAGGGTCTTTATTCGTTGGCGGATCTTTTTACCTGTTTTGAGAAATAATGCAGAGAATTTTGCCTGAATCAAAAAATTACGGTTAAAACTTTCAAAAGACTCAAATTTCCTCAAACACCAGGAAAACAGTCTAGAAATCAGCTGAATAATCTCACAGTATCCAGACGAGTCAGGATGAGACGTTACATACAGTGGCTACATTTAAGATGTTCTCTTTTGCTACTGTATCATTTTTTGCAGTGTATCTGTATCTCTTCGTCCTTCTCTTCTTGTCACTCTTTCTCTTTATCTGTATCTCTTCCTGTTTTTCTCTTCTGATATCTTTTCTTGCTCTCTCCATCTTCTTTACTCTTTTTCTCTCTGAATTTCACCATTTCTCTTCTCTCTTTCTCTTTGCCCCTTTCTCTCCCATTCTGCCTCTCTCTCACTGTCTTTATCCTGCTCTCTCTCTCTCTCTCTCTCTCTCTCTATCTCTCTCTCTCTCTCTGTGTTTGTCTTGCTCCCTCCATCTCTCCCACTATCATTCTCTATATATCTCCTATCTTTACCCCATCTTTGAAGCTAATGGTGTGGAAAACTACTCCATTTTTATAGCTCTCCCTGCAGTTTCTCTCTCTCTCTCTCTCTCTCTCTCTCTCTCTCTCTCTCTCCTCTCCTCTCTCTCTCCCTCTCCCTCTCCCTCTCCCTCTCCCTCTCCCTCTCTCTCTCTCCCCGGTTCAGACCCACTGGGCCGCCCCACAGACATCCCACAGTGCCTCAGTCCATACGTACAGTGGAAGGTGGGGGCGGTGGCTTTGCTGCCTCTGTGGGTGTGGCTTCTGGTTTGAGTGGGGCCGCTTCTTCTTCCTCTTCTTCCTCCTCCTCTTCCTCCACAGGCGGTGGAGGGGGCGGGGCTACATCGGGACACCGTCCGATTTCAGCGTTCTCGAAGGCCACCGGCTGGGAGAAGTCCACGGGCCTGTTTGATTGACACATATGATAAGATCAAAAGACTGAACACACCTGACTGAATCCATTTTTTTTTGCTGTAGCTGAATGGGTGGGGCTAAACTGCTGTAGGCTGAATGGGCGGGGCTAAACTGCTGTAGGCTGAATGGGTGGGGCTAAACTGCTGTAGACTGAACCCTTGGTCATCACCTTGAAGGGGAATTCCACAAATTTTTCAAAACTTCTATATAATTAAACTGGTTGAGATGTAAACAGAGCCGTTCAGAGTGGTTTGGTGTGAAACGCTCTTTTATAGAGAAACTTATCGAGTCAGAACTGTTCACAGTGGTGGTGATAGGAACCAGACGTCCACCTCTAAAAGCTCCCTCACAGAAAGTTACTACAATTACATGAAGTGGTTATGAATACGCTGCCTTGTGTCTGAGACACTGTTTTATGATAGTTTTAAAAGGTTTTGATCTAAAACCCCTGGTTCCCATCACCACCACCGTAAAGAAAGGAAGTTTCCACTGCTCCAGAGTCCACTGTCGGCGTGCTTTACACCCCTCCAGCCGACACTTGGCATTGCACATAGTGATATTAGGCTTGTGCACAGCTGCTCGGCCATGGAAACTCACGTCATGAAGCTTCTGACATACAGTTCTTATGCTGATGTTGCTTCCAGAGGCTGTTTGGAGCTCTGTAGCGAGTGATACTATAGAGGATAGCTCGATTTGAAACTCAATAATAATAGCACTTAGAGTCGGCTGGGGCAGATCTAGCAGGGCAAAAATTGAATGGACTGACTTGTGGCCAAGGTGGCATCGTATGACAGTGCCATCTTTAAAGTATCTGAGCTCTTCAGTTTGACCCTCTACTGCCAGTGTTGGTCTATGGAGACTTCATGTGTTTGATTTTACACACCTGTTAGAAATGGGAGTGGCTAAAACAGCTGAACTCAATGATTAGGAGTGGCCACATACTTTTGCACATTAAGGCCCAGTCCCATTTCACTCCTCGCTCTTACCACTGAGCCTTTACCCCTCTGTTTTGTGCGTTCACGTCTAGGGGTAGGGTGTCCCGATTCTCATTGAGATAGAGGGGTGGGGTGAAGTATTAGGCCTACATGACCCTCCAAATGGAGGTTTTTCAGAGACTCCAAACAGAGTGATATGAGAAAGAAAGAAAACCGGCAAGATGGAGAACAAGAGACCAAAGAAACCCACAAATGTGAGAATTTTCTCCATTAAAAATTTTAATAATCACTATATTATATATTATCTTAGTTTAGTGTTGTTTCAATGTATTATGGTCCTTTTCTTTATAACAAGCACAAAAATTCACTAGTAGTGCTGATGTCTCAGCAGCTCGCTAAACTTCCCGTTCCACCTTAAATGGTCCAGCAGTTACATTCTGGGGCCTCAGGGATCCGAGCTCCTGCTCCATTTAAGGTGGAACGGGAAGATTTGAACAAGAAAGCTGGTGAATATCTGACTTCAGCTTCATATCACTGAAGAATTAGGGGTGGGTGATAATAAATAATTGCCCCCCCCTCTTTGAAGGCATATGATGCCCTAAATGTAACTAAAGCCCAGCAGTGAGGAGCTGAACTTTACCCTCCTCTGCTGTCACTGCAGACTGGCAGGGTCGCCTACAGAGCAGCGCTGGTAGCTGTTAATGAAGTAATGCTCTTTTTATTAAAGGGTCCCATTTCAGAGGGAAGATTTCAACCACTACCCTGTAACTCAGTTCCTAGAGGCAAGGAAACACTCAAAAACATGGGGTAGAGGTAAGAATTAGAAATGGGACTGGGCCTAGTGTATGCCGCAACAGTTCAAAGCAATGGTAATGGTTATAGCATGGCTATGTCGACGTGTTGTAGCAGGATTCAAGTAAAATGTTACCGAAAACCCTTCCGTAAGTGGGTGTTTCCAAACTTTTGACTGCTGTCGCACAAACCGGGTGTGGGTGAGTGAGCTGCGGCGCAACGCGACTGAAAATCCGGTGAATAATGAACACGGTTATGAGCAAGGACACCCTCGTTTAATGCTGTGTAATAGAGGTCAACAGGCTCCGCTCGGGTGTAAGAGACCAAGGGCTTCCTGACAGAGATTCATAATCGTCATTAGCGGGAGAAAAACTCGCCGATTATTAACGGCGCGAGAGCACTTGGCTTATGACTGCACCTCAAAACAGCTCTGCAGGCAAAACAAGCCAACTAATTTAAACCCACAAGAGGCAGAGAGGGAAAAAAGCCCACCCACACGGTCACATTTCATATTCCTCCTGTTACTGTACATGTACTGCAGTAATGGACAACACAGCTCATGGAGTTTACAGCATGTTATTATGTTCAGAGATATAAAGCTTGATTAGATCGAGTGTACAAAGCTCTAACTGTTTGTTACGGCAATAAAAGCCCCGTCGATGAGTCTTTAAACCCTGCAGGCCTGTTCAGCTGAAACTACCCGTTAAATAAAGCACCAGGTCACCACTAGGGGGAGCTCACGGTCCAGTTCTCAGTTCCAGTTCAGTACCGTTGGTTCTGACCTACTATCATCTCCTTTAAAGGGGGAAATCCACCAACTTTTCCAAATCTCTGCATAAATAAATGGTTGAGACGTAAACAAACATTCTAGAGTCAGAACTGTTCACAGTGGTGGTGATAGGAACCAGACGTCCACCTCTAAAAGCTCCCTCACAGAAAGTTACTACATGAAATGGTTATGAATTCACTGCCTGATGACCGAGACACTGTTTTAGGATAGATTTGAGAAGATTTCAGCCCTAAAACATATTTTTAAAACGTATTTTTCAGAACTGTTTTACCATGATAAACATTATATACACCACAAACAAAGCTCAGAAGACCCAGTGTAGGTTCAATGGTGGTTTCGGATAGTAAATAAAATGGCTATATTTGTGTGGTCGACATCTACAATCTCTACCTTCCTCCCCCTTTTACTTTTTAAACTGGATCATTTTTACTTTTTAAGCTATCTTATATTATGTTTATTATCATGACATTTCTTTTTTTTCTCTCGCCTTTATTTAATTTCTTTGAGGTAAAATGTATGAACAGTGATGTGCAGATAAAGCTCTTCTTATTATTATTCTTATTCTTATTATTAGTAGTAATAGTTGTACTTGTATCATACCTACTACAATGAAATAATGACACCACACTGTAAAAAAATATTAGAGAGTGAAAACATCTTAAATGTAGTCAGTATATCTACTGTTTCTCATTATGAGACTGTTGTAAGAATAATATTCCACCTGTACATTTTTGCTCGTTTTGAGTATTTTTATCTTGTGAAAGTGTCTTATTCCATTAAAAGATTGGTTTACTTGCTTCGAGAAATAATGAAGATAATTTTGCTTATTTAAAGAAATAATGTCTAAAACAAGTCAAATTATCTGGCAACGGAATGAGACATTTTTATAAGATAAAACTGCTTAAAAACAAGTGAAAAAAGTCTAGAAATAAGTTAAATAATCTCACAATATTCTTACAACAATCTCCTAATGAGAAATAGTAGATATATTGACTGTGCAGTGCAGTAAAAGTAAAAATCTAACATAAACATGCAAAAAACTGGATTCTCAGTACGGGTACAGGACTGCAGTGGAACCTCTTACCGCATCCAGCATGTTTTAGCATAGAAACGATCCTCGTTTTGGATTTTTTTTATTCTGAAACGCGTTTTTGTTCATCTGTACTGAGAGAAAAGGCTGCAGGAGGAAAGATATTAACTGCGTTCCAAAGTCTGGGCTGCATTTCTCAGCCGCTACGTCATATCAGGCTGTTTCAAAGTGAAGGACCCTTTGTTTACAGCCTAGAAATGCAGCCTACGTTCTGAGTGACGCAACTGATGTTTCCTTCAAGGCCCCTCGGTTACCCACAGTTCTCCGAGCACGAACAACGCGAAGGAAATAAACAGCACCATGAAAATGACGGAAAACGAAGATATTGGAGCAGAGCTTGATTTAGAATGTAAGCTGTTCACGTCCCTGAATTCGACTTCGTTACCTTATAAAGTGTAACATCTCTGATTAATTAAAGCTTTCGCCCGTATATCGTATTTTAATCCGAGGTATTTGTTTATACGTAGTTTATCGTACTACACAAGCTTGTTGGTGTATCAGCTACCATAGCAGCAAACACAACGAAACGGGCTCCATTTTCTCTCACCAGCTCCCTCACAAGTTTCGCACTGCAATTGCAAGAGGCGGGGCCTTTCTAGTGACATCACCGCGCAGCCTCGTTGGGGCTGTTCCATTTCTGTGACCGACAGGCTGCTAAGGAGGAGTCTTCATAGGACAGTCCTACCGAGGAGCCGCCTGACCTCGGCTGCAGCCCAGGCTTTGGAACGCAGCATATGTGTGTGTATATTAGACTCCAGGCTGTTGTTGACCTTCTGAGTGTAAAATTAGTGAACATGTCCTCTACAGAGACACACTACTGCACATTTAATACACAACTACTGTTTGTTTACTGAATTTAACACACTGGGAGGGGGGCATAAAAAGTAGCCTGCAAATTTATGTACAATATGTTAAACTCGGCAAGTCGTGTGTCTCTGTAGAGGATGTGTTCACTTATTCACGCTCGGGAAACCAACAACCGCATGTGTGTGTGTGTGTGTGAGAGAGAGAGAGAGAGAGAGAGATAGAGTCGTACACTGTATTGATCAGCAGGTTCCAGATGCAGCCCTCGAAGGGCACGCTGGGCCTCTGCAGGCCGGTCTGTACGTCAGCAGGAACTCCGCCTATAAACAGTCTGTGGATGCTGATTGGATGATCGCTGGGTAACGCCTGCTCCATCCGCGTCTCTTCATCCACCTGCACTGAGAAAGACCTGAACACATAGAGGATCCAGTCATTATTACTGACAGCCAGAGAAGAAAAAAGGAAGAGGAGATTAAAGGGGACCTATTATGTGCATGTAAACTGTCTGTGAAGTCACAAAGTTCAAAGTTCCCTCAAGAGAAGAAAAACACTTTTCAGCTGCCTGGTTGGAATTCCAGCCCTTTTCCTCTGTTACAAGATGATGTCATCTCGTAACATGGTCCTCACTGCCCGCCTACTCGCGAGCTCGACATGGCCTCACACAGAGCCCAGCAGCTACTGGAGGCTCTGGCGGCTGACCAATCGCCAGAGTGGGCGAGCGGACCAATCAGAGCACACTGGGCTCATCGGGAGGTGGGGCTTAAAGACACAGGAGCTCTAACTGGGTGTTTCAGACAGAGGGTGAATAGAGATGAACAGCATGAGAGAAATAATGTGTTTTAAAACACTGAAGCATGTAAATCTATTCAGCCCCCTAAAATAAAATAATAAATAAACACTGAAGATGAGCAGAATTGGTCCCCTTTAAAGCGATAGTTTACTGAAATCCTGAACAATAGCTAAAAACAGCTGTACTGCAATCCACGTTAATCAACAACAGTGTCTCGTACAGCGTCAGAATCCACATAATCTGGTCTATTAGATATTAATGAATAATACATGCTCATTGTGGAGATGTATGCATGCGGTGCTAATTAAGCCTCCACTACTTGTTAGCTACGTTAGCTTCATAGCTTCAGTGGAAAACTAAAGAAACAAACTGCGGACACGCCTGCCTACATTTGGAGTAAGGAAGGGAAAAACTGGTTTTCCACTGAACTATCGCTTTAATAAAAAGATGGAGAGAGAGAGAGAGAGAGAGAGAGAGAGAGAGAGACAGAGTCCCTCACCCTTCTCTGTGTCGGCGGATGCGCAGCGAGTGCTCTCGGCCATCGTGCAAAATTCCCTCCTCCGGTTTCCTGAGAGCGCGCCGCGGGTTTCTACTGCCAGTGAAGACCAGAACCTCCAGAGAACCTTTATTCAACTGTACTGAGATAAAGGGCTGCAGAGAGAGAGAGAGAGAGAGAGAGAGAGATTACATGTACTCTACTGAGCTGTTATGACATTAAACATGTTTATGGCATGATTATGTTAATGTTACGCAGCAGGATGCAAATTAAAGGTTACCAAAGTGTGAAACTCATATCATCTATAGACGACTTAAAGGGAAATTTCCCCCATTTTTTAAAAATTTCAACATAATTCAGTAGTTCAGATTTCTTCACAGTGGTGGTGATAGGAACCAGGGGTCGCCATGACTACAACACAAATATAGACATTTTATTTACCATCCAGAACCACCAGTGAACCTACACGAGTCTTCTGAGTTTATATGGAATGTTGATGATGGAAAATAGTGGAAAATCTGAAATAATAGGTTTTCTTTGGGGACTATTTTGCCTCACAGCGCCCTGCATGTATCCCTCCACCATGAATGAAGTTTAAGTTCTCTAAACTATCCTAAAACAGTGTCTCAGTCATCAGGCAGTGAATTCATAACCATTTCATGTAGTAACTTTCTGTGAGGGAGCTTTTAGAGGTGGACGTCTGGTTCCTATCACCACCACTGTGAACAGTTCTGACTCAGTAAGTTAACAGTAAACACAACAAACCACTCTGAATGACTTTGTTTACATCTTAAATATGCAGAACATTTAAAAAACAGCAATGTAAAAACGAGAAACGTTAGATATTTGGACTAAGTTGACGATGATTTCACAAGCCAAGATATATATTTCGCAGTGAAATTATAAACGTGTTTATTTCTTCTCCTGCAAACTTCCCATTTTGGAGGGACATTTTGTTACAACTGTGATGAAATGCATCATTATTTGTGTCCTGCAAGTAAAGCACAACGAATCGAACTGAACTCAGACAGCAGGAGTGACTCATTTGGCACAATAGCGGCATTCAGTGAAACAGCGCTGGTACACAGTCAGTCTGACCTGAAACAGTCCTCACAGAGAGCAGAACAACCACAGATTCAGATCTGCATCTGCTGCTGTACGGTTAGGAGCTGTTCGGCTGATGCATAGCTTGTGTTAACCATCCTCTAGCCCTTCGCCAATGGTCAGTTTCTGACCACAGAGCCTCTCTTGGCTAGATATTGTTGATATTGGCTCTTGTTGTTTCTAATAAAGTGGCCAGTAAGTGTACAGACAAGGTGGGTGTTTCTAATAAAGCGTCCAGTCAGTGGAAGTACAAGGTGGGTGTTTCTAATAAAGCGGCCAGTGAGTGGAAATAAAGGTATGTGTTTCTAATAAAGTGGACAGTGAGTGGAAGTCAAGGTGGGTGTTTCTAATAAAGTGGCCAGTTAAGTGAAACAGACAAGGTGGGTGTTTCTAATAAAGTGGCCAGTTAAGTGCAAGCACAAGGTGGGTGTTTCTAATAAGTGGCCAGTTGAGTGGAAGTACAAGGTAGGGGTTTCTAGTTAGGTGGCCAGTAAATGGACATACAAGTTGGGTGTTCCTAATAAAGTGGCCAGTTGGTGGACGCACAAGGTGGGTGTTTCTAATAAAGTGGACAGTGAGTGGAAGTCAAGGTAGGTGTTTCTAATAAAGTGGCCAGTTAAGTGCAAGCACAAGGTGGGTGTTTCTAATAAAGTGGCCAGCGAGTGAAAGCACAAGGTGGGTGTTTCCAAAAAAGTGGCCAGTTGAGTGTACAAATAGCTCTTTGTGAGGATGAACTCACTAGTTTCAGAGCTCCGAATGCAGATGGAGATCTTTCCCATTGTGGTCTAGTGTGAGCTGCATGACGCCTCCTGACAAAAACAGTCCCCATAACTAATCCATAAACACTCCATTACGTACTAATGCGCTCAGAAAGCTGTTTTTCATTCATTCAGCCGAGCTGAACTCTTGCACATCTGCAGCCAGTAGAGCAGCAGCTAGCTGTCCGTGTTTCAATTTACAATGCTGTCTCCAGGAGAGCTGACCGGACCGACCCGGCTGACCCTCGGCCGCCAGGAGAGCTCTCAGCAAGAGCGGACCGTGTGTGATCAGACAGACAAAAGCGAGCACGTACACACACCTTGCTGCGCTCAAACAGAGACAGAATTGCGGGATGTTATGCGTGAACAGGCTCGGCTCTCCAGCGGATCTGCCCCTGCTCCTCTCCTAATGCGGGGAATGAGTGAGGGAGCAGAATCCACAGCACTTCACCAGGCAGGGCTCTGACCTCCTTCACACACAGCACTTCTCCACTGTGCAGAACAGCCACTTTATTTTACAGGTTAAAAGTGGGCTTCAATTATCAGAGTATTTCCTACTCAATCACAGTTATTCTGCACATGATTATTACCTGAAACAGAACAGGGCGATTATTCAGCTCTGCACTGCAGGTTTTGAAGAGTTCGTAGATTTTTACATATTTTTTATTAGGAAAACAGTTACTGTATTTTTACAGGTTGGGTATTAGTAACTCTGAGCGTCTCTACCTGTCCGTCTGTCTATCCTCACATCAGCTATGCATCAATCCATCCATCCATCCATCCATCCATCCATCCATCCATCCAGCCATCCATTCAACTAGCCAACCATTATAATATATACATCCATCAATTCAATCATCTATCCATCTAACCATTATCCATCCATCCATCCATCCATCCATCCATTCATCCATCCAACTAGCCAACCATCATATATTCATCCATCAATTTAATCATCATCTATCCATCCAACCATTATCCATCCATCCATCCATCCATCCATCCATTCAGCCATCCATCTGTCCATCCATCCATCCATCCATCCATCCATCCATTCAACTAGCCAACCATTATAGTGTATACATCCATCAGTTTAATCATCATCTATCCATCCAACCATTATCCATCCATCCGTCCATCTGTTCATCCGTCCAGCCATCCATCCACCCATCCATCCATCCATCCATCCATCCATCCATCCATCCATCCATCCATCAACTATCCATGCATTCATCATTAGTACATCCATCCATCCATCCATCCATCCAGCCATTCAACTAGCCAACCGTTATAGTATATACATCCATCAATTCAATAATCTATCCATCCACCCATCCATCCATCCATCCATCCATCCATTCAACTAGCCAACCATCATATATTCATCCATCAATTTAATCATCTATCCATCCAACCATTATCCATCCATCCGTCCAGCCATCCATCCATCCATCCATCCATCCATCCATCCATCCATCCGTCCAGCCATCCATTCATCCACCCATCCATCCATACATCCATCCATCCATCCATTCAACTAGCCAACTATCATATTTTCATCCATCAATTTAATCATCATCTATCCATCCAACCATTATCCATCCATCCGTCCATCCGTCCATCCGTCCAGCCATCCATCCGTCCATCCATCCATCCATCCATCCATCCATCTATCCATCTATCAACTATCCATGCATTCATCATTAATCCATCCATCCATCCATCCATCCATCCATCCATCCAACCATTATCCATCCATCCATTCATTCAACTTCCACCCTCTCATCCATCCATCCATCCATTTATCCATTCAACTGCCATCTTTCCATCCAACTATTTATCAATCCAACCATCATCTATTCAACCATCATCCATCTAAGTTATCTATTCATTCAACCTTCATCTATCCATCCATCCCTCTGCCTGTTTGTCCAAAGCCTTCATAGTGTTACAGTAATCTTATCTGCTAGAGAGAGTGTTTATTGTGACTCTCACTCTACCATTTAACAGTGATATTGGTGCTAAGATGTGTTTGGGACACCCAGCCCTGTCCGTCTATCCACCCGTCCATCTCCCCATCTGTCCATCTATCTCTGTCTATCCAGCTACCTATCTATCTATCTATTGGTCTTGCTAACAGTCTGTCTATCTGTCTGTCTGTCTGTCTATCCATCCACCCACCCATCTATCGATCTATCTATCTAGCTCTCTGTCTGCCTCTCCATCCATGCACCCACCCATCCAACTGTCCATCCATTCATCTATCCATCCGTCCATCCATCTGTCGCACAAAAGGAACCAAGAAAAACTAGGAAGCCAGGAACCCGCCACATCCACTTCATTTATGGCCCATAATGATTTTCTAAAGGTGACGGTGGCGGACCCTCTCCCACGAGAGAACGAGAGCAAATTGGACCCCATCCATCAGAGAGGCGGAGAGTAAATCTATTTTTACGAGAAGGGCCACACGAGAGGAAGGGAGGAGAGTGGAGGAGAGGAAAGGAGGAGTGGAGGTTAAAGCCACGATCTCTTACAGCCTCTCGAACCGCATAATTGATGTGCTGCCCCCGAGTGCTCTCTCGGAGAGAGAGGACATTAGCGACAGAGACGTAGAATGTCATATTTTAATTAAAATGATCACCACGCCCCCAGCCTTATTCCGCTGCTGCCGTAGATGAGCGCCGGGTTTGTTTGCTGAGGGCCAGAAGCAATTACAGGCGCACAGGTGTATAATCAATCTCCTTTATGGGCCAAGAGACAAACTGCTAACCCTGTGGGTTCATTACCATTAGCATGCACTGAGGACCGCAGCTGTAAGACCCTTCCTTCCTTTCCCCTCCGTTCCTCCATCCCGCCATCTCTCTAGTGATGTGTTCCTGCTCTTGTCTGCCGGTCTGTCTCTTTCTCGTTCTCTCCATCTCTCCAGCTTTGGCCATCTGTCTCTTTTAAGGTCTGTCTGTCCTTGTACACAGCTCGGTCTCATTTCTCTAGACTGCGAAACTGAGTAACACATTTTAAAGGACGAAAGGCCTTCAAACTTTCAGAGAATAACCACGCCCACTCCCCCCAGCCTTCATACTGAATAACCACGCCCACTCACCCAGCCTTCATACTGAATAACCACGCCCACTCCCCCCAGCCCTCATACTGAATAACCACGCCCACTCACCCAGCCCTCATACTGAATAACCACGCCCACTCACCCAGCCTTCATACTGAATAACCACGCCCACTCCCCCTCAGCCTCATACTGAATAACCACGCCCACTCACCCAGCCTTCATACTGAATAACCACGCCCACTCCCCCCCAGCCCTCATACTGAATAACCACGCCCACTCCCCCCCCAGCCCTCATACTGAATAACCACGCCCACTCCCCCTCAGCCTCATACTGAATAACCACGCCCACTCTCTCCAGCCTTCATACTGAATAACCACGCCCACTCACCCAGCCTTCATACTGAATAACCACGCCCACTCCCCCCCAGCCCTCATACTGAATAACCACGCCCACTCCCCCTCAGCCTCATACTGAATAACCACGCCCACTCTCTCCAGCCTTCATACTGAATAACCACGCCCACTCACCCCAGCCTTCATACTGAATAACCACGCCCACTCCCTCCAGCCTTCATACTGAATAGCCACGCCCACTCACCCAGCCTTCATACAGAATAACCATGCCCACTCACCCCAGCCCTCATACTGAATAACCACGCCCACTGCCCCCAGCCCTCACACTGAATAACCACGCCCACTCCCCCTCAGCCTTCCTACTGAATAACCACGCCCACTCACCCAGCCCTCATACAGAATAACCACGCCCACTACCCCCAGCCTTCATACAGAATAACCACGCCCACTCACCCAGCCTTCTTACAGAATAACCACGCCCACTCACCCAGCCTTCTTACAGAATAACTACGCCCACTCACCCAGCCTTCATATTCAAACCAAAAAAACATGCCCACCCACATAGCCTTCATACTTTCACTGACTAACCACGCCCACTCACCCAGCCTTCATACTTTCACTGACTAACCACGCCCACTCACCCAGCCTTCATACTTTCACTGACTAACCACGCCCACTCACCCAGCCTTCATACTTTCACTGACTAACCACGCCCACTCACCCAGCCTTCATACTTTCACTGAATAACCACGCCCACTCACTAAGCCTTCACACTGAATAACCACGCCCACTCACCCAGCCTTCATACTTTCACTGACTAACCACACCCACTCACCCAGCCTTCATACTTTCATTGACTAACCACGCCCACTCACCCAGCCTTCACACTGACTAACCACGCCCACTCACCCAGCCCTCATACTTTCACTGACTAACCACGCCCACTCACCCAGCCTTAACACTGACTAACCACACCCACTCACCCAGCCTTCATACATACACTGAAGAACAACGGACTGAATGTGTTTGGGGTCCATATTTTGAGATGTACGCTTCAGGGGAGAAGTTCTTACCTCACCAGTCTGTCTGCGGTTGCGGCGTGGGTTCTGGAAGAGGTTCCGGTTCTGGGAGATTTGGGTCATGGTGGTGACGCCACCCCGGCCGAAGAGGATGATGCCGTTCTCACTCTTAGTGCTGAAGGACAGCGTGATCTCAGAGCCAACATCAAACACCATAGGACTCAGTTCCATATAGCCCGGCCTGGGGAAACTCACAGTGTGCAGATTCTGGAGGAGAGAGAGAGAGAAAGAGAAAGAGATAAAGAGATACAGAGAGAGAGAAAAGAGTGAGCATAATAAAACTTAAAATGAATCTTTCTCACAAATAAAAGATACGCTGTTATTGCAAAACTCGGACAATACAGCCAGAAAAGACGAATGACCCTCTGCAGAAAGCACTTCTGATTGTATCTCAATTAAATCTTATTTTTAAAAACCAGTAGGCTGTTCCGAACCACGAGACAAAGATCTTTAGGCCACTAACTTCAGCCGAGTTCAACAAGTGGCCTGAGCACAGAACTGATTCTCATCTCCAAACTCATTATTCTTTGGGATGACCTGTTCGTCTCATTCGCGCATTCCTGTCCTTTCTCTAATTCTCTTTTAAAGGGCCCGTGTCATGAAAAATGAGTTTTCTTCAACTATTTTGTTTAAAAGAATTTACTGTAGTCTGTAAACACCGTTGAGCTGCAAAACCTCCAAAAAACAGTAGTTTTGAATTCTGTTTTTGATGATATCACAAAAAACCATATCATACACACACATAGCCCCGCCCATTAAGTTGAAGTTATAAGGAGTGTGTCAGCGCAGGCTTCTTTTTTGAATGAAAGCAGCCAATCAGAACGGAGAGCATTTACATATATCAGTTTTAAAGGCTCAGTAGCTAAAACAGCCTGTTTACTACTGAAGGCATTTCCACAGCGAATGCAATTCATTTGGGTGATTTGCTCAGATGGCAGTAAATTAAATCAAGCATTATAACTGACGTCTTGCACAGCGAATGGCAAAAATTCAACATTATTTAATTCGCCTTCTGTTTGATTCTTGTGAACGTTTTGTGACATAAACTGACCAATCTCTGTCATTTCTGCTGTTGGCATGGCAACAACCAAGCTGTGTCCCGACAACTAGAATTTTTGTACACACTCATTGAGGATTTGTTTGTCATCTGCTACTTTACGGATGCTGTTAATGTCTATCTTTGGCATATTCTGCCTGTTTGTTTGTTTTGGTCATGTCAAAATTACACAGTGAAATTTCCAAATAAATCGTGTCACGTCCAGTGTGCAGTTTTGACATGAGAAAATTGCGCCTTGTAGACCTCGGAAAGAAACGTACAGGACGTTTATAGCATTTAGTGACGTACTGACCTCTATGGAGCAGCCCTTGGTGAGTCCGGTGTAGTCGGAGCTGCTCAGCAGGTTGTATGGAGTTCTGGAAACTTCTATATCTTTCAGACAGCCGGCGTACCTCCTCAGAGTCACCTCAGGCCTGATGGATCAAAAACAAACACACCAATGAGCAACGATTCAGCCAATCGAAGGACAGATTTTCTGATCAAAGATATTACATTAATTCTTTAAATTGATTGCCAATTTGATTTTGGTAGCCTATTAGTCTTTAAAAGTTACTGATTGTTACTGATTAAGTAATAAACAATACTTGGTCTGCGTATAGATGGTATAACCCCACCGCCCGCCCGGAAAAAAGAAAAAACACAATACTGTATACTCACCACTGGTATGAATTATTCACCAACTGGCTTGACTTACTCAGATTTACTTTAAAATAGTTAACGTCTTCTGTATATTATTCAGTAAGACACATGAATGATCCAGTATCAATATGAATTATTCAGTATTCACAATTAAATAGTCAGTAGCTGCTATGAATTATTTCGTATCTACAGGTTCTGCAAAAAAGTTATTTAAGTGATAATATGGAAGAACCACCTTCGGTTACTTAAAAAACATCTTATGTAAAATTTCAATATCAATCTAGGGGGTTTCCTCGAAACCTTTTCATTATGTGGAGGTTCTTTAAAATTTAAAAAGGTTTTTTTTTTTTTTACAAAAAATAGCTCTCTAAAGAACCGTCTATTGAATGGTTTTTAGAGAACCAAAAGTGGTTCTTCTATGGCATTGCACTAAGAACCTTTTCTGACACCTTTATTTTTTATATTAAACTATACTACACTACACCACACTATACTACACTGTACTATATTATACTACACTATACTATACTACACTGTACTACAGTACAGTACACTACACTATACCACACTACACTACACTATACTACACTATACTGTACTACACTGTACTACAGTACAGTACACCATACTATACTACACTACAGTACACTACACTACACTACACTATCCTTCACTATACTGCACTACACTATACTACACTACATTACACTAAACTACACTACACTGTACTATATTAAACTATAGTACACTATACTACACTACATGACACTATACTACACTGTACTATATTATACTACACTATACTATACTACACTGTACTACAGTACAGTACACTACACTATACCACACTACACTACACTATCCTCCACTATACTGTACTACAGTACAGTACACTACACTACACTACACTATCCTTCACTATACTGCACTACACTATACTACACTACATTACACTAAACTACACTACACTGTACTATATTAAACTATAGTACACTATACTACACTACATGACACTATACTACACTGTACTATATTATACTACACTATACTATACTACACTGTACTACAGTACAGTACACTACACTATACCACACTACACTACACTATCCTCCACTATACTGTACTACACTATACTACACTACATTACACTAAACTACAGTACACTGTACTATATTAAACTATAGTACACTACACTATACTACACTGTACTGTACTATATTATACTACAGTACACTATACTATACTACACTGTACTACAGTACAGTACTCTATACTACACTACACTACACTACACTGCAGTACAGTACACTACACTATACCACACCACACTACACAATACTGCACTATACTACACTATACTACAGTACACTATACTACAGCGCACTATACTATACTGTACTACCCTGTACCACACCACACTACACAATACTGCACTATACTACACTATACTACAGTACACTATACTACAGCGCACTATACTATACTGTACTACCCTAGACCACACTACACCACACTACACTACACTACACCATACTATACTACACCATACTATACTATACTATACTATAATGTATTATACCATACTATACTGTATTATACTATACTATACTATACTATGTATCATTTTGTAGTACTTTACTTTGTTTTTTACTTCACTTGATTTATCCAGATAAAAGCAGTGAAGGCCAGAAGCTGATCATGAAGCCAGCATGTGGAAATCAAAGCTTTCCAACAAAGTGACCTGTACTATTATTAATACAGCCATCTGTTCAGTGTTATGTTAAATATTCTTTTGAGTCCACTACTCAACACAAAGCCATCAGGAGTCTCAGTTATCAGCGATAAGAAAATCATGCTGTAATTTTATAAGAATAATAAATTTCTCATAGTTCATTAAAACAAGTGGAAACTGCAGATTCTAAACTTTCAGTCCATATCGCATTAGCGTTCGTATGTAGAGGAGGAGATATTTTACTATGGCCTGACAAATATTCTTTGCATTTCTGCTGTTTTTGTCACGTTTTGCAGAACGTACATAACTACAATCATTACTGAGACTTCTAAGGCTTAAGAAGAGATGAGCCAAAGAGCATCACAGCTGTGAGCTGCATCAGTGCATTGCAGTTGAATTTGCAGAGATGGCAGGAAAGCATTATTGTGCCGCACCGAGTGCATGCAGTAGAGAGGTTTTAGACATATAATTTTTACCTGGATTTGCTATTAAAAGAATTAGAAATGCAGTTATTAGGACACTGAATTCAGACTCAATCTTCCAAAAAATGTATAATAAGAATAAACGCTTTACTTCATCAGACAGATTACAAAAAAAGACTATGCTGGTGTTGAAAAGTGAGTCAAATGTAGTCAAATATAAGTCATCAACACATTTGCATGGCATAACTATTTTCACCAATAATAGTTTAAAAGTTTGGAATCACCTGTCATATTAATTATTGCCATTATTTTATTTAATGCTAAATCATAAAATATTTTTTTTATTCTGCAAAATATGCATAAAAATTCTTAATTCGATATTATATTATTATTTTATTATTATCATTATTATAAAAACATATTTTTATTTACATAGTTATAAAATATAAACAAAAACAACTAAAATGAGGAAATAATAAAATGCTATATATATGATGTTACCTGTAGTTCCCGATGGTCGGTAACCCTCCGAAGTAAATCCTCTCATCTTCCTTCAGGTTGAGGCCAGTAGCTCCACCCTTAGACTCAGGGTAGAGCTTCTCCTCAGTGTTTGAGTCCATGTCCAGAATGGTCACCGTACCTGAGCATGATGAGTAGAAACATAACAATATGTATTGAGGTGAGGTGTTCATCACCCTGTTCTTTAATGGTCAGGACCCCCATGGACCCTCACAGAGCAGGTACTATTTGGGTGGTGGGTCATTCTCAGCACTGCAGTAACACTGAAGTGGTGGTGGTGTGTTAGTGTGTGTTGCGCTGGTACGAGTGGATCAGTTTTAAACACCTTAGTTTCGCTGCTGGACTGAGAATAGTCCACCAACCAAAAACATCCAGCCAACAGCGTCCTGTGGGCAGCGTCCTGTGACCACTGACAAAGGACTAGAGGATGACCAACACAAACTGTGCAGCAGCAGATGAGCTATCATCTCTGCTGGACTGACAAGGTAGGAGTGTCTAATAGAGTGGACAGTGAGTGGACACAGTGTTTGAAATCTCCAGCAGCACTGCTGTGTCTGATCCACTCATACCAGCGCAACACACACTAACACACCACCACCACGTCAGTGTTACTGCAGTGCTGAGAATGATCCACCACCCAAATAGTACCTGCTCTGTGGGGGTCCTGTGGGGGTCATTCTTTGTAAAATAGCCACTGATTCACAGTATAAACTGTACTCTGTACCTTCTTTCCTGCTGCGGGACATGGTGAGGGATTTCCACCGGCCGTCATTGTGCCGTTTGGTACTGGTGACGGAGCCGGTACCAGAACCCAGATCATAACTGACCTTCACATGACCATCACTCAGCTCTATACTCATAAAGTCCTTCTGCACTCAGAGAGAGAGAGAGAGAGAGAGAGAGAGAGAGAGAGAGAGAGAGAGAGAGAGAGAGAGAGAAAGGCAAAGTGAGAGAAATAAGACAGAGAGAGAGGAGAAAGAAAGAGAGAGGTAGAGAGTGTGTGAGAGAGACAGTGTGTGGCAGAAAAAGGAGAGAGACAGAGAGAGATAGAGATGACAGACAGAGACAAAGAGAGAGAAAGAGAGAGAGAGAGAGAGGGAAAGAAGAAAGTGGGACAATGATAAAGAGAAAGATATGCACATACAGAGAGAAAGACAGAAAGCAAGAGAAAAAAACAGAAAAAGAGAAAGAGGAGAAAGAAAGAGAGGGGTAGAGGGAGAGACAAAGCGGGGGAGAAAGAGAGGGGGTGGAAAGAAAGAAAGAAAGAGTGTGAGAGGGTGACAGAAAGAAAGAGTGAGAGAGAGGGAGATGACAGAGAGAAAGTTAGAGAGAAAATAATAGAGAGGGAGAGAGAGAGCGAGAAAGAGAGAGTGAGAGAGAAAGAAAGACAGAAAGTGAGAGAAAAAGAGAGTGAGAGAGAGGGAAAGAGGAAAGAGGGACAATGATAAAGAGAAAGATATGCACATACAGAGAGAAAAAACAGACAAAGAGAAAGAGGAGAAAGAAAGAGAGGGGTAGAGGGAGAGACAAAGCGGGAGAGAAAGAGAGGGGGTGGAAAGAAAGAAAGAGTGTGAGAGAGAGTGTGCCAGAAAGAAAGAGTGAGGGAGAGGGAGATGACGGAGAGAAAGTTAGAGAGAAAATAATAGAGAGGAGGGAGAGGAGGCAGAGAGCGAGAAAGAGAGAGTGAGAGAGAAAGAAAAAAAAGAAAGAAAGAAAGAAAGAAAGAGAGAGAATGAAATTAGACTAGTGGTCTCAGCCTTTTGGACCCCGCTGTATGTGTGTAGTGAGGGTGCTACCATGTCCTTGGTGGCGAGGTACATCATTAGCGCGTTGGTGGAGAAGGTGCGGAACTTGAACATCACCGTTGTGATGTTGGGGTTCCATCTGGTTGGTCGACTGACAGCAGCGTAACCTTCACCATCAAACTGCACCGTACCCTCGGAGTCTGCAGGCTGGGGGCTACAAACACAGACAGAAGACCGTCACATATAGGCCTGGAGATTCACCCCCGCACCTCTGGAGGTCACCATCACCCCAACGTAGAAGCGCATTTCAGCACCTGCTACTCGTTGGGCCGATTTGGGTCTTTAAGTAGGCGATCCGTGTCACCTTTCCCTTGGGGAGTCCTGCTAGTTTGTTTCTAAGCCTGTGTGCTCACTGTTCTCTGGTCATTTCCTAGTTGTTGGACTCTTGGTTTCGTCTTTGGACGATCCTTCAGACCAGCATGATTTCCTTGCTGATCTAGGCTGGTTTGCTGCTGGTATAATCGGTCACCCACTATGGTCATGCTGGTTGACCAACATACCAGCATCCAAAACAGAACATAAGCTAGTTTTGCTGGTCTATGCTGGTTTTTCTCCATTACACATCACACACTACACTGTTACATACATTACACACACACCGATCAGGCGTAACATTATGACCACCTCATTGTCCATTTTATCAGCTCCTCTTACTATATAGGTGCACTTTGTAGTTCTACAGTTACAGACTGTAGTCCATCTGTTTCTCTGATACTTTGTTAGCCCCCTTTTACCCTGTTCTTCAGTGGTCAGGACCCCCATGGACCCCCACAGAGCAGGTACTGTTTGGGTGGTGGATCATTCTCAGCACTGCAGTAACACTGACGTGGTGGTGGTGTGTTAGTGTGTGTTGTGCTGGTCTGAGTGGATCAGACACAGCAATGCTGCTGGAGTTTTTAAACACCTCAGTGTCACTGCTGGACTGAGAATAGTCCACCAACCAAAAACATCCAGCCAACAGCGTCCTGTGGGCAGCGTCCTGTGACCACTGATGAAGGACTAGAGGATGACCAACACAAACTGTGCAGCAGCAGATGAGCTATCGTCTCTGACTTTACATCTACAAGGTGGACTGACAAGGTAGGAGTGCCTAATAGAGTGGACAGTGAGTGGCCACCATGTTTCACATCTTTACACTTGTCCGGAATATTTGAGTCCACGCCCAGGACCAATTCTGGGCTCGTTTTGGGGGAGGGGCTAATGATTTGGCTGTTTTGCTTTCACACACAAGAATTAAACTGTTAATCGATTGCGTGATTCCATGCATCACTTTTCTGCATGGAGGTTTGAAAAATAGTAGGGCCAGCTTCAATTACTTGCTGCTTTTTATTATTTTCCCTGTATACAAACACTCAAACGGTGGAGAGCAGCACTTTTTGTCCACAACAATCCTTTCCTGCCGTCACGAAACTCGAAAAGGGAAGTATCGAAGACAAATCGAAGCAGTCACATCACACGAAAAACATAAAAAAGCAAAACCAAATGGGGACAGAAATCCCCACCATGGCCACCATAGGTTTCACTACACACTTGGAAAGGGAGGGGTGAGGGAGGGGGATTCAGTTGGTTGCAATCTGCAATCTCACCACTAGATGTCACTGAATTTTACACACACTGCACCTTTAACCCTATGGAACTGTGCGTCTCGCCAGTGATCCAGTATGATAATTTGGCGACGGCCTCTTTAACTCATTTAACTCTGCTACCAGAGCAGTTACAGCAGCTGCATGTTCACATTGGCCACAGTGAAATGGATCAGCATGAACCAGAGCTGTCTGTGATCTGCCTTGTTTCCTATCACTGTATAAAAGATGCGTAAGGCTTCCTTTTTAAATTTAGAGCGCAGTTCAGATCGGTAAGAATCTATTACTGATTTTTTTAACGTCAGTAACGAACAAATGTGACTGTTTAGTGGCTTATATTCCTATAAATATGTTTTCCTTTTTCAAAAGAGCAGTTTGTAAGGCGGTTTTGCACTAAGAAATGATGTTAAAGATGGACAATAGCAGATTAATCTTCAAAAACAGCTACGTTTTTGCATCGGCCTTAAAGTGCCAAAGTAGACCATGTGCACGTACCTGACCACACATCCTTTACAGTCTCCGTCTCTCTCTCTGTAGTTCCAGAGGCCGATGGGTTTACCATCCAGATACGTCTCTCCCATACAGCCGGAGAACGTGATCGTCTTCACCGCATCTGCTTTCTACACAGACCGGAAAATCAGAGGGGATTACAACCTAAACTGTAGAACAGACTCGGTTTATATCACAATACCTACATTTAGAGTTGGTTATTCATTCAGCCTAATGAGAAACTGTAGAACAGACTCGGTTTATATCACAATACCTACATTTAGAGTCAGTTATTCATTCAGCCTAATGAGAAACTGTAGAACAGACTCAGTTTATATCACAATACCTACATTTAGAGTCGGTTATTCATTCAGCCTAATGAGAAACTGTAGAACAGACTCAGTTTATATCACAATACCTACATTTAGAGTCGGTTATTCATTCAGCCTAATGAGAAACAGTAAAACAGACTCGGTTTATATCACAATACCTACATTTAGAGTCGGTTATTCATTCAGCCTAATGAGAAACTGTAGAACAGACTCGGTTTATATCACAATACCTACATTTAGAGTCGGTTATTCATTCAGCCTAATGAGAAACTGTAGAACAGACTCAGTTTATATCACAATACCTACATTTAGAGCCAGCTATTTATTCAAAAAGTGAAAAATCATATACATTTTTTTTGTACTGTCCCTTTAAGCTGTGTTAGGTGAGGTATGCTGAGTGAGGCTCATAACTGATGTATAATTGAACGTATCTGGTTCGGTTACCTTCACATTCCCCAACATGCCTCCTACGAACAGGTAGGCATTCTGGTCCACGTCCAGCACCGTGTAGCTCTCGGGGGCATTGGCACTGCGCCAGGTGGGCATGATGCCCGCTTTGGGTCCCTCCAGCGCTCGGACCGATATGCTGCCATTCAGACCCACACTGAAACACACAATGTAAAGAATTAATTTAAAAATTACCAATCAGCCAGTCAGATTCTGCTTACAGACTACATTACATTACTTATATTATTGGTAGAAGTAAACCAGCTCTAATAGAGCTTAAAGGGCCCATACCCTACAGTTATGATGTTTATGTGGTTTATATACCAAAAATAGTTTGAATTTATCTTTACATGACTGTTTTCCAGCTTTACTTCATCCCTACAAATAAAACAGGCTATTTAAATATATGTATATTATCTCTATTTTGATTGGCTGCCCTGAATTGTGCCTCATTCAAAAACTCCTTATAATGCCAGCATTAGAGCTCTAGGCCTGAACTGCTGTAGGCTGAACAGGCAGAAATATGGAAATGTGTTAGTTTTTGTGACATCACAAAAACAATAAATTCAAAATGGGCTGTTCTTGCAGCTTGTTTTCCATATATGGACCGTACAGACTGGGGAGCTGTAATTTTTAATGTAATCAAACTCTTTTATTTAAAAAGAGACTGAAAATGTTTTTCCACATCATGGACCTTTAAGACAGCACGTCAGGTAAACGATGATGACGCGTGAAGGTGTTTTGTGCAGCACCGTGTGCTGAGAGGTGTGTGTGTGTACCGCGAGGCTTCGATCCGGTGCCAGTTTCCGTCATTAATGACGAGGTCGGGGTACTCCACTCGGCCGACCCCTGACCCCACATCCCACAAGAAGTTGACCTTACCCTTCCTCATCTCAATCGCCAGGAAATCCACCTGGACACACACACACACACACACACACACACACACACACACACACCACACCAATTAGATCACACTGAGACTGCAGCGGTAACAGAGTCCTCTGTTTCAGGTAACCGTGTGGAAAATAACTGCGGTAAACAGCTAAACTGAGGTGGGCTGGGAATTTTAGTTTCATTTGCTTTAATTGCCTTAATTACTGTCTTAGGTTTTAACATAATAATGAAAATAACATTAACGTCGATATTGTAATAAATAACATATAAAATAATAAACACTGATACTTTTTCAGCTGGTAATTTTGAGACGGTCCCTTACACTGAGGAGCACGCGAGTTGGTTTGTGGAATAAAAGAACACTTTTGGCTGTAGCACACGCTTAAAAAAGGACGGTTCTTCAAGGGATCTTTAGTAAATGGAATGGTTCCATTTAGAACCGTGAGTTCTATACAGACGCTTAAATGGTTCTTTGCATGGTGAAATGGTTCTTCAGATCAGGGGATGAGTTGTATATGGTTCTATATAGAACCTTCATGAAAATGGTTCTCTATATGCCCAAACAGGGTTCTATTGTTAAAGCTTGACATTTTAACAATATATTGTGCATTAAAATTTGCCATATTTTTGAAATGCCCCGCATAGATCGCACAAATCTGATCTCTCTGACAGGATGATTCTCACTCGGTTAGGTAAGAGACTCAATTCTGTTATTAATGTGAACAAACCGGCGTCCTGAAATGACCCATCCTACTCAGTAACGTCACGTGAATGAATCACGTTCATCATCAGCACAAACTAACGAGCAAAACGAGCTTCGCTGAGAAGATCATTAACTCTGATCAGCTCTCAGCTTCATTATTAGAGCGAGACGAAGGAGAAAAAGGTGAGATGAGCTGCTTTTCCACCGTTTACAGGCTTTAACTTCTGTTCGGCGCTGCTGCCATGGTAACGCTGAATGATGGCGCACGTGCAGTGGAAAATAAGCACATGAATTCCGATCTGAGCGTCACATTAAGGTCGCATGGCCATGAATCAGATACGTATCCGATCTAGGGCCACATACAAAAGTGGCTCAGGTGGGATTTGAAAAGATTAGATTTGTGTCCACACAGCTCTGAAAACATCAGATCTGAGCCACATTAGGGCAGAAAAATCGGATTTGTGCCACTTCAGCCTGGTAATGTGAACGCAGCCTTATTAGAATTTTCCGGTTCCTCCTTAAATAGTGTCACACCAGAATGGAACTTCCGCACCATTTAAGGTGGAATGCGAAAATTGGCAAATGCCATGTCTTGTTAACTGTACATTTCCTAAATGTAGAGAGTGACCGTTTTCCCTCTTGCATCCAGACACTGAGCATTTGACGTCTAAGTTGCTGAATTTGCAATAAAAGGTAGTGTCATTCCTAAACGGTGGTTAGGGGGCAGTATACAAAACATTTTAAAAAAATTAGATGTCATTTTATGCACTCTGCAGTTCCCGATGACTGTTAGACTGAAGTGTGTTCTTAGTAGAGGACATTCACTTAGTTTCACTTAGAAAACGAACTAAACGTCATTTGACCAGCAGCGTTCAAACTTTTGTACACAACTGTATATCAATAAATGAGTGGGGGCAAATGAGTTTTTACCGTCGCTGGGGGCTGTTACCGTGGTAACTCGGTTAACCGTCACCGGGCACAGGCCGAGATCACACTCAGTCCTGCGGCGCCTCTGGTTCGGAGCTGGTGTTTGTGTCTCGGGGGAAATCAGTGAGTAACGACAGATGAAACAGCCTCAGTTTAAACTCTCGGCTAATTGCTGCTGCTGCCTCACTTCAGTGGCCTGATCACACACCTTCCTCACGGGACGCGCGTACGTGAGCACGACTGTGTGTGTGAGTGTGTGTTGCGACAGAAGAAGAGAGAAGGAGTAATAAGCCTTTTATTATTTCTCTTAGCCGCAGGTAATCGCTGTTTATCTCTGGGTTTAAAGTAATAAACTGTGATGTTCGTTTTGCCTAATTAATGCAGTCGTGAGGAAACGCGCCCTCACTGTGCTTTATTCGCTTTAGCGGCCCTGTAGTGACACTGCTAAGAACAGGCCTAGTCGAGAGAGTTGAGCTCAGCTTATGCGCTGTTGGGGAAAAAAGTCGGGAATCTATGTTTCAATAATCTAAAACTAAGTTGCAGATAAATGTATGAAATCGTTTTAATCTGTCCGTCCTGTTCACTTTCACAGGTTTCAGATCTGTGAATAAAAGCTTCAGAAGCTGCCAATAAAAAATAAAGATTTATAGATGTGTCCAGCAATTCCTTAAGCACTTCCCCAAAATGCTCAGTGGTTTCTATGGTATTCCTTGGTGGTTGCTAGTGCGTTGCTACGTGGTTGCTATGGTATCCTTGGTGGTTGCTAGAGTGTTGCTATGTGGCTGCTAAGGGGTTTCTATAGCATCCAGGAGGTTGTTAGGGTGTTGCTGTGTGGTTACTATGGTATCCTTGGTGGTTGCTAGTGTGTTGCTACATGGTTTCTATAGTATCCCAGGTTGCAAGGATGTTGCTACCTGGTTGCTAAGTGGATTCTATAGTATCCCAGAGGTTGCTATGGTGTTGCTAAGTGGTTGCTGTGGTAACCTTGGTGGTTGCTAGGGTGTTGCTAGGTGGTTGCTAGGTGGTTTCCATAGTATCCCAGGAGGTTGCTAGGGTGTTGCTATGCTAAGAGGTTTCTATAGTATCCCAGGGGGTTGCTAGGCCGTTGCTACCTGGCTGCTAAGTGGTTTCTATAGTATCCCAGGAGGTTGCTAGGGTGTTGCTATATGGTTGCTATGGTATCTTTGGTGGTTGCTAGGGTGTTGCTATGCTAAGAGGCTTCTATAGTATCCCAGGAGGTTCTAGGGTGTTGCTGTGGAATGTGGTTGCTATGGGACCCTTGGTGATTGTTAGGGTGTTGCCCAAAGTCATTACACACCTCTATAAATGAAGAATACCTCAGCCAGTTTGCATTGAAGTCCCTGTAGTTACTGAATAATAAGCCTTAGTGTGTAATAAGCCTGAGATTTTAAGATTTTTTTGGTAAGTTACAGCAAACACAATGAGTGTTGCTATACTCATGATGTGCTATAACGAGGCGAGAGACAACACACTGACACACCAAACCACTGACGAACATCATCTCTCTTGTTCTGGGCAAACTTTATGCAAATGAACCGAGCAGCGACCAATCAGATTGTTAATATGTGCCGAGGTTATTGATTATGTCACACCGAGAGTCACACAGTGTGATTCACACACCGAGCGGAGATATAACAGCTAATAAAACATAATTGTTATGTTAGATCACTCTTTTTAAGCTTAAAAACAACATTAGGCCACTTTGGGCCTCAGAACTGGCCTAAAACTCTACATAGACCTTCTCTCTTTGTACGTCAACCTGAGTGTGTTTGAGCGACGCCCACAAAGCGGCCAACAGTTTTCAGCTCAATGTAATGAAACTCCACTCTAAAGTAAACACTCATGGGTCTTTACTGCTCTCATATTACTATAAAGTTCAGAATGTTTTATTATTTTTATTGTTTTTAACAGTTAAAGTCCTGAAATCAGCACCCTCAGCACCCCCACTTCTCGCCTTCCTTGTGGTCCGGTGTCAGAATCTCGTAAACTGCAGTGTGAATTAGCGTAAAAAATCCAGCAGAATAATAAAAAGAAGAAAAAAGAAGAAGTAGAGGAATAAATTTAATGACAATAGTGTTGTGCATTGCAAAGCAATGATAATAAAAGCCCTTAAATGGCCAGAAGCTGCAGGCGTCCAAACTTTTATTACCTCTGACTCAGAAAACCCCGTCCAGTTTACACTGCAGTCGTCGTGGTTACTGAACAGTAAAGCTTTAGGATGTCATAAGCCTGGGATTTTAAGGTGTTGACAGAAAACCAAATGAACACTAAACGTCATGCAGATATCAATATCAACACCTACTTTGACGGCGTTTATCTCTGAGAAACATTGAGTGTGTTTACATGCAATAATCCGATCTTAATCGGATTTCTGCAGTTATCCGATTATTCAAATGGTCATGTAAACACCATACTCCGATCTAGAAATCCAATTAAGAAAACCGATAAAGAGGGTGGAGTTGAGCTCAGTAATCAGATTTCTCAGTGCATGTTAACTCTTACTCCGATTTCTATCAGTCTGAGCACATGCGAGATCAGACGGTGGATGTCGGGAGACGCAGCAAAACACTGCTGGAGCAGCACTGAAACCAAACATGAAGTAAAGGATTTAAATATTCTTCATCTTCTAGATGATGTATGTTCATATTTTCAGGTAAAGTGGCGCGATGTTTGAAAAAAAGCTGCGGTATGAAGTCTGAGGTTTACGTTACGTTTACGTCACGTCTTTTTCTGTGAGTTTATTGCCTGGTTGTAAAGCAGAAATCTGATTACTGTCTGACTCATGTAGACCTGGAGTTTCCCATTATCTGATTCCTCAAGTGCATGCAAACGCGTTGATCGGAATACTGACAAAATCTGATTTTCTGCAGTTATCGGATTATTAAGTGCATGTAAATGCACACAATGAGTGTGTTTATGTGCACTCGATAATCAGATCATAAACAGATTTCTGCAGTTATCTGATTATTCAAATGGTCATGTAAACACCATGCTCCAATCTAGAAATCTGATAAAGAGGGCAAGATTTTAGCTCAGTAATCAGATTTCTCAGTGCATGTGAACTCTGATTTCTTTCAGATTTCTCAGTCTGAGCATGTATTAGAACAGACAGCAGGACCGGAAATAAACAAGCAGTGCTGCTGTGAGACACTTTTAGAGCGGCACTGAGAGCAAACATGAAATAAAGGATTTAAATATTTGTTTTACATTATGTTTGCGTCACGTCAAGTTTATTGGCTGGTTGCAAAGCTGAAATCCGATTACTGTCTGACTCATGTCGACCTGGAGTTTCCCCATTATCTGATTACCCAAGTGCATGTAAACGTGTCGATCGGATTACTGACAAAATCAGATTTTCTGCAGTTATCGGATTATTAAGTGCATGTAAACACACTCAGTGTTTTGCCCCACTCAGTGTTTAGAACAGTGCTGGGAAGCGCTTTTCACTCACGTATTGGGCGGAGCCGAGGTAGAACAGGAGGTTGTCGGCGGCGAGGGTCTTCACGTTGAGGATGATGGTGTTGTAGCGGCCTTTCTTAATGTCCGGCCGGTAGGTGCGGATGCAGTCTCCACCCGACGACACAGACACTTTAATCTAGGAGGATATATAATGCACTGATTATGTAGAGTAAAACATTATAAACACTGAAATGGTCTTATAGCGTACGTTTATACAAAATGGTTAAAAATATCACAGATATGATTATTTTGCTGATCAGATAAGAGCCATTTTCACATGTGCTCCAAGGCCCTGTTCATGCCTGGTATTAAAGGGCCCATATGCAACTTTCTTGCAGTTTATTTTTAATCCCTGAGGTCCGTCAATGATGTTAGTGTCATTTTTTGTACCAAAAACACCAAAATTCATTTTTGCATGACCATCTTCCAACATGACTCCCAACCTGCTTTTGTTACTGTGTCTTTAAGATGGATGTATGTAAATTAGATCTGTTCTGATTTGCTGCACCTCATTAAAAAGCAGCCCAAGTTGAAATCCTTATACGTGAATGGGTGGGGCTAAACTACTGCAGGCTGAATAGGTGAATGTATGTAAACGTGTTGGCTTTAATGACTGGTTTCCGTATATATGTAAAGATATATACGCAAATATTGTATTATATATATATATGTATATATATATATATATATATATATATATATATATATATATATATATATATATATATATGTAAGAGGCTTCGATAGTGTCCCAGTGGTTGCAATAGTATCCCAGGTAGTTGCTAGGGTGTTGCTAGGTGGTTGCTATTGTATCCTTGATGGTCATTAAGGTGCTGCTAATTGGTTGCTATAATATCCCAGGAGGTTGCTAGGAGATGCTATGGTATTTAAGGATATTGCTAGGGTGCTGCGAAGTAGTTTATATAGCATCCCAGAAGGTTGCTAGGGTGTTGCTAGGTGGTTGCAGTATTATCCCATGTGGTTGCTAGGATGGATGCTATGGTATTCAAGGTTATTACTAGGGTGCTGCTAAGTGGTTTCTTTGGTATCCCAGGTGGTTGCTAGGCAGTTGCAATGGTGTTTCTACAGTGTTACTAGTGGTATATATATATAACCAGACTGCCTGTTTTGAAGTCATTGTTTTTGTGATGACATTAAAGCAGTGACCACAGCAGTTTAACTCCACCCACTCACATAATGGACGAAGGGGTGAACGCTATGTTTTGAAACTTTAACACTGTTTAAATACTACACTCTTTAAAAAGATGAAGAAAGTGGTTCTATATGGAATCATGAACACTTTCAATGATTAAAGGGTTCTTTGCATCATTGCTACAGACTGATGGAGAATGTGTTGTGTGTGGTTCTACATAGCATAGTTTGATATGTTCAGCTTGTTACAGTAGAAGAACGCTTTTTGGTGTTATATAAAAACCCTTTTCCAAAAGGTTCTATACAGAAGCATGTACAGCATATTCTCCATCAATCTGAAGAACAATTCCATGATTCAAAGAACACAGAGTTCTTTGAGTGTTCATGACTCTATATAGAACCACTAAAGTCCAACTTTCAGAAAGGTGAGAGAAATGAGTTGTGAGGGGCTCTTTAACGCAGCTGTCGCGCAGTGGACAGTGTAGTGGAGCCGCAGTTCTGCGCCGCTGCGGTGTTCTGCTTACAGAGTTGGCCTGTTTGCGGGCCTGGTTGATGAGCTCCTTGATCTGAGAGATGTTCTTGCGCAGGTTGTCCTGCAGCTGCTGAATGGGCTTCAGTTTCTCCAGCAGACGGTCGGCCTCGTCCTCCAGGTCCTTCACTTTAGCGCCCGCTGCGTGGACTGAGCGCAAAGAGGGAGGAAGATTTAAACCAATTACGCTGACGTAAACAGCTCATCTACAGTAGCTGTCATGAGAAAATGAAGAAGGAAAATAGGAAAATAACACACAAAGAAGGAGGATAAGGGGGGGAGGGTGTGCATGACGTGTTCAGTGGATTATTTAGTAAGGCAGGATGGTGTTATTGAAAGGACGAGATGACAGAAATATGACTCAGTGTGCATTCACGATTAGCATAATCTCAGCTAAAGCGCACATTAGGCTAACGAGCTTAGCGATGCCTTCAAAAAGAGGCTGCTTCAACCCTGCTGGGCGAGAACAAAGAGAGGAGAGAAGGGAGACGAGCAGCTCGGTTATCTCTCTCTCTCCGCTGGCTGGAGCGATGAGCATGCATCTGCCTGGATGAGTGCGCAGCATGCCGAAGCCGAAGAGCATGAAGGGTCTTAGAGTGTGAAGGAACGTGAAGCGTAGGAACACAAACTGGGATACATACTGATCGCTGTCGACGTTCGAAATAAAACGGTGGGGAGAAAAAAAAGAACATATATGATCATTGAGGCACTTGTTTCAAATCACACAGGCTTCAAAGCAGACAGGACAGCATTCAAGGAAAGTTCTACGTGATAAAAACGTCTTACGCCACTACGAATATTCTGCCAATGATCCTCTAAGCAGCCCAACAGAGGTTTTGACCAGCAGACGGCTAAGATTTCAGCGCTGACTAGACAGGAGAACATTTTTTACACTGTTTTAATACAAAATGAGAATATTTTCTTTGTTAGTTTATAATATCATACGTCACTGCTGTCAGAACAAAACCTCGTATCTCCAAAATGGTGACTTTACAGGAGAAGGAAAAAACACAGTTTATTTTTAATGTAAGTCAATGGAACCAGACTTTTTACCAAGTAAGTTTTTCATTCATCATGAAATTTGCACACAATACATAAGACAACAGGCATTTTCAAATTATGGAAAAACTGGAAAAATGAAGATACAAGGTTTTGTTCCGACAGCAGCGAAATTATTTCAAGAGCTGTTCCGATTTCTCACGTCAAATGGACACTAGAGGGCAGATTTACTAAGAGAGGTGCTAATTTCTGATAATCTACTGCACTTTGTGCTGGGGGGGGGGCAGATTTTGGGATTTTTCATCTAAGAGGTGCAACTTTTACACAAGATCATCTATTAACATTAACATGGCTGTGCATCACATGTTAACATCCTCTACAAAGAACTTCAATAAGATGTTTTCCTGCAAATTTTACAGCAAAATTTCTTTTCACCTGCTGAATTCCACATATTGGAAAAGAATAAAATATAATACATGCGTAAGTCAGTTTTTAGGGATGTTTACATATTGCTGTGGGAAGAAAACCTTGTATCTCCATTTTTGTCATTTTTCAGTTTTTGGCATAATTTGCCTTTACATTGTGTGTGAATGTCAACATGAATGGACCAAAAGAAATGAACCAAAATGACTCGGAAAAAATTCTGGTTCCATTGACTTACATTAAAAGTAAAGTAGGTTTTTTCCTTCTCCTGTAAAGTTACCATTTTGGAGATACAAGGTTTTCTTCTGACAGCAGCAATAAATTTCTCACATATGTAAATGTTAAAAATTGATGCTATTAAATATTTTTATCTACATAAGTGCATGGATTTTACTATATTGACATGCACACACATTTATATGATGCAATAATATTATTATGTAGTATAATATAAAAATTCGCTGCTGTTGGAGCAAAACCTTGTATCTCCATTTTTTGTTGATTTTCAGTTTTTTGACATAATTAGAAAATACCTGTTGTTCTTTATATTGTGTGTAAATTTCATGATGAATGGACCAAAAGAAACGGCCCAAAATGACTTGGTAAAAATTCTGGTTCCATTGACTTACATTAAAAGTAAAGTAGGTTTTTCTCCTTTTCCTGGAAAGTTACCATTTTGGAGATACGAGGTTTTGTTCCAACAGCAGCGAGCTATAATTGTAATGAGTATGATATGTATTTTGGGAACGTTTTTTTCCATTTTACTCCTCAATTTAGTCGTAAATTGCTTAGACAATCAATATAATATAATATAAATCAAAGTGTAATCATCTAAAATCAGGAGACGTTTTTGAGGCGGGGCAAAAGGTGGATGAAATTTTGCAGGACAGCAAGAATTGGGTCTTATAAATGCTCTTCATGCCAAGAAGACACTCTGATAACCATGAAGCTGAGTGTTGAAGGTGAATATACACAAATGATGAGCTCAGTGCTGCTGTATGATCACTGAACCACTGCAGGGAGTTTTTCTTACTGAATCGGAAAGTAACATTGTAAGGCAAGCCGTCCTCACACTTTTGATGGGCAGTGTTCATGTACACAGCATTAGGAGAACCGTTCTGGCCAAGGGGCAAAACCTCTGCTGGGCAGCTGTAACTGAAATTCTCTTAAGTTTTAAACCTAAGCAGAAGGTAAAAACCGCAGTAAAAGCAGACAGCATGTAATAAGCCGTACTGTTTTTCTCGGGGTCCTGGATCAGGTTGTTGGCCTTTTTCACGTCGTCTTCCAGTTTGCTGTAGTTCCTCTTCAGACCCATCAGGTTGAGGTTCATGTCTTTGAGCCGAGCCAGAACCTCCAGCGCCGTGTCGTTGGCCTCTCCTGCTTTCAGCTTCGTAGCCTGGATTTTAGCCGCCGTGTCTGCAGAGAGCAAAGAGCGAGTTTAGAGGTCTGCCGAGAGGCTTCACACTAAACTTCACGGTGAAATATTAAGAATGTTAGGAGTTTAGAGGTGTCCAAAAGATTTTAATAAACCTTTTGGATATGTTGGGAGCGTAGAAGCCTCTGGAAATACTTTACAGTAAACTTTACGGTGAATTTTGTGGATGAGAATGAAATATCTTGGGAGCTTAGGGGCTTTCAGAAAGATTTTACAAGAAACTGTTCAGTGAAAGCTTAAGAATGTTGGGAGTTTAGCGAAAAGACTGATTTAACATTACAATGTTATATATGTATGTGCAGTATATATATATGTCTGTGATTGACTGGCGACCTGTCCAGGGTGTATCCTGCCTTCCGCCCAATGACAGCTGGGATAGGCTCCAGCACCCCACCGCGACCCAGAAGGATAAGCGGTTTAGATGATGTATGTACGTATATATATATGTATGTATGTATAAGCCATGAAACTTATACTCATATTATAAAAATATACATTAACTACTAAAAATAGGCACCGAGTTGTGTTTTAATCGTTAAATGAATATATTTAATATATTCATTTAATATATAAGAACACATTTAATTTACAATTAAACCTATAGATGTTTAGAGATGTCCAGAACGATTTCACAACAGATGTCCAGAAATATTTTACAATAAACTTTACAGAGGAAAATCAAATATGTAGGGAGCTTAGAGATGTCCAGATGTGGTTTACAATAAATTTCACAAAAGAAAATTATACATAATGAGAGTACAGAGATGTCCAGAGATATTTTACAGTAAACTTTACAGAAAAAAAAAAACAATTAAATATGTAGGGAGTTTAGAGATGTCCAGATGGGTTTCACAAGAAACTTTATAGAGCAAAATGAAATATAATGAGTTTAGAGATGTCCAGAAATACGTTACAGTAAACTTTACAGAGACTAATTAAATATGTGGGGAGCTTAGAGATGTCCAGATGAGATTTACAATAAACTTTACAGAGGAAAATAAAGTATGTTAACAAAAATTAAGCCTCAGTTCACACTTTATAACTGTGTTTCCTCCCACGTCTGCTTCAGTGTTAGGAACCGTCACAAAATTACTCGACGAGAAAGTGGGGCTGTTATTATCATTACTTATTCAATTAGTCGATTATTATTATTATTACTATGATATTAGTTTTAAATCGACATGGTTTAAGTGAAAAGAGGACTGGCCCACTCAAAGTGCTTTACAAAACAGTGATTACTGATACATCCACCTATATATTCACACACACACACACACCGTTGGGGATGGCACGGAGGATCTCCAAGGTTTCGTTCAGGCCCTTCAGCAGGTCTTTGTTCTTGGCGTCTGCTCCTTTGAGCCGGAGCTGCAGAACCCCCAGATTGTCTGCATTCTCTAAGCAAACAGAACAAAACAAACAAGACGTTACTTCTGCTTTGCTCACGCGCCAGAAGGACGCAGGCAGATTCCTGCCTCTCCGCCTGCAGTTGGCCGAGCGCGGCTGGATGCTTTTCATTCCGCTGCTGAGGTTAAACCTCTTCAGGAATAACTACAAATCCTTCAGCAGCAGAGAGCTGCGCTGCGAGGAGCTGCTACAGAAACGCTTTACCTTTAACATCGTTCTCCAGCTTCTTAGCCTCGTTCCACAAGCGCTGGCTTTTCTGCACCGAGCTTCTGGCGTTGTCTTTGAGAGGACCTTTAGGACCTGTGGCCTTCAGAGAGGAAAAGGCACAAAGCCGGTCATTCCAGAGGAAACGCAGAGCACCGTACGCCCACACACACAAAACACTGCACAGAGCACACCGAGCTGCATCTGTCTGCACAAACAAACCAGCTCCACAGGAAAATAGACGCAATCTTGCACAAAGTAATGCAAAGGTAAACAAACCTGAACGTCCTGGTTACAAATGAACACATTGACATTCCATGTGTTTAATACATCCATTGCATTTCCTTCAGAAATTCCTGTTTGCTTGCAGTTTCTTTGATTCAGTTCTCCTTTGAAAATCACACATTCTAAGCTGTTTTACTACGGGCAAAAGAAAAAGGCGGGGGGGGGGCAGTTGAGGCCGAACACCAAGTTCAATCTGAGAATGTAAAATCAGAGAAAACTAGTTCTAACCTACAGATACATAACACATGTGACTTTACAGGAGACCGAGAGTGAAAACGTTCTTTAGTTTTAATGTAAGGGAATGTAAATAGATTTTATTCCGTGTATTTTTGGAGCATTTCTATTGGTCCATTCATCATAATATTTTCACCCGATGTAAAAGGCAGCTGCTGCGTTCAAATGATGCAGAAAAAAAAATCAACCAAAATGGAGATACATGGTTTTCTTTGGACAGTGATGATATATACATATATATATATACTACATAAATATGTCATATTTATAAGACATCATAGTGCCTTTCATAAATATAGTAATACATATGGGATTACACTATTGCACAAAGATACTTTCCATATTTAAGTGTGCTCTCTGTGTAGAGGACATTATATATATATATATATATATATATATATATACATATACATATATATATATATATATATATATATATACATATATATATATATATACACATGTATTTTCATTGTGGGCTGTTTCTTTTGGTCCATTCATCATGAAATTTACACACATTGTAAAGAACAGCAGGCTTATATACATATATATATACATATATATATATATATATATATATATGAGTAGTTACATAATGTATATACGTTGTGTTCTCACCAGTTGTACAGCCTCTATAGCTGTAGCTTTAGCCTCCTTGGCTGCTTTGTCTGCTTCTTCAATGAAGTTTTTAATGTTGGTGTAGGCGTTGAAGGCAGCCGTGGCATTGAAGGAGAGATTCTTAGCCTCAGCCAGAATGCTGCACACACACACACACACACACACACACACACACACACAAACACACATACACACACACACACACACATCATTGATCAAGGTGCTCAAATATTGTAATCCATTATAAATGACTTATTACTTCTCTCACACTGTAATGGGGTTACTTAACATCACTACTCATTACTTTACTTCTGAGTTACTCTCTAAAACCCACACACACACCTTTACCAGCTGTACAAGAGAAAACCTAACAGTCGTTTTCAGTACTTTTTTGAGAAAAGAGCACAGAGATCTTCATCTATCAGTTTCATATTAGTGCGATTAGATGTTTCCATTGCTCACCATGTGTACAGACAGGCGATAGCAATGCCCTAACAACACCTTAGCAACCAGAAACACCATCACAACAGATATTTACATTATCGAAAAACTGAATTCACATTTTTTGCTTTAAATAACGCCAAAAACATACACACTGTAAAAGCAGTTATGTTATGAAACAAGTTTTAACTTTTCAACATTACTAGTTTGTTGAATTGCTAATTTACAGTAAAATACTGGATACCAAGATACATTACTTTTACAGCTGTTACCTAAAATTAATCACAGCTTACTGCAGTAAATGTACAGCAGAATGCAGCTCCATCACAGTATTCAGCTGCTGTTTTTTACTGTCAATACAGTTCAGTAAATGACTCTGAATGTAAAGCAACTAGTAATTAGTAACTTACTGTAATTTTATAGTGAATTTTTTTCATGCAGCTTCATGAGGAGCCACCTGAGATGATTCTCCAGCAGGACTGAGGAAGCTCCTCACCCTGAAGATGCTACACTTGCTGAGCACTTGGCTGCCTGAAAGCCTCTTGGTGGAGGAGGAATAATTTAAAATGAACTTCACTGTTTCACAGACACACAGACACTAACTTGTCGAGGATGTTGGCGGAGTCGTTGAGCTGAGCAGCGTGGCCCTCTGCTCTCAGCAGTAAATCAGGCAGGGTGTTGTCCTCCAGACCTTTCGCCAGTCGCCCCACTTTATAGTCCAGTTGGTCATGCAGTGGACCCAGCTCGTGCTCCATCTCCTCCAGCTCCTAAAACACAGCCGCGATACACAATAAACGTTCATGATAAGACAGATCACCTTCCAGGAGGTCAGCACAGCTTTCAGTTCAATCAGAAATATGCTTGATTGAGGGTCATCCCACCAATTTTTTCAAAATTTCTGCATGATTAATTCATTAAGATGTAAACAGAGTCGTTCAGAGTGGTTTGGTGTGAAATGCTCCTTTTAGAGAGTCAGAACTGTTCACAGTGGTGGTGATAGGAATCAGACGTCCACCTCTAAAAGCTCCCTCACAGAAAGTTACTACATGAAATGGTTATGAATTCACTGCCTGATGACTGAGACACTGTTTTGGGATAGTTTTGAGAAGATTTCGGCCTTAAACTCCATTCATGGTGGAGGGATACATAATATGCAGGGTGCTATGAGGCAAAGTAGTCCCCAAAGAAAACTTATTATTTCAGATTTTCCACTATTTTTCCATCATCAACATTCCATATAAGCTCAGAAGACTCGTGTAGGTTCACTGGTGGTTCTGGATAGTAAATAAAATGTCTATATTTGTGTTGTAGTCATGGCGACCCCTGGTTCCTATCACCACCACTGTAAAGACATCTGAACCATTTCACACCAAACCACTCTGAATCACTCGGTTTACATCTCACACACTGAACTATGCAGAAATTCTAATAGAATTCTAGTTTAAGTGAATGAGACTGGAGTTGTTCCTCATCAGCTATTATTTTTAGCAAAATTAGGATTTTGGATCTCCCAGAAAAAGACCTTTTATCTCTATTTTTGTTGACATAATTTGCAAATGTATTCTTGCCTGAGAAAAAGGAAATTTTGTCCTGAGCACAATAAGTTCACACTGACGTCCAGTGAGCCATCAGTTTTATTACACACTTCTATGACCTAAGAATAGCTCTGCCAGTTTGCATTAAAGTCCCTGTAGTTACTGTATAATAAGCCTCAGTATTTAAAAACACTGAGATTTAAATAGTTGAATCCTAGAAGTTACAGTTTCTGATGGCGATAAAAAGAGGAGGCTGTAATTTTATTAGCAGTTCATTGAAACAAGTGGAGGAACTGTGTGGAAAGTGCAGATTGTAAACTTTCATTAGGCTGTAAGTAGAAGAGGAGATATTTTATTATGATGTATATTTGGTGAAGTGATTGCTCTGCTGTCCTGTTTGGCAGAAAGAAAAAAATATTCTTTATGTTTTTGACTTTTTTGACACAAAACAGACAGAAAAAGACGAAAACGTGTGCTAATCTGACCTCGATGCCCCGGTTGATGTTGTCCGAGAGCCCGTTGGCCTCCTGCAGGAACTTTTCTCCATCCTCCAGTATTCCTTCCGTTTCTTTCTTTCCTTTATTGGTCTGATCCCTCTTTCTCTGTCAGAGTCAAGATCAGTGAGAGTTTCTGTTTTGATGCATGTCAGAACACAAAGTTAAAACAAAGATGAACTAAAATGAGTTACTTCACTTTTTAATGGTATTAACACATCCAAAAAAATAAATTAATAATAATAATAACATTTAAAAAACACATTCAGTACAATGATGAAAGCATAACATTTAGAAAAAGACAGTACACAGCCAAAACAAATAAATAAATAAATAAATAGCCGCAAACTGCCATGACATTTAATAAAAGGCCTTTCTAAATAAAAATAGGCCTCGTTCACCAACCGTTCTTTAGAAGAAGTTTCTTCTTAAACCCATTTACGCAGTTTTGATGAAGATTCTGACATTCAGCAGTGTTTTCTTATCTGTGTTTTGTTCTTAGGTAAGAACAGAATCTACACACTCAAGAGCACAAAGGTGAGAACAGTTCTGCGCTTTAAGAACACGACATGAATCTGACGTAGACTTTTTCTTAGGACCTTTCTCAAGAACTCATTTAAGAAGAAAATGAGGAAGATATTGGAGACTGAGGCCCAGGGTCTTTAAGCTGGGTTTAGCAGAATTCACTGGTTGTGTTTACGCCAATCTGATTAAACACATTCCAACACTCTACTCAACAGTCTGAAGAAAATCTGCGTTTACATTCACACTACAAGTAATCAGATCCAAAATAACACAATGGTGTAGAGAACCACCCAGTGTAGACGTTACCATGACAACCAGCATCACGTGAGTCCAGTCAGAGTGAGATGAGCAGCAGTGAGCAGTGCTTGTGTTTTTAAACACTTTTAAAATGATGTCAGACTCAGGAAAACGTCCTTCACATGTCCTTATTAAAGAAGACCGAGAGGAAGATGTCGTGTTCTGAGACACATAAGCTGGACGGGTAACACTTTCTATGAATGTCACCTTTGTAAGCATCTATAACATATATATGTTATAATGCATTAATAAGGCATTATAAACATGGCTATAAATATTTCTAAAAATGCATTACATGTTATAGCCATGCTTATTATCCATTATGAATTGTTAACATAATGCATTACAAGTACTGTTCATAGCAAATTATAAGAGCTCATAAGTCGTATTTGTCCGCTCTAAGTAAAGTGAAGCGTACTGTACTAAAGCCTCCTCCAGTGTTCAGAGTGAGGCTTCAGGTTGAAGTATTTACTGAAGGATTTACTGAAACACTAAAACATTCACAGTAAAGCACATTACAGGCTTCAAATGTCAGAGTTTAAACTAGAGCTGCATCAGTGTTTTACCCAATGTGGGAAAGGTAATGTTCACCACCGTTAGCTTGGCACTGCCTTAACCCTGCATATCCAATAGAATGCTAGCATAAATTAGCATTACTGTACTGTAGTGCAGTGTAGTGTTACAGAGTGAAGGGTTCTAGTGTTTGACATTAGAACCAGTGAGGGAACAAATTACAATGACAGCACTCGACTGTCTCACCTCTCCCTCTCCAGGCCTTCACTCCACAGTGACTTCACGCTCAGTGTGATGACAGAGGGGGTTCAGGGGAGGGGCTGACTTCTTTGGCACTGACAGTACAATGTTATTAACACTATTTATAATACACTATATAAACAATTCATACTGCATAATAAACAGTGTAATTCAGTGTAATTCATTTTTATAAATATTTATAACCATGTTTATAATGCCATATGAATGCATTATAACATGTTATAGATGTGTTTATAGATGCTTACAAACGTGACATTCAAAGTGTTACCGCTGGACGTCCGTCCCACCGCCGTCTTTTAAAGATCAGAGCATAAACTTCGTCTCCTCTGCAGACCAGTTTCTGCTCCGCCATGCTGAACGGTATAAACTTTCACTATGACGCGACGAACATGATCAGAACGGACTTAAACTTTCCGATAGGGAATGTAATCAGATACAGGCGTTTACAC